AATGTTTTAAAAATCATCCGAAATGTGAAAGAACAGAGTCTAGACCATAACAGTCGTTGCAATCAAAAGCTGACATTAAACCAAGGTAAACCTCTGTGACAGTCAGCTACTGTATTATTACCGCTGGAGTCCTCTTACTTTCTTTCCCGTGGGCACACTTCCCGTGAAGGAGATCTTAGCCACAGCCGGGTGATGGCACAGGAGAGAACCCGTCTCTTCTCCTCCCTGCACCACATTGAACAGGCCCTCGGGAGCTCCGGCCTGTGAATAAATCTCAGCCAGCAGCACTGCAGTCGCGGGGGTCACCGGAGACGGCTTGAACACCATGGAGTTGCCTACAATTGAACCGTAACATCAGGCTGTAAATGAGACTGTTAAGATAATAATTTCAAGCACAGATCAAGAGCGAAAGAGGTGGGTATTAAACTAATACAGCTCAGTAGCCTTCAACACAAATGAGAGCTTCACTTTTTTATATCTAGTGTGAATAACAGTGGAGACTAAGGTAGATTAAAGTCAAACATTTGGTTTTAAAATACATCCAAATCTAGAGGGTTTGCTCATGAAGTCGGAATGAAATGGACATTCGCCCTATCCTCTAATTTTGAACAATTCATGCATACATTTCACTTTTAAAAATTGGCCTAGATTTGTGCTAGATAACTAGATTTTCGGGTGAAACGACAGACATCGTTCGTAATGCATGTCAAACTTCTCCCATAATTTAATCCTTTCTTACATACAACTGCAAGCTCACAATAAATCCAACAACTGAGGGATAAACCCAAGTCCCTGCACTCTGTTTCACTCCGAAAAGTTCTGTATATTGCGTTGCAACTTTAGGCAAGCTTTAACTGATTGTCTAAACTGAGGCCAGGTACAAACAGAGCTGATATATGTGTTTTCAAGTAGGGAATGAGCAATATATTGGTAGTTACAGTGGGGCAAAAAAGACAAAAAGACAGAAGAGCTTCGTAAAGAAGTTACAGGTCTCTGCGATCCAGAAATCTTGCTGGTTTGTGGGTGACCAAATACTTATTTTCCACCATAATTTACAAATACATTCTTTAAAAATCCTACAATGTGATTTCCTTTTTCTAATTTTGTCTCATATAGTTGAAGTGTACCTATGATGAAAATTACAGACCTCTCTCATTATTCTAAGTAGGAGAACTTGCACAATGGCTAACTAAATACTTTTTGGCCCCACTGTATCTGCCAATATCAGTGTTGTAGTCGAGATCAGCTCACTCGAGTCCGAGTCGAGACCATAGAGGGTCGAGTCCGAGCCGAGACCATAGAGGGTCAAGTCCGAGTCGAGCCCGAGACCAAGAGAATCGAGTCCGAGTCGAGACCGAGACCAAAGAGAGTCGAGTCCGAGTATCGAGTCCGAGTCGAGACCAAAGAGAGTCGAGTCCGAGTCGAGCCCGAGACCAAGAGAATCGAGTCCGAGTCGAGACCGAGACCAAAGAGAGTCGAGTCCGAGACCAAGAGAATCGAGTCCGAGTCGAGACCGAGACCAAAGAGAGTCGAGTCCGAGACCAAGAGAATCGAGTCCGAGTCGAGGCCGAGACCAAAGAGAGTCGAGTCCGAGACCAAAGAGAATTGAGTCCGAGTCGAGACCGAGACCAAAGACAGTCAAGTCCGAGTCGAGACCGAGACCAAGAGAGTCGAGTCCGAGATCAAAGAGAGTCGAGTCGTGTCCGAGTTGAGACCGAGACCAAAGACAGTCGAGTCAAGTCCGAGTCGAGACCGAGACCAAAGAGAGTCGAGACCGAGACCAAAGAGAGTCGAGTCCGAGTCGTGACCGAGACCAAAGAGAGTCGAGTCCGAGTCGAGACCAAAAAAAATTGAGTCCGAGTCGTGACAGAGACCAAAGAGAGTCGAGTCCAAGTCGAGACCGAGACCAAAAAAAGTTGAGTCTGAGTCAAGACGGAGACCAAAGAGAGTCGAGTCCGAGTCGAGACTGAGACCAAAGAGAGTCGAGTCGAGTCCGAGTCGAGACTGAGACCAAAGAGAGTCGAGTCGAGTCCGAGTCGAGACCAGAGAGGTTGCATAACCTAAGGTTGGGTCTCAAACCAGACTTAAAGATATCTTCAAGAATATGTAAAATATTTGGTGGTAACAATAAAATTGGCACCATACTCTAACAGTAAACCAAATATACCATTGAATCATGTACACTGAAATGGTAAAAAGGCCACATAGTGGTGTAAAGGTAATTTTATTATACAATAATTATGACTTACACTAATTACAATCAGTAAGTGCTCCTTCACATAACATCACTGCACACAAATTCTGTGTGGCTCTTATATGCAAACTGAATTATGCATAATAAGGCAGATATTTTCGATACATAGTTGAGCCAGAGGCTCCACATCACATCTGACCTGGGTCCTGCTGCATTTGCGCACTGCGAACGTTATAGTCTCAAGTCATGCGCACAAGAAAGTCAGCAATCATTGGACGTTTCAATCAAACAACAATTTAAAGAAATATTAACGTACAGCAATAATCATGACATATTGAATATAGGGGAATAAGTCCGAGTACGAGTCAATTACGAGTCAAAATGCATACGAGTCCATGACAAGACCGAGACCATTAAAATATGGTCCCGAGTCTCGAGTACACAAGACTGGCCGATATTACAGATTTTTTTTATCTATTTACTGGTATTGGTTAAATAATTGTGCATCTTTAGCAAATGTAAATCCACTTTAAAACATTTTTTTTTCATTTCCATTTACCAGATATTGGCCATAATAACATCAACAACAAACTATTATGATGTGTGATTCCATCGAAACTTTGCTAAGCCACACTCATATGACACATACCACAAGCGATGGCAGGGGCAGATTTCCAGGCTGCGATTTGGATGGGATAGTTCCAGGCTCCTATTCCCACACACACCCCCAGCGGCTCCCGACGCGTGTAGGCAAATGAACCTCCTGCTAGCTGAACATACTGACCTGAGAAAGAACAGCCACTAACCCATCTGTACAATTACAATTATTAATTAATTAATTATATGTACATTACCAGCCAAAAGTTTTCTCATGTTTTTGGACCTATTGGTCATCAAGGATGATCAAAAATACAGTAAAAAATAAAATAAATGTAATTTATTCCTGTGATAGAGCCAGATTTTCAGCATCATTACTCCAGTCTTCAGTGTCACGTGATCCTTCAGAAATCATTCAGCGGAGAACGATCAATAACAAACCAACTAACCTGAAAGGACGGTGGCTTGTCCTGCAAAATACTCAAGGCACAGTCTGGCCGAGTCCACATCTAAACGGGCTTCAGTGATGGTCTTGCCATTGTTGACTACCTCTATCTCAGCTATCTCCTCTCTTCTCTTCTATTCTCGACAACAGAAATAACTGAAAAGATCAGACTCGGCACTTCTTGAATCAATGCAGCATTATTATGTAATGCCTTAGGATGTCGGATCAGTGTATTCCGGTCTACCTCGATGAGTCTGGCCGCCTCTAGCATGACTCTGGCTCTTTCCATGCCAGCCAGTTTACTCCACACTGTGAAAGCAGCACTGGCGCTCCTGACAGCTGCATCAACCTCTGTGGCTCCACAAGCTTGCAGCTGGCAAAGGACACGACCTGGGACACATCCATTAAGACACGGCAGGATCAGAGATGGTAATGTTTTTAATCATAGAACATGCAGTATAAAAAAAAAATCAATGCACAGGCATGATAGCCAATGTGACTGTGATGATCATGTGATGGTCTGGGTCAAAGTCTGATTGGTCAATGCCTTGAGTGGGGTTAAATTAAGAAATTTAGTTTTGTAGTTAGGTTACCTGTTGCAGGCTCATATACTGGTTCGGATTTGGCTTTCCCATTTTTGAGATTGACTCGGCCACCACACCAGAAGTTGAGTGGCTCTTTGATATGGAGGGTTCCTGAGGATATGCTCCTGGTCCCGGTGGTGGAGTAAAGGGCCCCACGGAGACCAGGGGTCAAGAGAGAGCTCAACAGGGCCATCTTCATCTCCCTAACACTGAACTTTGACCCCCTGGACGAGTGTCAACAAACGAGTTTTTTTTCTCCAGATATTGCACCAAAACAGCGTTAAACACAAATTAGAAGATCTATAAATTATAAACAGCCATCAAAACTTTGTAAAACTTTGTATTTGTAAGTTAAGTTTATGACTGTTTTATCGTAGTAAAAGTCTGTAAAAGTCGATGGCAACAACATCAGCTCTCCGTTTAAATGGAGCCTTACACAGAGCAAGCGTTATGTTAAGGCTTGAAAACAAAAACACGAGTAAGCAGCAAAGGTTCAAAGCACTGACATTCACTTACCTTCCGTATCTGATCCCTGATCGGATTCTTCTGATCTGCTGTAGATTTCGGACCAGTCCAGGTCCAGCCATGGTCGATATTTAGGGCGGGGCTTATGCGCAAGAACGATTTCCATTGGTTTGTTCTAGATGATGTCATGTGACGTTTTCGGAGATCAAAATCAAAGAAAGTTTAAAATATTGCATAAAATATATCTTCTCCAAATTTTTGGAGGCTCTACTCATTTTGTGAATTTATATCATTGTGAAATAGATCTAAAATCATCCATTCTTTTAATCTGAAAAATGTAATACATAAGATAAATCATTCCAATATCGTCATTTTCTTATTATTTTTATATTTTTCTAATTTTCTATACAACAAACCCTTTCTTCAGTTTTGGCTTACTATGTGAGGGGAAATTCGGTTTTCTTTTGTAAATTATCTTTTAATTTGTAGGACGTTTATTTGAACTTACTTACAGACAGGCAGGTTTACTTACAGATGGCTGATTAATGCATAAAAATGATCCTTATGAAAAATAAAGGAAATTAAAAATACACGTCTAAACTAAACGAAGAAGGGAAACAGCTTGCAAACGCAAAGTAAGCATTATTTTCTTTGTGAGAGGAGAGCACTAAAGTGAGTGGGACAGTAAAAGAGGAGGAGCGCGACTCGAGCACCGTGTGTGTGTATTATTAGAATAGCGACATACACACACACTGGGCTCTCCACTCACTGCAAGCATGGCTGGCGATTCTGAAACACATCTTCAGGACAGAGAGGAGGAGAACGGCCACACCATCCGACAGCCTTTCCTCATCGGTGTGTCTGGAGGCACCGCCAGTGGAAAGGTTTGAGCTTTAGAGGATTTATCAGTAAAACCGTACAGACTCCCGCTAATATCATGTCGGTTAACGGGGGTTTTCTATGACGCCGGTAACGTTACCTCCAGCGACCGCGTGGCTTTAGGCAATTCTCACAATGGGATAACGTTATATAACAAAACACAAGATTGTAAATACGGCATTTGGGGATTTTAAAACGTATTCACGTCTTATAGGTCAAAATCTATACACTATTTTGTCATTCGGCAATTAGTCTTTCATTAGTGGAAACGGTGAGTAAATTTCTAAACCGCGAATTTATAGCAGCTAACGTTAACTGAAACTAAACGACGGCCTAATAAGTTGTCCCGTTATGACGTGTCCAGATTTCGTGTTTATCATCATAATGAATGCCGATAATGTAATGTTTAGCTCCACGTGGCGTAATTCATTTTGAATTATCACATTTTATGTAGTCGTGTATTTGTCTGCGAGCCACCTTGAATGTCTAAATCAGATGTTGACGTTTGCTACGTGTTTATTTCTAGCCAGACGCCTTTTAAGTCGCTGTTATAAAAGAAAAAAGTGCCACTTCCTCCTCGTAGGCGACCGAAAGTTGCGGGAACGTGACGTCATAATAGCGTAGGATGTTTACATTGTCCCAGTGACCCCGTTTTAGCAACACGTCATTAATCTTCCGCTGACCTTCATGTGTAGGAAATGTAACTCCACTGCGAAAGAATTACAGCTGAACTTCAGAAATGTCTCTTTAACCATGTTACTTGCAGTCAAAGTGTGGTTTGTCCACACTTTCTGCTGCCTTGTGTTCGCTGACCAGTGTCAGTGTGTGAGGGACTACACGTATCTCACCTGATTACAAATAATGCCTGGCACACATTCTAACTGTACTGTTGGCCGATGAATAAACCCAGGCCATGCTTCCCTGCTGGATTTCCTTACATGGGAGATCTGACCCACCCCCACAGTTCATAGCACATGTCTGCAGAGACGCCAACTCTTCTTTATCTACAGTTCAAGTTAAAGGGAAAGATCACTCAGATATGGACATGGGGTCGCCATTTACTCGCATTTATGTTGTGCAGAACATAACAAGAATTTTTTAAGAATGTTGGTAGCCACTTCTGGTGTTCACTGACATGACCATTTTCATTTATTGGTGAACTATCCCTTTAACTATCCATGTAAAGCCTGACGTATGAAATGGAATGATTTTTTGAACATTTATACACTATATTAAAATAAAAAGGATCATATTTGATACATATGGTTGCCTATATTTCTATGGCAAAATAGCTTCTAATAAAGTCAATGAAATCTTTATTACAGTTAAGAATACTAACATATAAAATGCATATAAATATCAGTCATCGCTATATATTTCAAAATAATGCCGTAGTAAGATGATATTGAAATGGTCTGTAGTTTTTGTTGTGTAGGCTAAACATACAATACAATGATGATTGAGAGTTTAATAAACAACAAAAAAAGATTTTGATGTTAAGTAAACCCGAGTTGCTTCAGTCTGGTAATTGTTTATCTTGAAATATTGTTACTAACAATGTCAAATTTATTCTATGTTGTTTACTTTATAAAAGTCACCAAAACTTGAAGGTGGACATTTTCAGAATCATACTAAAATATATATTTTACTAACTAAAAACTAATAAACCCATCAATCAGATGACAGAATGTACATTGTGTACAACATGTTCTTTGGTGAAGTTTTGATCTTGTTGATAATATAGAGGCCTCGATTATGTTACAGTTGGCTTTATATGGTTAATAATACAAAAAACGGTGGCTTGTTTGGCACTTACTAAGTCCTGTGTCCTGTCTTCAGTCTTCAGTATGTGAGAAGATCATGGAGCTGTTGGGCCAGAATAAAATTGACCGTCATCAGCGGCAGGTGGTCATCCTCAGTCAAGACAGCTTTTACATGGAGCTCACGCCTGAACAGAAGGCCAAAGCACTCAAGGGCCAGTTTAACTTCGATCACCCAGGTACTTTAAGGTCTGAGGGTTGTTCAAGGAGCCCTTTTTTTCTGAGGGACGCAGAGAAACCCCTTAAAGGCCCTGAAAATACGAGCATTTTAATGAATCCGAAAGTTTACGCCAGAACCACTTAACACACGATTTACACCAAAATTTTGTCTGCTCGTGTTTCATGAAAGAGACCCAGTGAGTTTATATCTCGCAATTCCGACTTCTTTTCTCCGAATTGGGAGTTTATATCTCACAATTCTGACTTTACAACATGCAATTGGTACTTTATATCAAGCATTTCTGACTTTATCTCCCAATTCCATGTTAAAATATCAGATTTGTGAGAAATAAACATGCAATTTTGAGAAAAAAGTCAGAATTGCACGTTTATTTCTCACAATTCTGACTTCATAATTCGCAATTGTGAGAAAGTCGCAATTACCTTTTTTATTTTTTATTCTGTGGCAGAAACAAGCTTCTATATGGATAATTTATCTTTTATATATATAATTTGGGTAATTTTGTTGTAATAGCTTACATTAGCTTAATAGCTGATGTTTGATTTTTGACTGGTTATAGTCAGGTAAACAACACGTAACAGCGTTACATTACTGTTTGTTCCTCTGGCCTGAACGCAAACCATTCTGCTGGAAAAGGGGTACAGGTCTTTTTTTTAAAAACATTTTTTTTATTTGATCTAAAGGATTTAAAAGATGTGTCATGCGGACTACTTCTTTTAAGGATCAAAATTGTGTTGTCTCTTTGACTAGCTTCTAATTGAATGGAGAATAATCTGTTCGTCACTGTTTCCATAATGCTTAGATGCTTTCGACAATGAGCTCATCATGAAGACTCTGCGTGACATCATTCAGGGGACCACTGTGCAGATCCCAGTTTATGACTTTGTTACCCATTCCAGGTCAGTGCCGCTCTCTCTGTCGTTTCTGGGTGCTGTTTTTGGCGTTGTGATATCACTGCTGAATGACGTGTTCTCCCAACAGGAAGGATGAGTTTGTGACCGTGTATCCGGCGGATGTTGTTCTCTTTGAGGGGATTCTCATGTTCTACTCACAAGAGATTCGAGATCTGTTCCAAATGAAGCTGTTTGTGGACACGGACCCAGACACGCGCCTCTCGCGAAGAGGTAGAGGCATTGTGTGTTCAATAATTTGTTTTTCTAGTGTGTGTGTGTATTTTTATATATATATATAAATATATATATAGGGCTGTGAAACGATTATCCAAAATAAAAGTTTGTCTTTACATAATATGTGTGTGTTGTGTGTAATTATTTTGTAGATATAAATACACACACACATGCATGTATATATTTAATAAATATTTGCATATATATACGTTATAAATATTTACACAAAATTAATATCATACATAAATATAAATATTTCATATATTAATAACACATTTTTCTTAAATATATACATGCATATGTGTATTTATATATACAAAATAATAAAACACACAAATATTATGTAAACACAAACTTTTATTTTGGATGCGATTAATCGTTTCACAGCCCTAATATTTATATATATATATATATATATATATATATATATATATATATGAAGAGTTCAGATGCTAAAGCCTCTAAGTGCCATTTGAAATTTTCTTCTAAAATCACAATTTTTATCAAGCTTGTATATTTAAGTTCAGCCATTTAAGTGAAATTACTGAAATTAAATATACAAGCTTGATAAAAATGATCATTTTAGAAGAAAATTTCAAATGGCATTTAGAGGCTTTTGCATCTGAACTCTTCATATATATATATATATATATATATATATATATATATATATATAAACACACATACACACTCACACACACATACACACAGTCAAAAGTATTTTTTCCCCAACATTGATCTATTTTTAAGTATATAATTGAATGAGTACCTTTGATTTGTAAATTATGTGATTTGCTTGTTAAAAAGGTGACATTATGTAATGAATAAAGGATTTTTAGGCTGTACTTCCGGCTATAATATCTGTGTTGAGGTAAAATTACTGTGAATGTTTAGTCATATCACCCAGAGGTGTCCCTTAGCATTAGTTATGTAGACTAGCACAGACTAATGATGCATATTTTCATGTTTCACTCAGTGTTGCGGGACATCAGTGAGAGAGGCAGAGAGTTGGAGCAGGTTCTGAACCAGTACATCACCTTTGTGAAGCCGGCCTTTGAGGAGTTCTGTCTTCCTGTGAGTATCTTCGTAAACGCTGCGCTGATCACATATATATTAACTTGATACTTTCCACCGGCTTTCTCTATTCTTAATGCCCTAAATTATCTTTAACATTTATTTTTTGCAGACCAAAAAGTATGCGGACGTCATCATCCCTCGAGGAGCAGATAATCTCGGTAGGATAATAAGAGCAAGTTTACCTTTTTGATACACTATTATGGAGAGAGATTTAACTTGACGTGCTTGTATTGCATTTCTCTAGTGGCTATCAATCTGATCGTGCACCATATTCAAGATTTCCTGAACGGAGGATTCATCAAACGACAGAACGGTTTACAGAACGGCCACGGGACACCCAGACAAAGAAGGACGTCCGAGTCAAGTAGACCTCACTGACCTCACTGTGACCCTTCCCTCCATTGAGGAGAGGGCAGAACTGAATAATTCACAGTGGCATCCCGTTGAGAATAAGGGGATGCAGGAGCTGAAATGCCTTTGTTATTGTTACTATTATTTGCATTTGAAATGTTGTTGTGGATAATTGTTTGCTTATAGTTTTTTAGAGGGTGCTGTATGTTTTTGGAAGATTTGATTACACACTCGACCTGTCCTATCAGTGTCTATGCTTTCTCAGCTACTCAGAAAATAAATGAATAGTATTGAATGTTTCGTAGAGACAACATTGATCACAGTGCTGTTAGCACACATACTTGAAGTCAGAGCTCAGGTTGGGTGGGTTGTTCCATCTACAAAGAAAAAAAAAACCCTATTACCTCATATCTGAGGCCCTTTTATGCGTGTGAGTGAGGAGATGTGTTTTTCGTAAGGATGCCATTATGGTACATGTCATTTAGTTTTTTTATTTTTGTAATTTGTAGCTTTCTCGTTGAATCTCAATGTTGTTTCATGGTTCATATAATTGTAGTCTTTTGTACATATAACATGACCTAATTTGTCATGTTTTGCCTACTACATTTGGTGTTACCAGAAAATGTTTTACCTACAGTATCTCAGTGTGCATGGAGAGTTAGGTTTTATGTCAATTATACCAGTAATTATACCTGATTCGATGTAAAACCAGATGAAAATCAGGGATTACAGTCAGGTATGTTGGTCTTTGTAACAAAGAAATACCTCAAATACTTTTATCGTTAACACCAAGAGATTGATTAACAGAATTTTACTTCAGTAACCCTGTGCACACTGCTTCAATGAGCTTGTGTTTCCTTTCCCCTTCATGCCTTTGTGCCACGGTTTTTTGTTTTTCTAGGAATAATTCACCAGATAAATTATTTATATCTGGTTTTGTTGACGAATAACCCACTATGGTGTGGTGGAATAAAATAATAAAACTATAAAAACTCTTTGGTTCTTTGTACACCTCTTTTCCATCGTTTCATAGATGTAATACCACATATGTCCGCTAGGCGGAGCATCCGTCGTGGCATCTGTCGCAGTTTTTATACGCATTTGGATGACGTCGGACAACAAAGGCGTGGCTCAATATGGGGGTAAGTATGTGAAAGCTGTGCATACTTGCCTTTGATAGAAAGCCAGTGAGTTGTTGCTCCTCTTACTATTTATTTTTGTCTATGTAGAAATTTGGGTTGCAGTTTAAAGCGACATTGGAGAATGTAACAAACGTAAGGCCGGAGGGGGACGATTTCCGCTGGTATTTAAAGGTAAAGTGTTCATGTCGCTGCTAGTATGCAGCAGTGTGACAGGCTGCCAGTCAAACAGTGTATTTAGTTGCTCACTGTTTTATTGGAAATTGAGAAATAACTAACTTTTCAGCGTACATAACAACATGACATATTTAGAATAATTCGTAAATGTGATGAATACTGATAATTCTTTATAGTGTTCAAGTTGTCAGTAGCCATGTGTTTAATGACGTAATTTAAAGGGATAGTTGATCCAAAATATTAAATTGTCATCATTTACTCACCCTTAAATTTGTCCCAAACCTGTATGAATTTCATTCTTCTGCTGTATACAAAAGAAGATATTTGAAGAATGTCGGTAACCAAACAGATGAACAATTGACCCATCGTTGGTATGTAACATTTTTACTGTGGAAGGCAATGGGGAAAATCAACTGTTTAGTTACCCATGTTCTTCTGTGTTCAGCAGGTTTGGAACATTTTTATTTTTGAGCGAACTATCCCTTTAATAACTGACTCCTGTCTTTGCAGCTGAAGTGTGGGAATTGTGGTGAGGTGTCGGATAAATGGCAGTACATCACCTTACTGGTAGGTGTGGGAAATAACTGATTTACATAATCTTTCAGCATTGTTGCAGGATGCTGACATGCTTTTGTCCAAAGCAACTTTAAAAATGAGAAGGAGGAGCCAGCAATATTAGCAGTCAATACTGGGATTACAATGATAACTGCATGTTCCTTTTCAATATTTTGTGGAATACTGCATTGAAACATGAAAGTTATTCATTGCCATTTATTGATTTATTTTCTTTCTGTGGAAAAATGCATAAAATATAATAGATAAGTGATGATACTGTGATAACTAAGTGATACTATGCAGGGACAACATGAAATAGTTAACTCAAAATTAAACTTTTGTCATTATGTATTAATCCTCATGTGGTTCTAAACGCGTATGATTAAAAAAAAAATCCTTTTAATATGTTATTCATTCAAAATCTCACTGATACAAGTGTATTTTTGTGACTTAACTTTGTATGAAAAATTGCTGTGGAATGTTTAATAAATGTCTTTAGTATAAATAAGTCAAGGTCTGTATTGTGATCGCTGGCCCTTTCCTCCCTTCAGGACAGCATGCCACTGAAAGGAGGACGAGGGAGTGCTAGCATGGTGCAGAAGTGCAAACTCTGTTCTCGAGAAAACTCAATAGGTAACCAACCTTCTAGTTAGTAAATGTGCTGAAAATATTCTTCCAAATGGGCCAAATCTTCAGATAAGTTGCACCATAATATCATCTTTATTGTTGTTTCTACATTTTTGGTTGTGCTTATTGGACTTGACTGGATGTCTTACTGCTTCCAGATATCATGAAGGACACAATTACACCTTACAATGTAAGTAAGGCAGATTACATTTATTTTGAGGATTGTTTGTTACTTCAAAAGCCACATTTGTACCAAGTGAAGGATGCAATTGTATATGAATATTTACTGTTGCATATGTTCATGTATTTTTGCTCAGTCATGCTGATATATGTATTTTCTCTCCGGTAGGCAGAAGACAGTGAAAGGTTTAAGACAATGGTGCAGTTCGAGTGTCGAGGGCTGGAACCTGTCGATTTTCAACCTCAAGTGAGATATTCCAAATATTTAACCACTTAACTGTCACCGTCCCACAGGTGGGACGTTTGCCACTATATTTTTAAAACAATAATATCTTAGTAAATACTTTAAATAATATTGACAAACTATATATCATTTGAAAGCTTACAATCTCTAGTTTCCATATTTGGTGACTGATTTTCAAAATATATTACAGAGGAGCCATAATTTATCAATATAAAACAAGAATATTTTCATACTCATAAGGCGTGTTCAGACCTTTATTTTAAAATATCAGTAAACATGAAAAATCATAAAAAAATGGTAGATACCTCAGTTTGTTTTCATGCCAAAAGTTCAAAAGATAGAATCCATTCAATTATTTTGGAAAAAAAAGGTCTGAAAACTTTGAAATATCAAGAAAAAAAATAATAAATTCACCATTTGTGACGTGGCAGCTAGCTATGACTTGCATGCGTGTTCTTTGTATGTGTTTCTTAGAGGTTCAATTCATATCAAAATCTGCCAAACTTCCCATGCTACTTCTGAATAGGATCTCTACTTCAGAAATTGTATGAAAATTGTGAAAATAATGGTTCATATCACTCAAAACACGAATGGAAATGCAGGCGCCCTTATATGGGCAGTAATGGAGTCTGATTGTGCCCTAGTGAAAAAGTTTGGTACTGCGCTCAAACAAAATCTTACTGAAAGCTCATTTTTTGAGATATCAACCTAAAATTTGAAACACAACTTGTTCATATTTTTGGCTTTGATCTTTCTGACATTTTAGAGTAGCCCAGGTTTTGAAAATATATATTTTATGTAAAATATGAATAATTAATATTTTTACATTGTACATTTCCATAAACTCAAACTTCTATAACTTTTTTTCTGTTTCACTTTCTTAATTTATTTCACTTCTACAAAAATCTGCCAAATGTCTTCTTTAAAACAAGACCAATCATATGTCTATATTCCAAAGCATTCTTGAATTACAACCATTTAAGTTCGAAATGTGCATTTTCATGTCTATTCAAAAAAGGGGGGGTGACAGTTAACAGGTTAAGTAGGGTGTATATACACTGCCTGACCAAAAAGGGGTTGCTGTTTGGATTTCAATTGGCAAATGCTTAAGTCAATGATTGGATCATTATTGCACTGATTATGATGTTTCTAGCATTTAACGTTTGGCAACGGTTATTCTAACCATAATTGATGGAGTGCTAAACAAAAATGGCCATATTTCCAGATGACAATGTTAAGATTCATCAGGCTCAAATTGTGAAAGAATAGTTGGGAGAGACATGAAGAACCATTTACAGTACACGCATGAATCCTTATTGGACTGTCAATACAAGATCTTGACCAAACATTGATGATCTCTTGATGGAAATAACATCGTAATATTTATTTCCATCTAGAGGTGCATCCTTTTTTGGGGGGACCCCAATAGGTTGGGGTTATTTAAGAAAAAAAAATTAACACTTTCATTCAGAAATATGCATTAAATTCATTAAAAGTGACAGTAAAGACATTTACAAAAGAGGAGTTTAAATAAATCCTGTTCTTTTGATCATTTTATTCATCAAAGAATCTTGATATAAATATCATGGTTTTTCAACATTTATGAGAATACTAAAAATAATAAGAAATGTTTCTTGAGAAGCAAATCATCATATCAGAATGATTTCTGATGGATCATTGAAGACTGGAGTAATGATGCTGAAAATTCAGCTTTACCATCACAGGAATAAATTGCATATTAAAATATTAAAAACTACTATTTAAAAGTAGTAATAATATTTTAAATAAACACAGCCTTGCTGAGCTAAAAGGACTTCTTTCAAAAACATGTACCCTACATGATTATAGAAATAGTCAAATGGTCTTCAGAAGCTTTAGCCTAATCTGAATAAAATGCATAAACATTCATCTTGTTGCTTTGCAGGCTGGTTTTGCTGCTAGTGGAGCAGAAACCTCCTCTCAGTTCCCTGAAATCAATCTGCAAGAGAAGGTAAGAACTGTCATTTCACAACTTTGTTCAGTTCATTCAGGAGGTCACAACAATCTTTTAACATGTTTCAGGACTGGACAGACTACGACGAGAAAGCCAGTGAGTCTGTGGGGATCTACGAGGTCACACATCAATTCATCAAGTGCTGATAAATAAAGAAGCCAGATTTAAAAAAACAACAACTGACTGGTTATTAATAGAAGATTTAAATTTACTACACCACACTCTTGATTGGTATTTGGTAGCTGGTAACAGAACACTTTTTTATGCACGATATTGGCAGTATATTGTTGGAATAAGAATTAAAGTATGGTATTATAGTTGTTACTTGTCTGCATGCATGTGGAAAGTACATTTACATTTCCGTTTATAAAAAGTAAAAAGCCAGCAAACTATTTTTTTAAATTGAAATTATAAAATTGGTAAAATTATCCAAAAAAGGAGAAGAACCTCGCTTTTAGCCTTACTTGCTAAACTCACCTGCATTTACTTGTAACGGTGCATACAGACAAACCAAAAACCGTAAGTTGCTGGTATAACTTCTGTGACGGGTTTCTTAGTACAGCTGAGTTTTAAAAACTTGAAACTTGCTTGTTTTATTTTCACAGGCTTGCATGTTTACACGGTCAACAACAGCTCAAACGTGCTGCGTAATGAGAATGAACCTCATTGGTTCTTGCTGAAGCTCAAACGTGCTGAATAACACGAGAATGAACCTCATTGGTTCTCGCTCATCAAGCGAACATGCTTGAGCTTCCGTTGGTTTACCAATTACCACAACTGAGTTGATCAATTTTCTATTTCATTTGTGTAGCTGTCAATGGAGGGACAGAAAGCTCTAAGCTTTCATCAAAATATTTTTGAATCAAATAAAACAAATATGAAATAAAAGTTGTGTTCCAAACATGAATGAAAGTCGAGGGGGTGAGCGATTAATGACAGAATTTTGAATTTCGTGTGAACTAACCCTGTAAAGTCAGTGTGATTGTAAATCACTGCTAGTGTTGTAGAAATATTTTTTACCAAGGTAAGATGAAAGTGCAATTTTAATTAGTTCAGTGACATTATTTAGCTGGATTTATAAATTGTTTAACCACCAATTTCTGTCTATTAAAGGAGTAGTTCACTTTTAAAAAAAACTTTTACTGATAATTTACTCACCCCCATGTCGTTCAAGATATCCATGTATTTCTTTCTTCAGTCAAAAAAAATTAAGCTTTTTTTATGAAAACATTCCAGGATTTTCTCCATATAATGGACTTCAATGGGAACCAAATGGTTCAAGGTCTAAATGAGAGTTTTAGTGCAGCTTCAAAGGGCTTTAAATGACACCAGACGATGAATAAGGGTCTCATCTAGTGAAACGATCGCTCATTTAAAAAATAAATAACAAAGTTTTAGTTTTATAAGCACAAATGCTCGCCTTGCTCGGTTCTGTGATGAGCGTTCGTAACTCTCCTGTTCAAACTCGTTCATCAAAATTAACAAATCTTTTTTGAGTCATGACTCGAAGGGTCTTAGATAAGACCCTTATTCATCATCTGGTGTCGTTTAAAGCCCTTTGAAGCTGCACTGAAACTCATTTGGACCTTGATTCGTTTGGTTCCCATTGAAGTCCATTATATGGAGAAAATCCTGAAAATTTTTATCAAAAACCTTATTTTCTTTTCGACTGAAGAAAGAAAGACATGGACATCTTGGATGACATGGGGGTGAAAACAAAAAAAAATTGTTTTTTGTTTCTGCTGAGGCAGCGTGGAACTCCCAACCATTTCCAGATATATGAACTTATTAACGCTTTCAGCTTATTGTCAAAGAAACCCCGTACACGCTCAGTGGCCACAGCAACCTCGGCAGAAGACCAAACTGAAAGCACCCGAGTTTTAGTTTGCTTACATAGGCTCATGCCTTTTTGCATGTGTTTCCTCTAAATATCTCTCTAGCTCAAACCTATATGCATTTAAAATGCCATTCTTCTCACTCTCACTGGTGGCAATTTTTAAAGCATGTATGAGTTCGAAAAACTGGTATTGTTAACATGAAATATTGCACAATGCACCTTTAATAAACCCTTTTTGAGTTATTTACTGTCTGCTATTCCTCCGGTTCGTCCTTCACCCTCATACCAGAAAGAAGTACTGATCAATGCCGAGGCCCTTGTCTCTTCTCCCTCAAGCATTTAATTTTCTCTTGATGAACCTTCAAACCCCTGACCGTTGTCACCTTGCTCCAGCCACAGACACAAACTTGGAGTTCAATAACTTTACTTACTGCAGATCTTGAACTAACCTTACTCTCCATAGTCATATCCGTTTCCATTCCTAAGTTGTTAACCATTTTGTCCAACATTGAGTCATCTTCTGCCCCCTGCTTTCACAGACTCTAGGGGTATTTTTCTCTTTAATTTCTCAGAAGCCTTGGGCGGGTGTCTCCAGCATCCTGTAAACACGGAGCTGGATACTGCCGACAAGGGTAGCTAACCCTTACCAGCCCCATTGGGGTCTCTTTCCTCCTGTCTGATTTGTACTCGGCTTTCGCCAAGATAAGCCCAAACTAAGACGTAGCCTATAAAATATATATTTTTTAAAAGGGCCTCATTGATTAATTTTGCCTGGGGCCCCCATCAGTGTTCGGCTCTGATTGGGGCCTGCTACTGTCACCACTCACCGGATTTACAAATGCACATCTTGCTTGTTGCACGCCCTTATGTGTGCGTGCAACAAGCAAGATATTTTCTGTTGAAATAACAAGATATTATGTTGAAATAATATTAATAATAATAATAATAATAATAAGTCTTTAAGAATATTTAGTTGAATGCTGAATGTTGTGCTTGTTCAATTTAAGAAAATGAAAACTGTAATTGTGTTAATTAAAATAATTGAATATTAAATATTAAATTGAGCTGACGCATGGAAGCTCATCCTTGTGCTGGGTTGGATTAATGTGGTCTGTTCTTGTTCTTTACTGATTGGGTGATAACAGTTCAAATTGATTGGCTTTGGAAAAGACAGGGTGGAGATCATTATCATTTAACACCACACGTCTTGTGACGCGTTATGAGACACGTCATTGGGGACACTGTGCCCCGTAAAAAGTGTCGTTACATGAGCATATAGGGCGTAGTTTTTTGCACCTTTTAGCGTTCCATAGGACCTTTCACATATCGTGATTTTTGCGCGCTCAAGTTTGTTGTTTCAAATGCGTGCGGCAAGCGGGCGACGCGCTTATTTTTTTCCAGGCGGAGCGAGATGAAAACACCTCAACTTTTTAGAATGCCACAAGTGCACCGCAGGTAATATGTCAAGAACTAACCAATCAGCTTCACCTTTTCGTAACAACGCCTAATTTTACTATTACTAATAAAATATAAGCTAATGTGCATTGTAAATGCACATCTTGTTTTGACTTATTTCACCCTTTAAATCATTTTTATAAAAAAGAATATGTGATGTTTATCTTTTTAAAAAGCCTTTTTTGCCAACTTTGTTTTAATTTTACTCTATGGCTGCGTTCGAAATCACATACTTCCCTTGTATGGGAAAAGAGTAGGCCTAGGCGAGCGAAAAGTATGTACAAATCATAAAAGAGTAGGCGAGAATTACCTAGGTGACGTACTAATTATCACGAGATTCAGATGTACATATACCGATAGTGCGTTCGAATATGCCTACATTCCTATATTTGGGCGAAAACAGTACGTGAAAAAAGCAGTACGCTCGAAACGACAGTATTCATAAAAGAGTAGGCGAGAGTACAACTCGGCTTGACACGGCACTGCTCGGTTCGCTTTAGCTCGGTTGCTTTTCCACTGCAGTTAGTACCGCTTTAAAGTGGGTGGGATTATAGACTGATCGATAACAGCGGTGGCTGTTACTGGCTATTTAAATCTAGCGGGTTTGGTTTCTCGTGTCGATGTCTGTTGGTCGCAAATACAATGGTACTGTCTGACCAATCAGTGATCTGCAGTGTTTCACGTCACATTTAGTACCAGTACGGTATGCTTGGAACCTCAACAGACCAGGTACCATTTAAAGCGAGCTGTACCGTATCGGATGCTGGCAGAGCCGATGGGGAAATGACCTGAGCCCTGAACGGGGTACCAATCACTTTAGGGACATAGCCATGTCTAGGCTTTAAAATGACCTTGGAGTCATTTGGTCCGAACTCGAGACACGCAGCGCTGACAGACAGCGTGTGAAGGTCTCCCACGCGTTTAACTGATAACAGTGCAATCAGAAAAACGGTTTTAAGTGAAAGGTATTTCAAATCCACGGAATGAAGCGGTTCGAAGGGAGGGGCTTTCATAGCTTCGAGAACTATAGAAAGATCCCAATAGGAACCTATGGGGGGCGCAGAGGGTTCATCCTTCTGGCTCCTCTGAGGAAGCGGATGACCAGCTTGTTTTGACCCAGCGACTGGCCATGCAGGGGTTCAGCGAATGCCGCGATGGCCGCCACGTAAACTTTGAGCGTGGATGGGGACCTGCCCTTATCCAGCAGCTCTTGTAAAAACACGAGCAGCGACGACACCCCACATTTCCGTTGGTCCAGATCTCTGTCGGTGCACCATTACAGACCTGTATGAAAATACAGACCATTTAGACGTGTAGAGCCTTCTCGTGGAAGGAGCTCTAGCGTGTATGATAGTGTTTATCACTCCTTCTGTCAAAGCGACGGGTAGTCGTCGATCACCCACGCATGCAGCACCCAGCGCTGTGGATGGGAATGCCAGATTGTGCCACAAGCTTGAGAGAGGAGATCTGCTCTGACTGGAATGGGCCACAGGGCTGTCAGTGACAGCTGCGAAAGCTCTGGGAACCAAGTCTGATTCTCCCAGCGTGGGGCTATGAGGAGCACAGAGTGGTGTGTTTCTCTGATCCTCTGTATTACCTGTGGCAATAGCGAGACAGGAGGGAAGGCGTAAAGGCGGTTGGGAAGGGAGGGAGGACAGGAGGTAAGGCGGTTGGGCCAGTCCTGGGGCCAGCGCGTCCTCGCTTTTTGAGAAAAATACTGGACAGTAAGAGTTTTCCTCTGACGCAAAGAGGTCTATCTCTGCTCTGCCGAATATTCGCCATAACTTCTGGACTGTTTGACCTTGCAGAGGCCATTCCCCTGGGGGAATGTTGTCTCTGGAGTCTGGACAGTCTGTCTAGGCCGTCGTTCAGGTGGCCGAGCACATGCGTCGCTCTCAGCGAGCGCAGATGGCACTGGGACCAACTCATTATGCGTTCTGTCAAACGGAAGAGGTTCCTAGATCTGACTCTGCCCTGACGGTTTAGATAGGATACCACAATCCTGCTGTCCGAGCGGACCAGGACGTGGTGACCCTGAATGATCGGGAGGAACCACGTGAGCACGTACTTGACCGCTATCATTTCCAGACAATTTATGTGAAGGAGCTTTTGCTGAGCTGACCAAAGGCCAAAGGCCAGTGAGCCCTCGCAGACCGCGCCCCAACCCGTGTTGGACGCTTCTGTCGAGAAGACTTTTCGGCGAGATACAGCTCCCATAGTCACTCCCCGCTGATACCATTCGGTCACTGTCCAGGGCTGCAGAGCTGAGACACAGGTCTGAGTCACTCTAATCGGCTGGCGGCCTGTGGCCCAAGCCCGGCGAGTCACACGGGTGTTTAGCCAATGTTGAAGCGGGCGCATGCGCAGTAAACCCAGCTGGAGTACCGCTGCAGCTGAGACCATATAACCCAACATTCTCTGAAAAGTTTTCAGAGATGTGAGGCTGTTCAGCTGAAAAGAGACGGCTAGTCGCTGAACACGGCGTGCGCGCTGTGTTGATAAGGGAGCCGTCATGGCCACTGAGTCTAGCTCTATTCCAAGGAAGGAAATCGCCCAACTGGGCTGTAGAGAGCTCTTTGTTCAATTGACAGAAAGGCCCAAACTGTTTAGATGATTGAGGAGAACTGTCCTGTGAGAAAGAAGCTCCGTGTGTGATTGTGCCAAAATCAGCCAGCCAGTCCAAATAGCTCAGTATTCGCAAGCCCTGACTCCGCAGGGGTGCGAGCGCCGCATCCATGCACTTCGTGAACGTACAGGGTGATAAGGATAGACCAAACAGGAGGATGGTGTATTGATAAACCTGGGCGTTGAAGGCAAATCTCAACAATGGCCTGTGACAGGGATTTATCTGAATTTGAAAGTAGGCATCTTTCAGATCAAGAGAAATAAACCAGTCCCCCTGGCGCACATGCGCAAGAAGTTTCTTGACTGTAAGCATTTTGTCTTTTCACAAGTACTTTGTTCAAAAATCTGAGATCTAAAATTGGTCTGAGGCCGCCGTCTTTCTTGGGGACAAGAAAATAACGGCTGTAAAACCCCGACTCGCTTAGAGAAGGTGGCACTCTCTCAATGGCCCTTTTGCACAAAAGGTTTGCTATTTCTGAACGAAACATACTGGCTGCTTCCGTGTTCACTGTAGTTTCGAGCTGCGCTCTGAAGCGGCGAGGGTGGCGATCGAACTATAGCAAATAGCCTCGTTTTATCGTGCTTAACACCCACTCGGATATTCCCGGGATAGCTTCCCACGCTTTGAAGCGTAACGCTAGGGGGTGGATGGCCAACTCGCCCTGATTGCCGCACGCAGCCAGCTGAGCAGTGTGTGTGAGCGTGCTTACTGTGCTTATGCATGACGGCTCGCAGACAGCCAGCGCTGGCTGCTCTGTGAGTGACTTCCCGATTGTGGTGAATAGGGAAAGAGTCACATCTGAGTGGCGTGCAAGCATAGTCATGAACACGTTTATTGACTCGAGCGGGCTGCGCCCACTTTATGAGAGTGGACTCTGAGAGAGACACGGGAAGTGTGGTGCTTGTGTGTAGGGGTGAACACTGTTTTGTGGGCACATTTTCTACACATAATGCTCTTTAAGAGATTTCTCTGGGCCGCAGTGAAAACGCCGTTTGGGTGCAGGCAAGCGGGTAGAATGACCAGCTTGTTGGCTGCTGAATACACCGCTGCAGTAACCTGAGAGGAAGGGACTGACAGGGGGCGAAGCTTTGACGGTGGTCCGGCCTTGGCAGGACTGAGCCGTCGTTTTCTCAGCGTGGCTAGGTTTCAGCGCAATCTTAGGCCGAGGCCCCTGGGTGGCCATGCACTTCCCCAGGGCTTGAGCTGCAGATTTCGTGGCGCGAAGAGAGAGATTCGTTGCGCTACTTAAATCCGTGACAGCTTCCGGATGTCTGCCCTTCTCATCCCACTCACGAAGGATATCTGCATGAAGGATCTGCAGGACGACCATAGAATGCAGAGCGAACGCAGCCTGGCCTTGCGCGAGAACTGAACTGAAGTAGGAGATCGCAATTCTCGCGCATGCGTCGTGGAAATCTAAGGAAGTCTCGTTTCTGGCCTACAAGGAAGAAAAGGAATAGTCGAATAAACTCGTTATTTTTGTTTGTTTTTTCGCACAAAAAGTATTCTCGTCGCTTGATAAACATATAGTTGAGCCACGGTAGTCACTTGGGATATTTAAACATTTTCTTCATTGACTTTCTGGGCCGTCAAGAGGCAGTCCCTTAGGAGCCAATGTGGTAGTTATACAGCTCTCAAATTTAATCAAAAATATCTTTATTTGTGTTCCGAATACGAACGAATGTCTTACGGGGTTGGTACAGCATGGGGGTGAGTAATTAATGACTTAATTTTCATTTTTGGGTGAACTAACCCTTTAAAACATTTCTCTCTGTGACTTCAAATTTGCTGATACGCATGTGTGGATATTCTCTACAACTACACTTTCCACTGTCACAGGCATTCAGAAGTATTGCACCAAATATACCTTCATAAGTAAGCCTTGGTAGGACAATCTGAAGCCAAGGCCAACATGTTCTTTTAACCAGACAAGCTTATTCCTCCACTAGAATGCGGGATCTACACTGATGTACAGGTATGAGATCCTGAAAAGAAAAGATGATTAAAACAAGAAATGCTTTACGTGTTCATGAAAATATTAGGAGACATTAATTTGTGGAGGGGAGCTCTGAGTTTTTTATTGACAGCTCAAAAGAGATATTGTCCCTATTCAAATTTTGAACTAGCTAATGACTGAGATATGAAAATAAGAAAACTATTTGCTAATAATAGCCTATTGTTATTGTATTTTTTAAGAGTGTAATTCTTGTTAAACTCAGATTCACCAGTTGAGGGCACCCTAAAACTATGCAGCATTACACCATGCAGGATTGGTCCATGACGTCACTGAGTGGAAATAGCTCAGTATGTGATGTGTGAGTTCAGCGATTGGCTACACACTATAGAGTATTACCCGATCTAACCAGTCTTATTCATATTTCTTACAGAAATAAAGGTGTCGCACCAAGGACAAGCACCACTTCATTCTTAAAAAGCGTCCAATATCCGTTTTTTCCCCACATCACCTGTAGAATTAATAAGAACTTCAGCTGTAGATGTTTGTGGGTTACTGTGGTGTTTGCTTCCCTTTCAGATACATGCAACCTCAAGATGCAACCATGTCACCTTCCTATAAGTGAGAATCACAAGCTGAAACATTACGTGCAATTTGTTACTCTTGAATTGAAAATAAACAGAACAGATTTATGTGCCCCATAAAAGTAGATGATTTAATGATAGCAACTTTAACAACATTTGCAAGGTATTTTTGTTGTTGTTGTTATTTATTTATTTTTTTTACAGAAAAAGATAATACAAAAAAACTCAATATTGGCCATTTACAGAATGATTTTTCTCTCTTCAGCCTTTATTGGTAATGAAAATTTAGCAAGCAGTCTGTAGGCATTTGTCTTCCACCTCGTCTTCTTTGAAGTACTGTAACCAAAAAAGAAAAAGACGTGTTACATGCACACAAGGACAAAAAATGCCTTAACTATTACATATATTTTGTGTAAATAAAAATGCCAGAATACTCCCTTCAGATTATTATTAAAATACACCAGTGCACTTGCCACTCACAGTTTCATGTTATTGTCGGTTTTCATAATACAAGCAGTCCTAAAAATGAATGAGCAAATGAGTTATAATTAATAGAACATTTGTAATAGTAAATTAATAGTCCCTAAATAGAAAATTATTATTTTTTAATTATTATACTAGAACACTGGGGAATAATAAAAATGTTTACAATAAGTATGCAGGCTCCCAAAAGTGTAGCTTTCATTTTGACTTCCAAGTTTCTTGGAAACCTCAGCACAAAATCTGCACCTGCTGGTCCACAGGCTGAGAAAGGTTTGAAAATCTTGCCAAATGATGTGTTTACTGCTGCCCCATTCAAAGACACCAGCTGTGGTCACAGGATAAGATAGGAAATTCAACACATTAAAGGCATAGTTCACCCAGAAATTAAACTGTTAAAATTTAAATTTACTGTTTGGTGAACCATCTTATACACATTAACAGTGGTTACTAGCTAAATATCTTTAGAAATCAGCACTGGATTTACAACGTAATCTTTATTTTGCTATACTGTTAAGAAAAGCAATACCATAGCTCTGGCATTTAAAACCAAAGATATGTGTTTGTGGGTCAGGTTTTTTTCCTTTCACTGTGTGGAAATATAACACAACTTGAAATCCCCGTCATGGTTGGAACCGGAGTCAGGTGGTAAGTGAAATAGTGTTTGTTACAAGTTGCAGATCCAGACAGAGATTTGGGGCTCTATTTTAACGATCTAAGCGCAAGTAACTTTGTGGGCGGGTCAAGGGTTAGTTCACCCAAAAATGAAAATTCTGTCAGTATTTACTCACCCTCATGTTGCTCCAAACCTTTATGTGTTTATTTGTTCTGATATACACAAAGGAAGATATTTGGAAGAATGTTTTAATCAAACAGATCTCATTCCCCATTGACTACCATAGTAGGAAAAAATACATAGGTAGTCAATGGGGAATGAGATCTGTTTGATTAAAACATTCTTCCAAATATCTTCCTTTGTGTTCAGCAGAACAAATAAACACATAGAGATTTGGAACAACATGAGGGTGAGTTAATACAGACTGATCTCATGAAATGGCGTATGTATGACATGCTAATTCGTATTTCCATTTTTGGCATGCTATCAATACGCATAATCGCTTTTCAGCGTGTTTATGAACGCCGTTGACTTAACGTTATATTACTGTATAAATCTATGACCTACCCCAACCCCGTCCCTAGACCTACCGGTCACTGGGGTTAATACCATTTATGAGTCTTCCCCTATCCTAGGAAAAAAAAAACGATCCCCAGATGTAGATCTACATTTTGCTTTGTTTCGCTTAGACGTGTAAAGGCGTGTACATTTACGCGGAATCACTCGGACATTTAATGGCGTAGACATGCACACATACACGTGGATAGCTCAAAATGCGTATAGATAACGCGCCACTTGACTTTACGCAAAAGTCATGATGTCATGTTGCCAATCAGAGCGTCATCTCACGTTCCCTTTAAGAGCATGATGAACGAGGTGCGCTTGTTCCATGGCGTAATACTATTATAACGGCACATTTACCAGGCGCGCTTCACAATCGGTTCACAGACAAGGAGAACTATGTTCTTGTCAGGGCCGTAAAAGAAAGAGAAGTGACATTGGGGATTGGACAAACACACCCAAATTAGCTTCGGTTAAAAAGGCATATATTAATTTGGGTAAATGTGTAAGCTTTATGCCTATTTTTCTCATCGTCATGAACACAACCATAATTTGCATTGTGTTTTAATAGTTTTCCTTATAATAATGTATCATTTGCAAAAAGTAAAATGCATCTGTGTAGATGAGAGAATCATCTACAGTGTATGCACATTGTTCAAACTCTGTATCATGGCCATGCATGCGCACTTAAAATAGCATCTGAATGTACGCACAACGCGCCAATGACTTTAGACTAGGTTTTTTTCTGGTCAGTGGCGCAATTGTTTTCTGAAACTGCAAAATAGCACTAGGGAATTTTTGCGCCGAAACACGCCTCCTTTTTGCACCAACCCGCCCAGGGAGCGCAAGTTCATTCCCTAATTCACAGATGTGCGTCTGTGGAGGGAAAAGCCCGCTTTGCGTGGGTGCAAAATAGGAATGATAAATGCATCGGTGTACAAAGTCATTTGCGCCGGGTGCAAGATAGGGCCCATGGTGAGGATGCAAGCAGATGATATTCAGGATGGAACTAAGCTGAAGGATAACCAGAGTCGTTGTTTACAGATGTGGATGGAGAGTCACTGGGAACAGGCTGATGACTGGAGACTGGAGACTGAACTTCTGTGTGAAGGTTAGTAGGTGATCAATGGATGGAATTCAGGTAGGTAGCGGGTAAGTTGCAGGTAAGTAGCGTGATAGTCTGTAGTGTCATGTAGAGACGAGACTAGACAATGAGTTTGTGAAAAGGATTTGAATATATAGGGAGGTGAACTGATGAGGTGGAGGTGACTCGGGACTGTAAACGAGTGGAAGGAGTGAGTAAAGATGGTGCAATCCTGACAGTACCCCCTCCTCTGAGGCAGCTCTCGACGCCTGAGATCTACCACGACCCCTGGGAGTGGGGTGATCAGGATGAAGTGAGGGTATCTGGATCCAGGATATCATCGCGAGGAACCCACGACGGATCCTTTGGACCATAATCCTCCCAGTCAACCAGATATTCCAGCTGAGGACCTCACCGTCGTTAGTCCATGATGGTGCGGACTTGGTAGATGGGCTCTTGCTCGACTGGAACCGGAGGAGGAGGTATGTCCTCTGGGACGGGAGAAGTGACAGGTTCAATGAAGGGCTTCAACAGTGACGCATGAAAAGATGGTCAAATCCTGCATTGTGGAGAAATGTCAAGCATGTCAGCTTCATTCAGCTGCCTCTGCACAGTGAAAGGACCAATGTGTCAAGGATTCAGCTTACAGCAGAGCAGGCGGAGGCGGATGTCCCTGGTCGAAAGCCACACCTTTTGTCCAGGCTGGTACTGCTGAGGTTCAACACGACAATGATCCACTTGGTCCTTGTGCCTCCGCACTGCCTGCTGGAGGTGCATGTGAGCCGAGTCCCATACCCTCTCGATGTGATGGAACCAGTAATCGACAGCTGGAACCTTAGAATTCTCACCCGACCAAGGGAAGAGTGGAGGTTGATAACCCAGGACACACTAAAAGAGGGTGAGCCCAGTGGTGGATTGCCGAAGGGAATTCTGGGCAGACTCCTCCCAGGGAAGGAACCAGCTCCAGCTGTCCTGGTACTGGTGGCAATAAGTCCTGAGATGTCGTCCGATCTCCTGGATCTTCCGCTTAGTCTGGCGGGTGGTATCCAGAAGATAAGCTGACAGTAACCCTGAGGAGTCTGAAGAAGGCTTGCCAACCCCTTGAAATGAACTATGGATGTCTGGCCAACACTATGTCCTCTGGCATGCCGAAGTTTTGAAACACATGATTGAAGAGGGCCTCTGCGGTCTCAAACGAAGTTGGAAGTCCAGACAATGGGATCAGCTTCCAAGCCTTTGAAAAGTGATCCACAACGACGAGGACACAAGTGTGGTTTCTGGATCTGGTAAGGTCTGTCCTGAAATCAATTCCAAGGTCCACGGTTATTGTGGGATAGGAAGTGGCACAAGCTTGCCCTTCAGGAGTGTTCTGGGGGTGTTGGTAATGGCACAGACTGAGCATCCCAGAATGTACCTGGAAACATCCCATGAGATGGATGGCCACCAGTACTAATTCCCGAGGAGCGAGACGGTACACCTACTACCTGGATGTCCAGAGCCCAGAGCGGTATGAGCTAGGAGTCCAGAAGGGTGGCACGAAGATGGAGAGGTACAAAGACACGCCCCTCTGGACCTCCCAGTGGAGTGGGATGGCCCAGGTAAGGTTCTCGTGGGAAATCTGTCGATGTTTCAGATGATGGGGCTGATGATCATGGCTGGAGGGAGGATAAGTTCTGGTAGCGAATCTTTGGTTGAAGCATAATGAAGATGAGAGACCATCCGCTTTGTAATTCTTGCTTCCAGGTTAGTCTGACATGACATACTGACAAACATGACAAATCAAAGCAGGTAAAGAAGAGAACCCATCGAACCTGATGGGGATTCAGCCCTTTCGCTTCTCTGAGGTATTCCAGGTTGCGATGATTAGTTAACCTCAAAATGGTGATTAGCTCCCTCCAGCCAATTACTCCATTCCTCTAATGCAAGCTTGATGGCGAGCAGCTCCTGATTCCCAATATGATAGTTCTGCTCTGCAGGGGACAGTTTCTTAGAGTAGAAGGCACATGGATGGAGTTTGAGAGGATCACCCTGCCCCTGCACCCTGCCGCTGCACAGTGGTGGTGTGAAACTCACATTTCTCCAGTTTCAAGAACAGTTTATGAGCTCTCGGTTTCTCCAAAACTAGAGTGGCATGGCGCTAATGCTCAGCAAGAGAGGAGTAGATGAGAATATTGTCGATATAGACAACCACAAATCTGATGAGATACTCTCGGAAGACCTTGTTCATGTAACCCTGGAAGACAGCTGGAGCGTTGGACAGTATGAAGGGCATGACTCGATACTCATGACCTGAGGGCGTGACGTATGCCGTCTTCCATTCATCACCTCGTCTAATGCGAATCAAGTTGTACGCACAATGCATAAATCGAACTTAGAAAAGATGCGGGCTCCACACAGCTGCTCCACACAGCTGCAAAAAATGCTAGTGGGAACAGAGGAAGGGGATAACTAAACTTCACAATTTTAGAATTGAGATGACGATAATCAATGCATGGCCTTAAGCCTCCGTCATTCTTAGCCAAGAAAAAGAAGCTGGAAGCAGCAGGGGATGTAGATGGTCGAATTAACTCCTGTTGAAGAGCCTCCTCCACATATTCCTCCATGGCCTTCTGCTCCAGGATGGACAGGTTGGATGCTAGTTAACTTGGTTGTTTGCTAAACACATCCTGGAACGCCCTATACTCAGCAATAATCTCCACCTGGTGATTGACCTCCTGACTCTCAATGTATGTGGAACACACAGGAAACTCAGACTTTCCAACCAAAGATAAAGAAGAGGGGACTTTCTGGACCTTTTCAGCCGAAGCTAAACAGGAATGCGAGCAGTCTTCTCCCCAACGAATGACCTCCCCTGGTTTCCAGTCGATGATGAGTTGATGTTGGACTATCCAAGGGCGTCCCAGAATGAGCTCAGCAGTGGAGTCCTCCAGCACAATGAAGAATATGTCTTCCGAGTGCAGGCAGCTGATGCGGAGCGTCTGTGTGTGTGGGGGGGAGTGACGATTTCGATCTCAACCCAGCGGTCTACCCTGGATGGTTTGACTCGAAGATCTTGATGACTTCGGCTTTTACGAACGTTCAGTTTTTGTAGGAGTTGAGTGGAAATGAAGTTCCCTGCCTAGCCGGAGTCGAGGAGGGCTTGTGCTGAGACACATACACTGGAGATTAATAAATTAACAGGTTTCTGGAACATCACTGATAAGCGTTGAGGTACTCAAATGATTTTCTGAATGAGGTTTTCAATTCCCAAGGCCAACACCACTTGGGCTGAATCGTTAGAGAATTGATGTGCCTGCATTTGGAAATATTGTGATACCTGAAAAAAAAAACGTTGCAATCCTCCACCTCTCTGTTGAATTTCACTGTTCGGGCCATGTCGCTGGTCTGGAAGGGTGGATGGATTAGCCGGTGGAGAAGGAAGGACTGGCGAACAGCCTGAACCAGTTTCACGAATGGATCACGAAATGGATCGCCATGAACTCTGCTGGACTCTGCATTCCGTTGGTCTGGTCTTCTGTCACGGATGGAACAGGAGACAGGTGGTAAGTGAAATAGTGTTTATTTACAGGTTGCAGATCCAGACAGAGATATGGTGAGTATGCAAGCAGACGATATTCAGGATGGAACTTCACTGAAGGATAACCGGAGTCTTTGTTTACAGATTTGAATGAAAAGTCTTTGGAAACAGGACGATGGCTGGAGACTGAACTTCCTTGTGAAGGTTAGCAGGTGATCAATGGATGGAGCGGGCAAGTAGCGGGCAAGTCTGTAGTGTCATGTAGAGACAAGACTAGACAATGAGTGTGTGAAGAGGAGTTGAATATATAGTGAGGTGAACTGATGAGGTGGAGGTGATGGTGATTAAAACTCAGGGGACTATGAACGAGTGGGAGGGAGGAGTGAGTGAAGCTGGTGGAATCCTGACACCTACAGTGTGGGATGGACAATGAGCTTAAAATGCCCTTAATTTATTAATGCTGTAATTACACACAGGTTTTTATTAAAAAGAGTACAATTAAAAAAAGCATGTATGTAAACAATATGTGCATTCTATCAAAAGATTAATTGAAGCCTCTAAAAGGCTACAAGTCAGGGGAAAGTTTGTGCCTCACCTCAAAGTCTGCATCCATGCAGACTGTACAAGGTACAAATGGTCCTGCAATCTTAAATGCTGGTTCTCCTCGTTCATTCTCAATTGTGAATTTAGGTAGGCAAACATGCCAGTTTTGTCGAACAAGTCCGATGGCAACGCCAGGTGGAGACTGAACCTCCAGCTAAAATATACATACAAGATATCATATACAGTACAACATAATCAAGGGGTAAACAAGACAGAGAAAAGGTCATACCTCATTATTGCTGCAACAAACAAATGGTCGCTCCAGTCTGATGATCTCTTGATTTGAGTCATTAAAAACATTCATTGTGAAGGAACGTGATCCACCCAGGCAAGTCCTGTTACAACCATCATTGTTGTAAGGACTCACGGGACACGGAAGAATCCATTTGCAGCTTTATTATAAACAGAGTCGTACAGGCAGGGTCAAGACGAGGCAGACAGAGCAATACAGGCAGAGCAAAGGGATAATCCAGATAACAGGCAGAGTTCGGGGCAGGCAGCAAGAATCACAATCCAAAGACAGTCCAAGATCAGGCCAGGCAGATAACACTCGTAGAATAATCCAACAGTCCAAAGTCAAAACCAGAAAACCAGAAACAGGGAATAACGCTCAGAAATGATCACCGGGGCAAATCAAGACTTCGCAACAGTGTGTGTGTGAAGGTGGCTTTTATGTGTGTGTGCTAATGCGGTGCAGGTGTGTGACGCAATCAGTCCCAGGTAAGAGGTATGATGGGAATTTGAGTTTATGTCCAATGATCAATACTCCGGTGAAGGCTCCCTCTGGTGGCGGAGAGGAGGCGGAGCGGGAGCCTCCACTGTAACAGAGCCCCCCCTGCGAGCGGCTCCTGACGCGAGGAGGCAATTGTCGTCGGGGTCTACCACGGGGTCGAGGGGCCGGTTTCTCCGGGTAAGTCCTATGGAACTCTTCCGTGAGAGTGGGGTCCAGAATATCTCTTGAACTGACCCAGGACTGCTCCTCCGGACCGTACCCCTCCCAGTCGACCAGATACTGGAGATTGTTACCCCGACGCCTGGAGTCCAGTAACTTATGTACCCGGTACGCCTCCTCGCCATCGACCAGAATGGGTGGAGGGCTCTGAGAAGCGGTCCCTCCCTCCGCTTCTCCCCTCGGACCACCAGCAGGTTTCAGCAGAGAAACATGAAAAGTAGGGGAAATACGGTAGTTAGCGGGCAGGTCTAATCGGAATGAAACTGGTGAAATCTGTCTAATAATTTGGAAGGGACCAACATACCTGGGACTGAGTTTGCGACATGGAAGTCTGAGTCTTAGGTCTCTGGTGGACAGCCAAACCCATTGGCCGATCTGGTATTCTGGAGCGGGGCGACGGTGACGATTGGCCTGATGTTCTTGACGTCTGACGGCGTGCCTTAGGTGAGTATGTGCCTGATCCCAGACCTCTTCGCTCTTGTGTAGCCATTCGGTGACAGATGGTAGTTCTGTGGGTTCGCCGGACCAGGGGAAGAGAGGAGGTTGGAAACCGAGGATACATTTGAAGGGTGTGATGCCAGTTGCAGGTTTTACCAGAGAATTTTGAGCATATTCAGCCCAGAACAGGTATCTGCTCCAATCCTGTTGATGCTGTTGACAGTAGGTTCGTAGAAAGCGGATTACATCTTGATTTAAACGTTCAGTTTGTCCGTTGGACTGTGGATGATACCCGGAGGTGAGGCTAATGTTCACGTTAAGATTCTTGAAGAACGCGGTCCAAACTCGGGACGTGAACTGCGGTCCCCTATCGGACACGATGTCTTCAGGTAACCCATAGAATCTGAAGACTTGATTACATAGGAGTTCGGCAGTTTCGAAGGCTGTGGGGAGCTTGGTGAGAGGAACCAGTCGACAAGCTTTTGAAAATCGATCCACTATGGTGAGAATGGTGGTGTAACCTTGTGAGTTGGGAAGATCGGTGATGAAATCTACTGCGATGTGGGACCATGGTCGTTGTGGGGTTGGAAGAGGACATAGTAGACCAGCAGGTAGTTTTCGTGGTGATTTTGAGGTCTGACAGAGAGAACAGTTGTGAATGTGGTTAATGGTATCTGGAGTAAGTGTGGGCCACCAGAAACGATTTTGTAGAAGCTGGACCGTGGCAGTGATACCTGGATGACCCGAGCTGGGACTTGAATGAACTTGATCTAGGAGACGGGCTCGTAAAGTTTCTGGTACATAAAGGAGGTTGGCTGGACATTCTGCAGGAATGGGAGTTTGACGATTGGTCTGCTGGATCTCGGTCATAATATCCCATTGGACAGGAGCAACTAACAATTTCTCACCCAGTATATTCTCGGGATTGTGGTTCTGGGCAGTTTCTTCAGATTGTCGAGAGAGAGCGTCGGCTTTGGTGTTTTTGGTTCCTGGGCGGTAGGTAACCGTGAAATTGAATCTGGTGAAGAACAGTGCCCATCTGGCCTGACGTGGGTTGAGACGTTTAGCCGATCTGAGGTATTCCAGATTTTTGTGGTCTGTAAGAATGACAAACGGTTCTGCTGCTCCCTCCAACCAATGACGCCACTCTTCCAAGGCCAACTTCATGGCCAACAATTCCCGGTTTCCCACATCGTAATTACGTTCAGCTGGAGAGAGTTTGCGAGAGAAGAACGCACATGGGTACATCTTGGCTGGGTCTCCCTGGCGTTGTGATAGTATAGCCCCCACCCCTGTATTTGAAGCATCGACTTCAACAATGAATTGTCGTTCAGGATCCGGATGATGCAGGATAGGTGCGGTAGTGAAACGTCTCTTCAAGTCGTGAAAAGCTTGTTGGGCTTCGGGGTTCCAGGATATGCGATGGTTGTGACGTTTGGTTAAGGCTGTTAAAGGGGCGGCTATGAGGCTGAAGTTTCTGATAAATCTCCGGTAGAAATTTGCAAATCCCAGGAATCTTTGTAGTTCTTTTATGGTTTGTGGTAATGGCCAGTCTACTACACCCTTCACCTTCTTTTCATCCATGGCGACCCCTTCTTGACTGATGACGTATCCGAGGAAAGAGATGCTGGTTTGGTGGAATTCACATTTTTCCATTTTAGCATAGAGGTGAAACTGAATCAGACGTTGAAGTACAGACCGGACATGTTGAATATGCTCTTCTAGTGAATTGGAGTAGATCAGAATGTCGTCAATGTATACAATCACCCACTTGTCCAGCATATCACGGAACACATCATTCATGAAGGCCTGGAAGACAGAAGGACTGTTGGACAATCCGAAAGGCATGACGAGATATTCATAGTGCCCACTAGTGGTGGAAAAGGCAGTTTTCCACTCATCACCCTCTCGTATGCGAATCAAGTTGTAGGCATTGCGTAGATCGAGTTTGGTGTAATATTTGGCCTGACGGAGTTGTTCTAAGGCGGCAGGGACCAGCGGTAGTGGATATCGATATTTGACAGTGATTTCATTCAAGCCTCGGTAATCAATGCAGGGTCTGAGTCCCCCATCTTTTTTCTTTACAAAGAAAAACCCAGCGGCTGCTGGTGAGGTGGAGGGTCGAATGAAGCCCTTTCCGAGTTCCTCTTCTATATACTGTTTCATAGACTCAGATTCTGGTTTTGACAAAGGGAAAATTCTTCCTCTGGGAGGTGTGGCACCGGGAATTAACTCTATGGCACAATCCGTTGATCTGTGTTCGGGGAGTTGTGCGGCTTTTTCCTTGCTGAAGGCTTCCTTCAAATCCACATAAACAGAAGGCAAATCTCCCGGCTCGGGTGTTGAAGTATCAGATTCTGATTCGGGATTGCAGACACGAATGACTTTGGATAGACAGCGGTTATTACATGCTTCACCCCAGCGAATGATTTGACCTTCCTTCCAAGAAATGTGAGGATTGTGAGTTTGTAGCCAAGGATGACCCAGAATGATGGAGTGATGTGGAGCGTGAATGACATAGAACTGGATATTTTCAGAGTGAAGAGATCCAATGTGCAATTGAACATTCTCCGTGACGCGCTGAATTTTCCCCTCTCCGATGGGATGTCCATCTAGCGCCTCCACTGTCAATGAAGAAGGACACGGTTTTAGTTGGATGTTGTGTTGTTCAGCAAATGTTTGAGATATGAAATTTCCCGCAGCTCCAGAGTCAATGAAAGCAGAAGTGTCAATGGATTGATTATAAATGGTTAAACGGACTGGCAGTGTGAAACTGGTAACAGGATTGTGGGATTTATCTCGGGCACTCACCGACTGGTTATGGTTGGAGGGTCGAACAGGACAGGAGAGCTTCATGTGTCCAGATTGACCGCAGTACATACAAAGCCGATGTTGAATTCGACGTTCGCGTTCCTCTGGCGAGATGTGAGTGAGTCCCAGTTGCATGGGTTCGGGATGGTTAGTGGCTACGAGTGAGGATTGAACTGGTAACCGGGGCTTACGTCTGGATCGCATCAGATTATCGACTTGAATGGCCAGAGTGATATATTCATTCAAAGTTCTCCCCTCATCTCGACAGGCTAATTCAGATTGCAGTTCATTGGTAAGTCCTCTCCTGAAAAGGGTCTTCAAAGTATCCTCCACCCAGTTCGTTTGTGCAGCTAGCGTGCGAAAAGTGAGGGCGTAATCCGCAGCAGTTTCTTTTCCCTGAGTGAGGTTTAAAAGTTGATCGCCTGCATCACCCTTCTCCGTGGTATGTTCAAATACTTGACGAAACTGATTGATAAACTCTTGGAATGTAGAAAACGTGTTGCCCTCTGGTTTCCAGACAGCCGTGGCCCATTCTAGTGCTCTGCCGGTAAGGAGAGAGCAAACAAATGCGATGCGACTCCCATGACTGGAGTATAATGCTGGTTGTTGCTCCACAAAGAGTGTACATTGTAACAGGAACCCTTTGCATTTGGTTGGAGAACCATCAAATTTGTCAGGGAAAGCGAGTCGTGGATTGACTGTAGTACTCACAGTAGTGGGAAGCGCACTCGGTGGTGGTGGTGGTGTAGTTGGCGTTTGAGGCGCGGTACCCACAGCGATACGAAGCTCCTGCATTCCCTGTACGAGCTGCTCGGTGAGAGTAGTCAGATGGCTGAGCTGTTGATGGTGTAGATCTAGGCGTGAAGCTTGGGAGGTGAGTTCGGAGGTCAGTTGCATGACGGCTGCTGGATTAGTTGGTGGCGAAGTCTTCTGTAAGGACTCACGGGACACGGAAGAATCCATTTGCAGCTTTATTATAAACAGAGTCGTACAGGCAGGGTCAAGACGAGGCAGACAGAGCAATACAGGCAGAGCAAAGGGATAATCCAGATAACAGGCAGAGTTCGGGGCAGGCAGCAAGAATCACAATCCAAAGACAGTCCAAGATCAGGCCAGGCAGATAACACTCGTAGAATAATCCAACAGTCCAAAGTCAAAACCAGAAAACCAGAAACAGGGAATAACGCTCAGAAATGATCACCGGGGCAAATCAAGACTTCGCAACAGTGTGTGTGTGAAGGTGGCTTTTATGTGTGTGTGCTAATGCGGTGCAGGTGTGTGACGCAATCAGTCCCAGGTAAGAGGTATGATGGGAATTTGAGTTTATGTCCAATGATCAATACTCCGGTGAAGGCTCCCTCTGGTGGCGGAGAGGAGGCGGAGCGGGAGCCTCCACTGTAACAATTGTCCTCAATAATTCTAAAAATGTTGTTCCCAGTGTCATCCTTCACCTCATATCTGTTGTTAGACTTTATTCCACATAAAACTTTCAGAATGAAAAGGTAGGAGATAAGTGTGTTGCTCATTTGATTTCACTCTATTTCATTTATGAAATGCTGATGAACAAACCTTCTTCAAGACTTTCTTCCAGAGTTTTGTCTTTGTAGACAAACAATTGATCAATCTAAAATAAACATGAAAGTGTTTAAATCAGAATAACATACACATAAGGATAAACATAATTATTTATTAAATTAAAAAAAAAGCATCTCCAGCCTTATCACCCTGGTTAAGGTCTCAAGATGAGAAGGACAGTGGTACGGGTCTGAGGAAGGCATCATTGCGGTGAACTCTGGAGCATAATCAGAAATGTTTATGTATCAAACAGCTTTGTTAAACAAATTATTACACACTGAAATATGTTGTGTATTATCAATAAAAAATGGATGTTGTCCTTTATACACAACATTCAATTAGGTTTATTCTTGTCTTTCATGGTCACTTGTGAAAAATATGGGCTTTATATTGAATGTGAACGTATAGTGTATATTTTAAATGTACAAAATTGCAACATCATCATTACAAATGTGCAATTACAAATATACTTAAATACATGACTTACAAGTTTAATAGAACTTAGATTATATTTTAGTTGAAACCTGTCAGAACGTTTGGCAGAACACTTTAACCATACAAAGACAACAGAAATACTAAGTACATAAACAGTACATACATACTAAGTGCTTAGTATTATGTACTTGGGTCAAAAAAGGCACTCTTAAGTTATGCAACATTTGATATAACTTTAAAATGTTCATTTAATTATAAATAACATGCAACAAGTGTCTGAAAACATTACATTAATTTCACGTGGCCATGTTATTTCCATAGTGATAGCCTTTTTTTAAGTTTGCTAAAGTGTGCACTTCTCATAGCTTGCCTCAGCCAGGGGCTGAATCTGCACAGTGCATGTTGTAGTCAATCAAGCAAAATCAGCATAGATAAACATAAAAACTCACCTGATAATTCCTTATTTGATTTTAGACTGAAAGGAGAGAGAATAAAAAAATAAAAATAAAGGACATCAATTTTGTTTATACACTGTTAAATTTCATTTTTATAATTTTTAAGATCATAATAAATCCAATGGTTCTCTAAAAACTTCGTAACACAAAAAATTGCATTTATATATAAAATAAAATTAAAAAAGAATTTAAAATGAAATTATTTTAAAGGATCTTATATTGAGAGATATACCACATACCAGTGAGATACAAATACTTTGTTCGTCTGTGGCTCTGTACAGAAAATGTTTCTCTCATGACAAACAATGACAAACAATCTACCTACTTTTTTTTGTCACCAAGGTGTTTGTGGTTGAAAAGTGGGTTGACCCACTTTCAAGTTTAGTTATTTCTTGTTTTAACAGCTTGAAAATGTTCCGTTAATTCTGGTAATTTTATCGAAATAAATAAATATACCACAGGGCCTATATAATTGCAGGCATTTTGAACATTTGACATTTTTATCAAAGTAGTGATTGTTGCAGTTTGAACCTCATCCAGGCTAAGGCTTTATTTTGTAGGTGCTCAGCTTTTATACATGTGTTTCATTCTCTTCAGCCTCAATTTGTCATTTGACACTTCAACTGTGTTTCTGAAACCAAGTAACAGTGTACAATAGCATTTTTTCCCCCATTTCAAACATACAGTTAGTGTGGGACAATTAACCATGGTTTTATTTTAGTGAAAGTGTAGCCATGGTTATTGTAGGCAATAACCACAGTTTTACAAACAGTTAAAATGTACACAGAGTTGCAGCATGTCAATTTGTAGTTAATTAATAGACTTTTATTTTGGTTTGTATTTGCAGTAAAGTGGTTAATTTTTGTAAGGGTTTGTTTAATCAGTGACTGCTTGCTTGTTCATTTTATATTTCCACATATTGTGGTTGTCGGAACATACTGACATGAGCCTCATTGTAAGGCTTTTTTTGTTGTTGTTACATTGTATGGTTTACATATTTAGAAGAATTTAACTTTGTGCTGTGTACAGTGCTTTGAGCACTGACTGGAAGCGCTAGTAAAGATGTCAATGTCTTACTAGGCTTATCAATAGTCATGTTTTATGTCGATATTGTGGTGTGTCAGTTTTCTAGAGGACTACCTAATGTGTACATAATTTAATCACATTTCTAAGTTGTCATATATGATTACTGTAGTAATAATTTAGGTAGAAACAACATTATGAGCCAAGGTGCGTTTTGGAAGGAAGGAGGGACTTTTATTCCACTTCCGCTGTAGCTTGCCTAGCGGAAGTTGGATCAGGATCGAAGCGGCTGCAGTCGGTTCTCTTCATCACTCTCGCGCGTGACGGCCATCTTCCTTCAGCTCGAGAAGACTGTTCCTGCAGACATGGCCGACTATTCTAACGTGGCTCCGCCGTCCTCTAACTCCGGTGCAGGGATGAACGATGCTTTTAAAGACGCCCTTCAGAGAGCCAGACAAGTGAGTGTTTCGAAAGAGTCTGAAAATGTTTTGTATCTTCAAGCTCTCCGCGTAAAAAACAAAATGAAACCTAGCGATCTCGTTAGCTAACGTGCTAATGCGAGGCCTTGATGCGTTGCAACAAAGAGGTTTCAGTTTAGCGTTTCTTCAATTATTTACTTCCTTATATCAAGTTTTAGCTGAAGCAGAATGGCGTGTTACAAATAATACTTATGTACTATAGACTAAAGGCAAACAAATAGTTTGACTGCACAATATTTGATATTTACGTGAACTGTAACGTTAATTTGCATGCACACAAACAGCCACTCATAACTTTAGGTGGAATCAGGCCATTGGATATAGGATTAAAAATAGCCATTTTATAGGCTAAGTAAGTGAATTTTCTACTAATTTGTAGAAAAAGCGAAAGTTAGTTTTTTTGTTGTTGCAGCTGCTAGGTCGAATTAACTTAGTTTTGTTCAGGGGAACAGTAGAGACTCAGATAGGGCTCATACTCTTTCAGGTTTGTTGTGATTTATATAGAAAGATCAAACCCCGTTTAACTTTGTAATTCACATTATGTTCATAGATAGCGGCAAAAATAGGAGGTGATGGTATACCCCCCTCTCCGTCCTCCAATGAGTTTGGTTATGGAGGACAGAAGAGACCCCTTGAAGATGGAGGTAAGTTCACAGGAGCCATGTTGCGGCTGTATAGTTGGGTATATTGTTAACCACATTTAGTTTTTTAACCCTCTTGTATTCTTAACTTGTGATATTTTGATCCTGCGGAACTGGTTAAGGTGACTTTTTTTTTTTTTTTTTTAAATAAATGAATGTTATATTTAATATATTGAGACTGGCCAAACCTTTAAGTTATGCCTCATGTTAATATTTTCATTAAACACTACAAATGTTAAAGGGTTAGTTCACCCAAAAATGAAAATTAAGTCATTAATTACTCACCCCCATGCTGTACCAACCTCGTAAGACCTTCATTCATCTTCGGAACACAAATAAAGATATTTTTGATTGAATCTGAGAGCTGGATCAGCCGGTAACAAGAAGTAGACGAATGAGAACTTCCTCGTCTCAGTTCTCGCGCATGCGCCCATAAGGAAGTAATGGAATAGTGGAATAAAGTCGTTATTTGTGTTTTTTTCGCACAAAAAGTATTCTCGTCGCTTGATAAACTTATAATTGAGCCGCTGTAGGCACATGGAATATTTAAACCTTTTCTTTAATGACTTTATGGGCCGTCAAGAGCCAGTCCCTTTGGCAGTCTATCTAGGACTGATCCAGCTCTCAGATACAATCAAAAATATCTTTATTTGTGTTCCGAAGATGAACAAAGGTCTTACGGGGTTGGAACAGCATGGGGGTGAGTAATTAATGACTTAATTTTCATTTTTGGGTAAACTAACCCTTTAAACTCTGCATAAAATAAAATTTTGTGGTTCTCTTAAGAGAAAAATCTTAGAATTTTTATATTATTTTTGAGGACTGTAACTTTCACTTACAATATATGGAACTAATATTTAAATCTTGTTAGTACAATCAAGCACTAAGTCGAGCGTGTGTCCAAGCAAGGCTTTCCGTAAAAATGCGTGGAAATGAAGTGTATTGTTGTACGAGTTATACAAACTTACCCATAAATAAACCAAATGGAAGATTCCCAACCAAGAGATGGCAAAAAAGAGCCTGATCTGTACAAACACAAAGGGTGCGTAGATGTTCTCATTGTGCTGCTTCAAATAACTTTTCCAGACATGTTTTCCTACCTTATTTGTGGTGCGAGTGCTTACTCTTAAACAGTTTGGAAATTATAAATCTGAATAACTATAAAATAAATCCTAAATAAAACCACAAAGCCACTTTTTGTTTTTCTTTTTACTTTTACCTCAGTTCCACTGTTTTGCTTCTATGTTGGAAAGCTGGAAAAAAAAGTCACATTTCCACCCTGCAAACACACAAAACAGAACAAAAACCTCACCACAATTAAAGGAGCAGAAGCTACACTGGGTTTTTAACACTTAGCCTTTTCGAGTCATACCTTTTTTGTGCATGTGTCGAGTCATCAAGTTTCATGCAATTCCAATTAAGGAGATTTTTTTTTTTTTTTTTAAATCTGCCTAAAATGACTATCAGAGGGTTAAATGGTTTTCCTATGGATTGCTTGCTGTAATAGGCTGATATGTAGTAATTAGTTGGTTAACTTGGTCTTTTTGTCCTCTTTAGATCAACCAGAAACCAAGAAGGTTCCACCAAGCGATCGTAAGCATTGATTGTTCCACATTGAACTGATTACCTGTTAAATGTGTTTTACAAAGATGTGGCTATGTTGTTTGGTCTTCTCATAAGTTCATGCTTTTATTTGCTCCAGCTTTTTCATCTGTAATGGGAGGCATGGGTGGCCCAAGGTACATTTTATTTATTTTAAGCAAAGTATTTAATGCAAATATATTTAAAATATTAATGCTTTTGTTTTTTTAAAACAAGTACATTTCTGCTTTGCACATGTATTTTAATGCTATCATGTCAATATGTAGGTCTATATCAGAAGAGTACAAGGTTCCCGATGGCATGGTCGGCTTCAGTAAGTTGTCCGATTCGTTTTTTCCGAATTCTTATCCACGACTAGAGGCTTTGGAGGACTTTCATTTAAATCCCATCAATAACGCAGTGTTAATTAATCACTCATCTGCAGTCATTGGAAGAGGAGGAGAACAGATTTCAAGAATCCAGCAGGACTCTGGCTGCAAAATACAGATCGCTCCTGGTGAGTCAAAATGCTGTGCCCTGACATTGTGCGTCTGAGGTTTTGTAAAGCATATATGAAAAGACTCTTATTCTGCACTCTTCCCAACAGACAGTGGTGGCATGCCTGAGAGGTCAGTGACATTAACAGGCTCACCTGAAGCAATCCAGTGAGTATCTCCACACGTTTAAAAGCATTTCATGGTTAAAATGGGTGTTCTAGAAGTGGGTGAAAACAAATGTATGTTTTCCATAATAGGGGTGCAAAGAGGTTACTCTCAGAGATTGTAGAGAAAGGCAGACCTTCTCCAGCATTTCACCACAATGATGGACCCGGGATGTCTGTTCAGGAGATTATGGTCCCAGCCTCCAAAGCTGGTCTGGTCATTGGAAAAGGAGGAGAAACAATCAAACAGTTACAGGTAAGGTGCACAGATGTGGTTTATTTAGCATTCAATTAAAGCTGGTTTGGAATTCCGGCATGTTCTCTGACTTCGGACCTTTACATGTTTTCCAGACATGCAATTACTAATTTAACTGAAACCTGCTGAGAGGGAGAGAGAATTATCATCTATTCTTTCATCCCTTCCTTTAATCCCTCCCTAGCTTGAACTATTCTGAACAATGTTAGAAACAAGTTTATTATTAAGTGCTTTGTTTATTGGCTCTTTAAGCTGAATCGCTTGTGTTCCTCGTTGGGAGTCTCTTTGGATTAATGCATCTGCTAAATGAATAAATGTAAAATTGTAATTGTTCAACATTTGTTTATCAGGAACGTGCTGGAGTCAAAATGGTCATGATTCAAGATGGACCCCAAAACACAGGTGCTGATAAACCGCTCAGGATCTCCGGTGATCCTTTTAAAGTTCAGGTGAGTACATCAAGGCATTTGCATTGGTACGTTGTAACTGTAGATTATATATCTATTTTTAAATGACATGTCTTGGTCTGTACAGCAAGCTAAAGACATGGTGATGGATCTGATCAGAGATCAGGGTTTCCGGGAACAGAGAGGAGAATATGGTTCTAGAGCTGGAGGTGGTGGTAATGGTGGCGGTGGTGGAGAAGGTGGTCTGGATGTAAGTACTGCTTGATATTTTGAGTCTTTGTGATTTTTATACATTTAAATAATATTTTGAAAGGCAATTGACTATTGAAACTGTTTTGCTGTTGCTTTAGGTTCCTGTGCCAAGGTTTGCAGTGGGAATTGTGATTGGCAGGAATGGTGAAATGATCAAGAAGATTCAGAATGATACTGGTGTTAGGATTCAGTTCAAACCAGGTGAATACGTTCATATGCACTTCAATGTAAAAGCAAAAACAAAATCGGATTCAGATCTTTGACACAAATGCTTGACCTTTGGTTTAGATGATGGCACTACTCCAGAGAGGATTGCTCAGATTATGGGGCCTCCAGACAGGGCTCAGCATGCAGCGGATATAATAACTGACCTTCTGAGAAGTGTGCAGGCAGGGGGCCCCCCTGGTCACGGTGGGGGCAGAGGGAGAGGCCGTGGGCAGGGAAACTGGAACATGGGTGGCCCTCCTGGAGGCCTGCAAGAATTCACTTTCACTGTGCCTTCCATGAAGACCGGCCTCATTATTGGCAAAGGTTAGTTGTTGCTGATAAATACTTTACCTTTGAAAGAGGGTATGCAATTTTATGTTGTTAATTGGGTAAGTGAATTAACTTTTTGTAATATTTTCTCTCGCTCTAGGGGGTGAAACAATTAAGAACATCAGCCAGCAGTCCGGAGCCAGGATAGAATTACAAAGAAACCCTCCGCCTAATTCAGACCCTAATATAAAGATCTTCACAGTCCGTGGATCACCCCAACAGATTGATTATGCCAGGCAACTGGTTGAGGAAAAAATTGGAGTTGAGTGCCTTGGGTTTTTTTTAGGGCTGCAACAACTAATCGATAAAATCGATTATAATCGATTATGAAAATCGTTGTCAACGAATGTCATTATCGATTAGTTGGTCTGATTACGTCACAGGGATTGTTTACATGCTACATGCGGTTCTTACATGCGCTTCTTACATGCGCTTCATGAGGCACACACGCAGTCTCTCTCCCTCGGCGGTCTGTGCGCAACACGGACGGTTTGGAGCACATTATCTTCTGTCTCGCATGCGCACTCTTGATTCCGTGAGTTTGAACTAATTTGCGGGTATCAGGAAACCGCTATCAATATGCAGCATACACGAAAATCATTCACCTTTCGGCAAATTCGCCGTTTTGAAACCAAAATAGGTGACCTGCGTTAATCGTGTATACTTTATGAAGCCATACTGTAGTATAATGTGAGATAGAAATGTATATTTAAGTCATTAAATTCAAGTTAACGTAAGCTTTTTCCCTCCACTGCGGCTGTCAGTCATTCTCTATTCGGTGTTCAAACAGCGCGTCGCGTTACAACAGTTAACATGATGAAACTCTTTCCAAGATGATTCAATGTTATTATTATAATGATCCGTAGATAAAGGTCTATGGTTTCGTAATATAATGACTATCTTGCTAGACTTTTATTGCTGTAACTTAATCACTTTCTACTGAGTGTCTGTCTGTTAGATCACAACACTAGAGTAGACTCGGCGCACTATAATTGTTCTTCACGTGCACAGTAGCCTAACTGAAATTTAAAACTGTTAAAAGAAAAGCTTAATAAACTATTGCAATGATACTGTATAATACACAGTCAATATTGCTTCCTCACTAAACAGCTGTGCATCTGATTTTTACGATGTTTTTCATGAATGTATAACAACAATACAAAGAGCAATGTGTAACGTTTTTACCAGAGATAGTGCTACACTTATTGTCTCTTATTTTTTCCCCACTAAGGAATGTTTTTTTCACTAAATGTTCAGATTTTATAAAATTATTGTGCACTTGTGATTTTTCTAGGCTAAGTTTTTCGGAGTTATCCACTAATCTAGTTTACAATAGCATTTTTGTCATAGGTTATGGTCATATATATTTTTTTTATTTGTTGTTTTTCTATATAATGAAGTTGTCTGTATTAAGAAGATTGTTTAACACACAAAGAGTGTGTTTTTTAGGGTTTTATTTAGTTATAATAAACAAAAAAATGGAATAAATTTTTTATCCGATTAATCGATTAATCGAAAAAATAATCGTCCGATTAATCGATTATCAAAATAATCGTTAGTTGCAGCCCTAGTTTTTTTGCAAATTTTTTGGGTGAACATGAAATGCTGCTCAGAGTCAGACACAGGCTAATTCTTGCTTATTGACAAGCGCTTATATGAGGGGGTTATGAGATAGCCGCAACTTTACAAGATTACAAAGATGTTTTTTCTTTTGGAGTAAAATAGTGCAGACACTGAACGAAGATACAACTTCCTAGAGTGCATGTGTTGACCGCCTGCTTTTGCAAACTCTATCAAATGGAGTGTACTTTGAAAGTACAGCTGGAAAAAAAAAAAATATATATATATATATATATATTTTGGGCTTTAGTCCCACTCATCCCAAGTCATGAAGAGAACAGACTTTTTTTAGGCTGAGGGAAGGTTAATGTTTTTGATTAAAGATTGAGGGCATACTAATTAAGTACTACAACATTTATGTAAAAAAAATTGAGAATTGTCCATTTTTATTTTATACTGACTCTAAAATGTTTGTTTTGGTTTATTATAGGGTCCAGTTAGCCCTATGGGTGGCCCTCATGGTGGTCCCGGGCCCCATGGAGGTCCTTCTCATGGTCCTCCTGGTCCACAAGGACCTCCTGCTCCCATGGGCCCATATAACCCTGGGCCCTATGGCCAGGGCCCTCCTGGACCACAGTAAGAACTTTCTGCTTCATGGTGTTAAGCATGTGTTATTCTTTTCACTTTTTCTAAAAGGAGTCAATTCAATTTCAGATGAACTTAGTGCATCTTATTTTTTATCCTCAGTGGTCCCCCAGCTCCATACCAGCCTCAAGGCTGGGGCAACGGATACCCCCACTGGCAGCAAGGGCAGCCAGATCCCAGTAAGTGCTCATATTTGTGCAAATTGGGGTTGGTTCAGAGTGGTATTGCTGAAGTTTTCCCCATTGCTAGTCAAAGTCATTGCCACTTCAGTTGCCTGTTGGAGGAAAAATGAAATTGGCTAAGCGGTTGTTTGTTCTCCAGATAAAGCAGCAGCTGATGCTAATGCTGCTGCATGGGCAGCCTATTATTCTCAGTACCAGCAGCAGCCCCAGGGCCCCATGACACCCACCTCAGCAGCCCCAGGCACAACCCAGTCCAATGGACAAGGTACTTTTTTACCTGCACTCCACAAAACGCCACCCTCCCTTCACTGTAGACCTACAGTCTGTTGTACGGTAGCACTTAGTAGGCTTTCAGTGTAGCCATAACTACAGTATAATGTTCTTTTTTTTTTTTAATGGTCTTCATCCGTTGAGCTGGGGTGGCCTTTTTTAGCACTCGTGGACAGAGACACTCAACCTGTTTGTGCAAAGTGCGCCATCTAGCCAGGTGGAGGACTTTCTGCAGCCTTTGAAAAGAATGGTTGTCAATTTCTCAAATTGTACCATTTTTAACAGGTGACCCACAAGCTCCAGTTCAAAGTGGACAGTCAGATTACACCATGGCCTGGGAGGAATATTACAAGAAATTGGGTATAAATATTTTGTAGCTTCAGGTTATTTTCTTTGAGAGAGCAGGTTATAGATAGCAGCAGGGCTTGAATGGCCAATCTGTCCTGTGGTACTTTTGGAGTCTTGTGAGGGAAGTTAGTGGCGTGAGAATTTTGTTTTTGGTGCTTGTCCTCAGAAATATTGGTCTCAAACCCTGCTGTTCAGAATGAGGAGCTGTAGCGTCTCAACAGGGGGAATAGGATTAACACATTGACAACCATGAATGAGATTGTACTTTTCTCACTTTCGTATTTGCGTACAATAGATAAATATCTAAATTTCCAAGTTTGTGCCTGATATTGTTGTATTTCAATGCCGCTTGCACTTATAAATAGAGCTGGGCAATAACGATAATTATCGCGATACAATTTCTCAAATACAAATGTAACTAAAGTTTGATAAATGTTCGATATAATGTTTATGAGCCAAAAGCGGAAAGAAGCAACTAAACCACACCTCATTTATTTGCTCTGCTTAAATGGCAGCGTAGAGCCTTTTTACGAGAGCAGATGACCTGTTTACTCTCGGATCGTTCTCGGGCACTAAACAGTGCTGTGAGAAGCTCTTGAATTCATTGAAGAACATGAATGTCTCTGTGATTTAAACTACCAAACCAGATGAATCTGCACTGACATTCTCAACAGCACTGAGAAACAATGTAAAATTGTGCCATGAACTATCCAGTTGCTTTTCAATCACCATCATTTACCATGGATTTACACTTCACTGGCTGGCCCACGCTGTACAGCGGCCCACTGGGAAAACTTCCGGTGCTACGGGAATCCACATGGTATTGTGGCAGAAATATGGAATGGAATGGAATATCATTGATTGTCCTTAAGTTATAGTATTTGTATTTATAGTAAACAATTTTATTTTTCACAACATGTAACTATGGTATTTACCATGGTGGTAAGGTGCTATATATGGTTTTACCTATGGTCTTCATGATCTAAATGAATAGTATGGATGACCAATGGTTAATTTGAATAAAATTATAGTCATAACTCAGTCAGAATATTTAAATTTTACCATTATGAGGTTTTCAATTTTTTACAAATGTTACTGTTTTTGTTTGTGAACAAATTTACATCTGCATCCCAACTCTAGCTACTGACAAATATGCATTTCTAGAAGACAAAACGTACTGTGGCAAAGATTTTTTAAGTCAGGCAACTAGGGGTGTAACGGTACACAAAAATCACGGTTCGGTACGTACCTCGGTTTTAAAGTCACGGTTCGGTACGTTTTCGATACAGCAAAAATAAAGAAATGCCAGAGAAATTTCCTATTTGTTTAAAGGAAAAATATTTTTAAATAAGTGTGAGTTTTCTCAGATCTTGAAACTTTCAGGTTTATAAATAGGGGTCATCTTTGAAGGATGAACAAATAATGTTTTGGTCATCACATTAAAAATAACATTTAAATATATATTTATTTATATAATATTTGAATTTTGAAGTGCTGGAAAAAGATGTGTGAAGTACTTGAAAGCATTTCACCATTCCAGCCAAACTGGTTCCAGTTAGTGTTACTATATTAAATCCATGGTGAATGTTGCTGGTCTGTGGACGTAAAGTACTAGTTCATTCACGGCACAATGTTTCTCCTGGTTTCCATGACAGCGCTGTTTGATCTAATAGAGATCTACGGTTAATAACGGAGAAATGTGAATGCATCTCACTAGATCTCGCAGCGATGTTATTACCTCAGTGGCGAATTCAAATGTTTTCTTTACCGGATCTCTCAGCGCTGTGTGGTAACAGTGTTGCTTGATCGAGATCGGCTCGCGCTGCACAGATGTTGCTGGTCCGAACTGATAAACGATCCGTGAAGCACATAACGAGGAGCGCAGTTTCGTTCTGCTTTCATTACCCTTGCCATTTGGATGTTGCGCAACGTTGTGTTGGCCGCGTCAGCACGAATTTTTCCGGCAAGAAAAATGGTCCAAGCAATCGTTCGGTTTGTATGCGTACCGAACCGGAAGCCTCGAACCGAAACGGTTCAATACGAATACATGTACCGTTACACCCCTACAGGCAACACAAACTATCATCCCGTTAGTGGTATTTCTTAAGGGCTAACTTGTAAGTTAATTTGTGCATCTTTTGTAAAATATGTAAAATATTTTATTAAATGCTTTGAATACTCTACCTCTGATTTGTTAAATGTTCACCTGTTTGGCAAGTTTTTGTCATGTTCTGAGACTAAACCACAAATAACTGTATGGTTTTGACAACTTTTCACTCATGAGCAAAAATCTGCCTTTTAAATTAGAAAGAAATAAAGATTTGACTTTTATCGTGATAATTGACAATATCGCCCAGCCCTACTTAAAAATATTAAATGTGAAATTACTGAAATTTGACAACCTTAATCTTCAATTTATGTTTTAAGTGAACTGTTTTGCCTATGTTAGTTAAATATTTGTTTCTTGTCTGGTAAATTTGCTGGTAGACAGACATGTAGTCTAGTTGCATGTTTTGACCAGAATTGTCATTAGTTAATTCAGTAATATGTCATTGTTTGTTGCTGCGTAGACTCGTGATTAACGTCTTTTAGATCTTGTGTCTTCAGGTCAAGGACAACCTCAGCAGGACTACACGAAGGCATGGGAAGAGTACTATAAGAAACAAGGTGAGACATGAATGTGAACGTAGATGTATGGATTTTCTAAAAGTTTTGGGCAGCCGCAACTCTTTCACAGTCATCTGCAGTAGAGCTGCTGTGGACTCGGCTGCCCTAGAGTAAAGCTGTGGGTTTCTGTCCCGCCTATCGGAGGTCGTGTGGCCGGGGTCGTTCCCCCACTTACAAACGTTGTCATGGACTTATTTAGCTTTAACCATGTGCTAAGTGGTGGTGGTTGCTGTTCTCTCTGTAATGCTTTGTGTTTGGTTTAATCTCAGGTCAAGCTGCTCCTCAGGCGGCTGCAGCAGCGGCGACGACTCAGCCGGGAGGTCAGCCGGATTACAGTGCAGCGTGGGCAGAGTACTACCGCCAACAGGCAGCGTACTACGGCCAAGGCGCCCCTCAGGCGATGGGAGCTGCACCCCAGGCTCAGCAGGTACACTTCCACTAAAAAACTCTTCAGATGTGCATGTCTACTGTTTTTGTTCCCCCCTTTTTTTTTTCCTAACATTTCCTTCCACAGGGTTCGCAGGTTTCCAGACGAGTCATCGATACAACACTTAACCAAACACTTTCCTCCTCAAGCAGGCTTCTTTTATCTATTTTCTTTTAATTTTTTATTTTGGGAGGGTGTTGCATAAATGTTTCTGCTCTTAACATGTTGTGTATTTCTTATGTATTTCTTCTGCACAGGGCCAGTAATGTGAAGTGGACATAGTAAATGCTACATTGTCAGAAAAAACCTTTGTTAAATGTTTGGATGCAGACGCCATGATGAAGATCTTAATTTCATTGGTTTGAGTGTTTATGCTAGATCGCAGACCGGCTCCAAAGTCAAGTATATATATATATATTTTTCCTTTTTGTTTTGCCACTCTTGTAAATGAACGGTTTGTTTTTAGTCGGGTAATATTGGTCATTCCAGCTCCTGTATCTCCTGTATTTCATGTAGTTTTGAGACTGATCTATAGTCATTTCCATGTAAATCATCTCAGTTTTAATATGATATGCCTGTTGTGTTTTGCAATAAAACAATGAAACCTCCTGTGTTGGTAAGTGGGGTGCAAAATTGGGCAATGTTTTGTGAAAATTTCTTTTCCTGTTTTGGGATGGGGGGGGGGGGGGGTTGTCTTGTATGCAAATTTACAGAAAGAAAATGTTGCTCTTTTTTTTTCTCTTCTCCAACTGTCTACATTACCCCTGCTTTTAAGTTTGATTCCTGGTCTATTTTAAAGTCACAACTAAAGAGTATCAATGATCATTTGATTGCTTTGACAAATGGAAGGATATGGCTGTTTTTTTTTGTTTTTTTTTCGTACTGGTCATTGCTGTGGATGTAGGTGTAGGCAGGTTATCTAAGGCAAAGTGGCTTGGTGTTGGCAAGGTATGTGATTAATTCAATAACTCTTCAGTGCTGTAGTGTTGCTCATTCTTGTACTGCATTTCACCTGGTTTGTTGAGGTAGTGTGCACTGTTAATGAGAGACATTTCCTCCCTCACAGGCAAGATTAGGAAGGCGGTAAGCAAGTATGCGTCTTTACATAAACTGTTCCTTGTATATTGTGACTGCAATCATGTTGCAAGTATTTTAGTTTGTTTAAGTTTGCTGCTTTTTTACAGGGCAGGTCAAGTGTTCTGATGCCTTGCTAAATGACTTGTCCCCAACCATCATATATTTTAAATGTTTAAAATCCACCAATTGTGTATATATTTCTATCAATATTGCTGGCATTTCTAAAACGTTTTGATACGATTAAAAAAAGCTCAAATGCGAACGTGGACTACTTTTTTGTCTGCCCATTGTTTGTTAGCGTTTTTCCAATATAGGCCTGTAGGTTTTTGGAGACTCTGGCCTTCCACACCAGTGAAATGAGCTCTCCACTGTAAGTACAAAATGTACGTGACTTTGCAGCCCAATTTGTTATGCTGTCAATGCGTTGTCTTTGACTTACTGAAGCGCAATGTATTTAATTATCTTAATGTTGCCCTTTTTGGGTAAGTATGTCAGGGCTGCAATTTTGAATTTACATGCATTCAAGATAATGACTACCCTTTTTTCACATTGGACTGTTATTTTTGCCATAACAGCATTGTGTGATATTTACAAATTGAGTCATTGCCATGTTGACACTGCTTTAGTCATTTAAGACTTGTCTCTGACTTCTCGTATGAAACTGTGAACTGCATCACTGTGTTTAAGTCAGGACGTCTGTAGATCGTTTTTCCCATCTGAATTAACAATGACTAGACACTTTTTTTGTGATTTGTACTGCCAAGTGTTTTGTACTGCATAGATCATAAAGACCCTCAGCAAATGACCTCCTTCAGATGTTAATTAGTATTAATGTCCAATTTTTTAAATCTGTGCCTGACCGGTTTGTGTGATTTGAGGTCGTTTGATCTGACTGTTCACTTAGTGAGCAGTGCAATGTCTAATTTTGCAGTGTCATCCCTGACCTTGCACCTTAGGTTCTGCAGCAATAACACAGGTAAGAGTATCCTAAAAAAAAATCAAAGCAATTGAACCTGTGATCTAGTGTAATGCTTTTCACTCATTTGATACAGAGGTCAATATGTGCCGCCTTTTCAATTCAAGGATGCCTCTTGTAGTAAATAGACTGGCGTACGCCACAAATGTTGGAATTCAGATCTGCTGGAAGTATGTTTTTGTCCATATGAATTGCATGGCATTGACTTGTAGCTAAAAAAAACAACAATGTTTTTCCTCTGTTGACTATCTTTAACTAGGATTGTTATGCTTTTCTAAATGAACCCAATGTGATATATTTTTTTTAAATTTGATTGCCGATTTGTTAGCTTCCTGGTAAGTCTGTTAAGCGTGGTCTTGTTCTACTGTCATAAAGTGCATGCAGATGCGAAATGATGCAGAGCTAGTCCTATGAATGCACTCTCTGATAACTGACGTATACTGTATGTATGCTCATGTTTCATTGGTTTGCAAGCTTTCTTGATGCCCCTCTGTAGTGCTAATGTTTGTCCCACATTGCTGCCTTCATTCTCACTCACAGTGTTGAAGATGCTGCAGGCGTAGTTCGTAGAATCAGGTCCTAGTTTGTCCGTAAGGAGGAGTCCTTTGAGTCTGTCCCTCTGCTGAACGTAGACCGTTCAAGGGCTCCAATTATAAGGTAAAAATATGTACCATGAGGAATCTGTCATTGCTAAGTCAATGTTTCTGTTAGTTTAGGGTGATGCCAGTTAGATTTGATTATAGAAATGTAGCCATATGTTTCTGTATTATTGGTTGACTAATGGTTCTATGAAATGTTCGAGTACATGCTTTGCCTTTTGTTGATAAGTGTAGGGATTTAATGTGCTGATCAATGCTGTACATGTGGACCATGACCAGACCAGGAACTTTTTTTCTTTTCTTTTTAATAGACTGGTTTCAGTTACTTAGTCTTTGTCCATTGCTGCATATCTTTTTGTATGCATGCAAGATGTGCTTTCCTTTGAGCAAACTGTTCACAACAGAATTCGCGGGGGTCTAAAAACGAAGAGAAAATCGGAGGCTAGCTGAGAAATTTGGAGCATGCCTTTGAGGTAAAACAAGCTATCATGAACTGTTAAAGCTGTTGAATGTACTTTTTGAGTTTTTGCTGAGAATTGTTGGTCTGAAATGTTGAAGATTGTTGCCACTGTCATCAATAAAATTGTAATCATTAAGAATGGTTAAGGTTTTTTATTTCTCATAGTGATTTCAGTGTTCCTTTATACAGTACATTTATACTGGCTTAATGTGGACATGTAACATGTAATGAATCACATTTACAAAATCCACAAAGAATGTACACATTTATTGCTAGAGTTGAACATTAGTTTCTTTAAAGTGACGTACAGTAAAACAAATAAAGCTATCACAATACTTCCAATAAAGCTTGAGTCTTAAAACATCAAGGACCTGATAATTCATTGTGCAAGTTAACTAATAGACAAATTTACTACTTGAACACAAAGGCATATAAAAAAACAAACAAAAAAACCCTAATGCATCTGTCCTTTTTTTTTTTTAAATCCATTTAAATACACAAACTTTACACTGCATTGAAATGGCACTAATATTGATGTGTGCTGGACTCAGCAATGGTAGGTAAGAACACGGATGTGACGTACAGCTGTAGCTCACTGAACCTGTGCCTCCAGTAAAGCACTGTGTACCAGGTGCAAAGGTGTGCCACTACAGCCGTTTAGGTGGCGGATCATGTCGGTGCCCAGGTAGGCCAGCAGCAGCTCTGAGCGTCGGTGAAGCAGGTGCAGGACATCCTCAGACAGAGTGTCCAGACTAGAGTATCGCACTTTATCCAGGTCAAAGATGTCCTTCAGGAAGAACAGCACTTGCTCCTATGGGACAAAAGATAAACCTAGTTATACTTTGGTAGTCTCACATGACCATCAGACCCCCTGATCATCAGTTTTAAATTTGGCCCAGCATAGTTTAATCCACCCCTAATCAGATGCCTGAGCAAGATAATCAAGGGTGTTTGGCTTTATTAGAAAATTACAGCTAGGGGAGTTTGCTCTGGGTTTGAGCTAAACCCTGCAGGGCAGTGGACCTCCAGGACCAGATTTGAGGACCCCTAGAAAAATCTACAATAATATTTTACCCAAGGGTGTCCAATCCTGCACATGGAGGGCCATGGTCCTGTATACCAACTGTAATGTCTGTTGATATTCCTTACAGGCATTTAGGATACTTAGAAGACAACGACAACGCGTGAGTTCTCTCTGTGTCCAGTTTATTCACAGGTTAGCTTAACAACAACAACGGACCAAACACTTCCCGTATATATCTCTTCCTCGGCCCTCTATGATCCCCGCTAGAACACTGACACCTCTAGGTCACTCCCTGTCATTACATCTCCCCCCTCAAGGATATTGCCCTTCTTAGTTAACATGAACTGTTATTATAAGCAATAAACACTTTCAGTATATTAACAATGTTTCTTATAAGACTCAACTGTCTTGTTAACTTCTAACCCCAATGAAGGCTAATGAACATAACCATTTTTTTTTCACTTTTTTTTCTTCCAAACAATAAAGTGCATTTCCTGAAACATACTGTAAATCCACAAGTGCATTTCCTGAAACATGCTGTAAATCCACAACAAATCGACCTTTTTTTTTTCTTTTCTTTTTTTCAGGTCTATACAATCAAGAGTCCATAATCACCAGTCCAGTTTGTCTGGAGCTTTGCTCACTCTGCCTGAGCGAGTAATGGTTACAGTCCCTTGTGTGGGTGTGGAAGTGTTTTGTGTCTCAGTACCGTGCGTGTCCTCAGTTTTCCTGACCTCAGTGGCAACTTGGTCAGGGCTTTCACTGACGGTTGTGATCGGTTTGGGTGTGGATTGCAGGTGTCGTCGGTTCCTCCTGTAGCGCTGTCCCTGTGCTGTCTCCACGATATAGGACCTTGGAGTAGAGCTGGAACTGTGAACGACAGCAGGCATTGTCCACTGTTTTTGTCCATCCAACTTTGTTAGCACCGGGTCCCCTAAGCTCAGTGGGGGTAGAACCCTTACTCCATTCCTGCGGTTATAGTAATAAGCTTGCTTTTGCTTGGCTGCAGCGTCAGCCTGTCTGATCACCTCTTCATTCGGCCAATTTGGTTTCAGATTGTCCTGCAAGGTGGGCAAGGTGGTCCTGATTTTCCTGCCCATCAGCAGTTCTGCTGGACTGACTCCTGTCGAAGAGGTGGGTGTGGCTCGGTATGCCATCAGGGCCAGGAGGGGGTCCTTCTGTCTCAGTATAGATTTCGCTACCTGAACGGCCCGCTCTGCCTGTCCGTTACTTTGAGGGTAGTGAGGGCTGGATGTAATGTGAACAAAATCATATTCCTCACTAAACTCCCTCATCTCTTCTGAAGATAGCTGGGGCCCATTGTCGCTCACCATTACTTCAGGGATGCCAAAACGTGCGAATGTGGCTTTCAGCTTAGCTACAACCTGGCTGGTGGTAGTTGTAGGCAGATTCAAAATCTCCAGATATCTAGAGTAATAATCTGATACTATTAAGTAGTTTTGCTTCTTAAACTCGCACAGATCTACCCCAACTTTCTGCCATGGCCTAGATGGGAGTTCGCTGGGCATTAACGGCTCCTTATTCTGTGTGTTTATGTTCTCTCTGCAAAACGCACACTCCTGTACAGTTTTTTCAATCTCCCCAGACATTCCAGGCCACCATACGGATTGGTGAGCTCTTTCTCTGCACTTTACCAGGCCTTGATGTCCGTCATGGATTCTCTCCAGGATGGCCTTCCTTTTTTCTGTGGGAATGACAATGCGGTTGCCTCTAATGACCAAACCATCTATCTCAGATAGTTCTCCTCTCATTTGGTAGAAGTCTTTGACTACCTCAGGCACCTTTCCTATATAATCAGGCCACCCATTCCTGATGAAGCCTATGACTGTCTGGAGCTGTCTATCATATTCTGTGTACTGTCTAAGCTCCGCCATCCGGTGTGGTGTGGCCGGGACCTGGCTCATGACAGCCTCGATATGTGCGGCCACCTCCTCGTGACAGACCCCATCCCCCAAACATTGCTCTGGGCTTCTAGAGAGCGCATCTGCCACCGCTAATGTTTTGCCTGGTGCATGTTCAGCCGTGGCATTGAAACGCATTAGTCTCATCAATAGCCTCTGGCACCTAATTGGGACACAGTCTAAGTCTTTACTGTTCATGAGAGGCACCAACGGCTTGTGATCAGTAACCAGTCTAAAGCTGTCCAGTCCATATAGGTATTTGTCAAACCGTTCACAGGACCACACACTTGCTAAGCACTCCTTCTCTATTTGCGCGTATCTTTTCTCCGCGTCACTTAACCGTCTGGAACAGTAGGCCACAGGCTTCCAGTGATCCCCGTGCTGCTGGAGTAGAACGCCGCCCAGCCCATAGCTGCTGGCATCTGCTGACACTATGGTGGGCTTGTTGGCATCGTAGAAGGTAAGTACTGGAGCTGTGGCTAATGCAGTCTTTAAGCTCCTGAACGCCTCACACTGTGCAGGTCCCCACATCCACTCTTTGTCTCCTTTCAGTAACTCGTACAGTGGGTGGGCAACTGTTGATAGCTCTGGAATGAACTTGGCTAAATAATTAACCATCCCAAAGAACCTTTTGAGTTCTGTGACGTTTTGTGGCTGTGGAAAGTTCCGTATTCCTGTGACTTTGTTGGGGTCGGCTCTGACGCCTGCCTCGTCAATTAGGTGACCCAGGAAACGAACCTGCCTCTGTCTGAACTTGCACTTTGCCTGGTTCAACTTGAGCCCTGCTGCTTCAATGACCCTCAACACCTCAGCCAGGCGTCGGTCATGTTGCTCCTCTGTCTCTGCGTGAATTAAAATGTCATCCATAAAGATCTCAGTCCCTTCTAAGCCGGCCAGAGTCTCCGCCATTTTCCTCTGGAAAATTTCAGGAGCACTTGTTATCCCGAAAGGGAGACGGCGGAAGGCGTATCTCCCAAATGGAGTGATGAAAGTGGTGAGCAACCTGCTCTCCTCATGCAGGGGAATCTGATAAAATCCACTTGCTGCATCCAGCGAGGTGAATACTTTTGACCCGGCGAGCTTTGGCATTATTTCCTCCACCGTTGGCAGAACATACTTCTCCCGTTTCACTGCTTTGTTCAGTTTTCTGAGGTCTGCACAAAGGCGGACTTCCCTTTTGTTGGGTTTGAGTACCGGCACCATCGCGGCACACCATTCTGTTGGCTGTGTTACCTTTTCGATTATGCCCTCCTCCTCCATGCGATGCAGTTCCTTTTTTACCAGCGGTACCAGTGGCAGGGGTATCCGCCTGGCTGTCGGCACTGCGTATGGTTGGACATCATCGAGCAGGGCTATTCTGACTGGCTCAGTTTTCAATAACCCGCTAGATCCAAACACGCTACTGACCTCATTCATCCTTTTGACTAGACCCATTTCCACTGCTTCCTCACGGCCCAGTAAGCAGCTTTTTCCTTCCGTCACATACACTTTCAGAGGGTACTTCCTCCCTTTATAGCTTGTGAAACTCTGGAACATGCCCATGCAACTGAGATCGCCCCCTGGGCTAACAAAACGAGTGACAGGTGGCACGAGCTTTATTTTAGGACTCATCTTTTTGAATGTCCCCTCATCAATAATGGTAGCGTCTGCTCCTGTGTCAATTTTAAAGGTTACACCCACATTGTTTACAGGTAAGCAAACAGTCCATGTATTCTCATTATCCTCCCTGTCAACTGCTCCTAGGAAGTATGTTAGTCCAGGTTGTTCGCTTGTGACTTCTCTCACTGCTTTAGAACGACATTTACGTTCCCAATGTCCTTCCTTGTGACATTTATTACACTTGCTTTTCAACGCGGGACAATTTCTTTCATTAGAGTGTTGTGGCTTACCGCACCTCCCACACTCATCCTTTGTGTTGGTTGCCTGGCTGCTATTCCCACGTCGCTGACTCTTTTTCTTATATTGCCAATCCTTCCCTTTGACCGCATTAACGTTGGCCAGCTGAGCTTCCGGTCGACTGGTCTGAAGATTAACCTGCCGCGTTATCGCCTCTGTCTGGCGCACCCGTTCAATCACGTGCGTCAACGTTAGATCTGCTTTGAGCTGAAACTGGCGGGAAAGTTCTTTGTCTGCTATTCCTACCACAAGACGATCCCTTATATGTTCATCCCTTGTAGTCCCGAATTGGCAGTGCTCTGCTAACTCATATAATGTTCTGATGTACATCTCCGCCGTTTCCCCGGATTGCTGGCTCCGTTGATAGAAACATGCACGCTCGTGTATGATGTTGCGTCGTGGAATAAAGTAGTCGTCAAACTTTTTCATGACCACTTCAAAGTCTTTCTTTTCATCTTCCTCGTCAAACTCGAATGAACTGAATATCTTTTCAGCTTCACTGCCCATTGCGTAGATCAGCGAACTTACTTGAATCTCGCCATCATCTTTGTTTAGCTTCGTGGCCAACCGATAGCGGCGAAATCGCTGTTTCCACTCCGGCCATTCGGTTGGGCTCTCAAACTTAAACTCGCTCGGCGGGCTAAACTTCGCCATGTCTTCTTACTGACACACAGGCTATTCTGACACCATGTAATGTCTGTTGATATTCCTTACAGGCATTTAGGATACTTAGAAGACAACGACAACGCGTGAGTTCTCTCTGTGTCCAGTTTATTCACAGGTTAGCTTAACAACAACAACGGACCAAACACTTCCCGTATATATCTCTTCCTCGGCCCTCTATGATCCCCGCTAGAACACTGACACCTCTAGGTCACTCCCTGTCATTACACCAACTACACATTTTAGATGCCTGTCATCTAACCCATTAATTTCATAATTTCCAATCTGTGTCAGATGCGAGTAAACGATTGGATGTTTTTTGTGCCAGTGTAAACGCAGCCGTAGTTGTTAGCAAATGCATTACAATTTTTCCATATTCCATCAGCAAACTCAAAAGTGTAAGTTTAATCCAGTGCAACTCTTGGATATGTCAAAGATTGAATGCCACGAAACTTGGCAAATGCATCAAAAAGTTCTAGCTAGGAAGTGTGCAATGCCTGATTCCTTGCATAGCAGACTGATCTCATGAAATGGCGTATGTATGACACGTCAATTCGTATTTCCATTTTTGTCATGCTATCAACACGCATAATCGCTTTTCAGCATGTTTATGAACGCCGTTGACTTAACGTTACTGTATGTATATATATATATAAATATGACCTACCCCAACCCCGTCCCTAAACCTGCCCGTCTTCCCCTACCATCCTAGGAAAAAAAAAAATATCGCTTCCCAGATGTAGATCTACATTTTATGCAAAAGTTATGATGTCATGTTGTGCATAGAAGATACTCGATCTGGTGTATTTTCACCAGTTCTTCCCAATTTAGTGTACATTATGGGACATGCTCTAAGAGGATCTCCAAGAATAGACCTGAGAACCCTGCTCTATCAATTTTATCATTAAAATAAATGTCATGTTGCTATTAAATGTGGTGACACAGGTGGTCAGTATATGTTGGCATGCCATTTGAGACTGACTTGCTTTAGGATAAAGAGGTCATCAAATTACACATTACCTTAAAGAAGCCGCAGAAATCGTGCAGGGAATTTTTGGGACCTAGAAACCCCCAAGCCAAGACCGGACTTATGTGTTCACACACTGCATAGAAATGTGCAATGAAGCCATCTTGAACCTGAGCACACACAATAAAGTCTTGAATTGTCTCCCGCACATCCCAAAGACTTTCAATGAATTTATGGTCTGGACTCCTGTGTGGAAATGATTTTTCATACTCCTCCCAACCATTGTTTCACAGAAAGACTTGAATCTTGAAATTGTGATCCTGGAATATGGCCATGATTTGTTTTCCGAAATGATTGTCACACTTAATCAATTAGGTTTAGAAGAACGGTTTCCAAACATATGCAATAATGGTCCAATCAATCCAAACAATGACTTTTTTGGGCTGGGAAGTGTAAGATCTTACAATTTAGATTGACACTGAATTTATGCAAAAAGAAAAAAGAGAGATGCGTTTCAAGCCAAACTGTGGGCCTTGACATCCTGGTTGCACATCTCAACAATACCTTCATATGTTGTCTCTTCTGCTTCAGAACGGACCAACAACTTGATGCAACAGCCTATGAAGGTCAAATAAAGTTATGAAATATAATTATGTAATTGAAATGTCCTTTCGTAGAATGATCAAATGTTAGAAATTCTGTACACACCGTCTCTTTGAAGGAGTTGTTGAGCCAACGATTGTTCACCACATTTTGGATTGAGACTGGTGGATTCTCAAGATCCTCAAATGAATCCATAAGAATAAAGTCAAGAACGATGTCATAGAAGTTGAGATGTTTAACCTGAAGAGAAAACAAAACATAAAAAACCTTCTTAATCAAGATCGTGTGTTTGAAGATATATTTTCAGGACAGGTCTTGAATCTGTATCAAAATGAGATCTCTCACCCCTCTTGCAGAAAGCTCAACTTCTGTGTTCTCCCAGTGGTCTGTTTGCTCCATGAAGCAGATCATTTCTTCGAACACCTCCTCAAACCTCTTTGGGCTCTGCAAACCACACAACACAGGTGTGTTAGGTTGGGGAATATGTTCATATGTGATCACACGAAACAGAAAGGACACTCACCTTCCTTGCTTTAGTAATTATTGAAGACAATATCCTCTTTCCTGTGTCAGCCAGAAATGCTCTAGTTGCTCTTTCACATAAGATTACCTGAATCAAAATAAAAGGTAGGCTTTAAAAGTTTACCCACACATTTTGAGGACACTTGGAGTCTTGTTGACTTGTGAATGGCTACCACGTGCACATGTCAGTGAAGTGCACAAGACCATAGGAAGAAGTGTCCCGCAGACTACTTAAGGGTGCGTTCACACTTGGCATGTTTGTTTCGATTAAAATGAACCCTGGTGCGATAGTTCATTTGAATGCTGCCATCTAAACCCTGGTGCAGCAAAAAAAGATGAATCTCTGTCCACTTCTAAACGAAGTCTGGTGCGGTTTGAAATATGAACGCAACACTGATCAAAAACATCCAAACACGCCAAAAAGAATCTTTAGGTTCAGTGTAAAAAATGGCAATGTGAATGCTAAGCAGACCAAGACTACATTTTTTTTTGGTCCGGACCAAACAAACCGAACAAGTGTGAACACACCCCAAGACTCTGCCCCATGCAAGACCATTCACATGAACTGATTTTTTTATTTAGGTCTGTCCATTGAACACATGAAACAAACAAATGCAAGAAACCCCACAGAATTAATCAAAGGCTATAATCATGGCAAAATAATGATAAAAAAAGAACTAAACACATTGCGAAATTACAATGAAAAATACAGTCTTTCAGTTTGATGTTTACCGAAGCCCTGAACCACAGCGTAAAAAAATAAAAAAATAATTAATAAATATATATATATATAACATTTCGAGATTAAAGTCGAAAAATTTCGAGATTAAAGTCGGAATATTTCGAGAGTACGAGAACAGTCTTCCGTAGAAGTCGAAAAATTTCGAGATTAAAGTCTAAAAATTTCGAGATTAAAGTCGGAATATTTCGAGAGTACGAGAACAGTCTTCCGTAGAAGTCGAAAAATTTCGAGATTAAAGTCGAAAAATTTCGAGATTAAAGTCGGAATATTTCGAGAGTACGAGAACAGTCTTCCGTAGAAGTCGAAAAATTTCGAGATTAAAGTCGAAAAATTTCAAGATTAAATTTGGAATATTTCGAGAGTACGAGAACAGTCTTCCGTAGAAGTCGAAAAATTTTCGAGATTAAAGTCGAAAAATTTCAAGATTAAATTTGGAATATTTCGAGAGTACGAGAACAGTCTTCCGTAGAAGTCGCGTGTGTGCTTGCCCTTGTTTCACATTGCCGCACACACAGGCATTCAAAATGGTGCATAGCAAATGTTTCACACTGTGTGTGTGTGTTTTGTTTCAACAAAAGGAAATTCAACAGGTGCCAATCTACCAGCATTAGGCTACCAATATAGGATGTTATAAGACATACTGAACAGACTTTAGCCTAGAAAAAAAACCAACCCAGAAAACACTTTTCAGACTAGATGGAAGTATCCAGCTTTATGAATGGATGAATCATTTATATAGCGCTTTCATATCTCTACTAGGCCTACACTCAAAGCGCTTTACAATAATATCAGATAATCTCTCCTAACCAGCATTAGAGGCTATTAAATCTGAGGAAATCACAGGATCCGGCCAAATGATTGGATACAGAATGATGCACTTAAAATGTATCCAGAACGTATTTACGGTGAAGAGGGAAAATTGAGACTTACACTGCATTGAATAAATGCAGACTTACACTGCCCAGATAAAAGTAAAAAGCTACTATTTTGTGTTGATCCATGGCAGTTCGACTTCACAAGTGCATTGCTTTACACACACACACACACACACACACACACACACACACACACACACGCAGGCAGGCGCTCTGAGCCAGTGGACGCGCACTGTTATGAATGCACACACTTATCGAAACGTTTCGACCTTAATCTCGAAACATTTCAACTTTAATCTCGAAATGCTAGATTTTTTTTTTTTCGCTTCAGGGCTTCCTAGATGTTTGATAGAAATTCTAAAATTGTCCAAAACTATGAAGTTCACAACATTTATTAATTAAATGTTTTAAATAGAACCACTGCCTGTTCACATGAAAAACAGGTAGTCCAAAAAAATAAATAAAAATAGTGCCTAGTAGTCAATGGACTAAAACCAACAAAGCTGAGTTTTGTATTCAGGACATGAGAAAGGAGTCGTTTACCTGACACGCCTGCCGTATACAGTGCAGTTTCGCCAGGAAGTCAGTGTCTCCAAGGCATTCAAGCATTTCTGTTCTGATTTAAAAAAAAAAAGAAGATTATCAATGAACAACACAGTCTGCTGCATAAAACAAGAAATATTTGCAGAAACATGCTGATTTTTGAAACGGATCTGATCACTAAAAGATTTGAGGTTCGCAACAGCTTGCCAAAAACAAACTTTCCAACTACCATAGATCTGTAGCGATTACTTAATATAGGTAGGTGTAGCTCCAGGGATTTGACACAGAAATCCTTCAGGCCACATGTGAGTAAAAACATGAAAATACTGGAGACCTGCTTTGTAAAGTTGTAATTTCTAATTGAAAGTGACATTTTGTTCATGTTTAATACTGTAAATCTGCTTGCGTTACAGCAATCAATTGTACAAAGTGCTGTATAAATAAATGTGACTTAAATGGAGTGGTGAATAGTGGAGAGCTGGTGCAAACATGTCCACATCTAGCCTGGATGCCAGCCCGAACTCCGCCCACAACATTTTTTGGACTCGATCCATTGAGGAGTAATTATGATCAGACAAGAAACGTTTGGGACAATCATGTAATGTAACTTATCAGCTGGCTCTGACGGTCGCTAAGTTAAGAAGATGGGATGTAATGAAAAGCATGTGGTCTTTGTGGTTTCTCCTTTGGTCGCACTCATGAAGGACCAAGTGAAAGAAGCAACACTCGTTATTTTACTTCTAAAATAAGTAAATTCTTCTGTTGTTGACAACTATGCTATGCAAAGTTGTTGAATTACTGCTTTGCTCTGATTGGTTGTAGGTTTACCGACTATCCAATTGAGTGCAGAGGTTTTTTTTTTTTTCCTGGTTCAGACACGCCTCATAATCAAAGCCCTACGGAGCGGTCTCAGACAGAATACGAGTATGACGAAGTTAGGCTAGTCTACATCCCTAAGAACAGCCGCTTTCTTAACTGCTGTTTTTTCACCACTGGCATTTTTGTTTTGTGTTTATTGTGGTATTATTTCGAGGAAAGCATGCAGAACACTATATACTCATCTAAACTCTCAGCAGCATGTGCGGTACAGCGATGTTCATTAACAGTACAGTGCTTTAAAAATACTTTTCCTTGACATACTGGACTCACCGCAGCACTCGACAGGAGATCTTCCCCTCCTCCGCCATCTGCAGGGCCTCCTCGTAGAAGGGGTGATGACACAGTGCATGGGCACTCCTCTCTCTGTGCTCAGATAACTGCAAAAGATTGCAAGATTTTTGGCAGAATTCTTTCAAATTGTGTATATTTTACATCTAATATATTCTATAGGTTGGTGCCAGTCACCAACAAGACAAGGGATGTGCACCACGACTAAATCCTTTAAAGTTTAAATGGACATTTTGTAACCAACTTGTCTTGACAAACCCATAGAAGTCCCCCTGTAGTCAATTTTATCCCTTAAAACTCATTTTTACACATTTTAAAGTTTTTCCTCGGAAAAAAAGTCATCATGCCTTAAAATAGCTTGAATGGAACTCATTTACGGTAGTATTTGCGGTTCTGTGAATATGGAAATAACATTTTCACCATAGGGGGACTTCAAAACAGCCCACATAATCTATGAATGATTCGGTAAAATCCCATACTGAATGCCGCAGAAATATAGGTCATATACATGTGCTATGTAACAAATTATTTATAAGGGTATTTTATTCACTAGGACATTGGCATTAGATCTCTTGTTGTAAAGAAGTTTCATTTATACAATTCCCCCTTTACTGCTCTAAAATTTCATATCGGTATTCATAACCAGTAGTATAACAAGCCAAACTTAAATGTTAAATGCCAGTTTGACAGTTCTTCTAAGAAGAAGACGATCGCAGTGAGGGTCACTTAAAGGGATACTTATTCCCTTAACTAAGACGAGTTGATACATACCTCTCTCGTCTCAGCGAGTGCACTCAATCGCTCTGGCGCGCCGCGCGCGAGACACTTTGATCGCACTTCACGAGCCCAGTTCATTCACTATGGGCCAAGCAGAGAAGCAACCAAACATCTCCACATTTTCCCTATTTAAATAAAGTTACACTAGTAGTGTGACTCGACCTAGGACGGTGACATAACTATATTGACATAACTATATAACTATATTGTATGGCGGAATACCACAGCAAGTGTTTGGGCGCACCTCAACCAGTATGATACTCTTTATGATTGTAGAGTCAGACTACACATAATGGAATATCAATGGTGAACGTGATCGGAAAACTTGAGTGCTAAACAGCCCAAAATAAAACACATTCATCTTGAATCTCAAAGCAAATGAAAATCTGTTCGATGCGACTGGCATACGGTGACCCGTTATGAAGGTTCAAACTGTCCAGCGTGCGCCACACCGGCACACAGACTTTCCTCTCACCTCTGCGGCAGACACGAAGGAATCTGTCGAGGCGATGCTGATTGAATCTCTGAGACAGGTGTCCTCCAAGTCCTCCCGCACGGAGAGATCCATGTGTTTGTCTGCCAGAGGAAATGAGGGAAGATTAGACTTAAGTGCCCTTATCTCACATGGGTGACCAACTGGGCTAATTCCAAAACAGCAGACAGCATAAACAAAGTCACACGGAGAGACTCAATGCAATTGAAGGACAAACGTGCCTATTGGTTTGCATGTGAATTGAGCGTATAATGCCTTGAGAGGTTGGGAGTGGGTAAGAGAGGTAGACCTGTAAACAGTTGTAAGGAAACTTTTGGACTAGCTTCTTTATTTAGATACAGAATATAAGCCTCAGTAATGTACTGTGTCCAGTTCTGTGTTTAATGAAGAACTTAAGGCTCTCTCTCAAAAAAAAGAAAAAAAAAAGAAAATGATGTTGTTGCATCTTTGATCATACAATAAAAATCAGTGTCTCCTGTGTTGTTTTGGATCCCAGTGATGTTCACTGGATGAAACATCAAGTAATTGAAACATCCTTCAAATCATCTTTTGTGTTCCACGGAAGAAAGCAAGTCACAAATTTTCATCCGTATTAGGAAAACCAAGTCAACATAGTCCATTTACACTTGCAGTTAAGGTTGTCAACTTCAGCAAACGAAAATAAATGACAATCTTGGTTCTTTACAGAAAAGTAGGAGTTAACGGGACACTCGAAATATAAGTTTAGGTATAAGTTTACACTAAGCGTTCAACACTTGCATTTTGGTTCTCTTGGTTCTTTGGTTTGTACCCAAAAATAATGATACATTTAGTCCTGGTTCGCTTAGTGTTTACAGTCATAAGGACACAAAACTAAATATTAGGGCTGGGCAATAAATATTGATTTCTCGATATTATTCGATTCTCATTTTTACGAACCGATATCGATTCTTAAATCTCAAGAATCGATTAGTCATCCTGTTTCATTTGAATGAATGGAACATTGTATCGCGGCTGCGCGCATCCAAAAATATCACAATAATCTTTGTCCTTTGTTACTATTGACAAAGTCTCAATTTTCAAATTATGTCCATTTTGTTTAGAAATTCAAATACATAAATAACGTTTTGGCGCTGTGGCGTGAGATCGCTCTGGCGCAGCTCAAGAGAAGCAGCAGAGCTGATCTTTCTTCCGGCTTAATAATACCAGTTACAGCGCGAAATAATAAACATGAATGAGCATCTGAAAGTGTGTTAAAGATAGAGTACAACTTATCAAAATCCATATCATTTCACATCGATTCGCTCAATCAGCGTTTCAACCGTGGAAAGACGTCAGTAATCAATGTCATGACTCATGTATCGTCATATTTACCTCAGAAAACCCACATAAACTCGTTTGTCAGCTAGAAAAAATAACTCTAGAGAGGAGCATTTTGCTAAATATATACACCATATTACATATGCATAATAATCTTAATGTTCTTCAATATTTAATGCATATTTGAATAAATCTGGCAAGTTTTTGACAGCCACCATTTAAATGTTTATATTTCATATGATCTTCTTATTATAAAAAGAAATCAAAGTGTAATTTAAGTGTTTGTATAGCTACAAAACAGTTCATTATTACCTTCATATTAGGCTAATGAAGCCTATAGGCTACAACTAGACTCCAATAGTTTACAGCATTAGTTAAGAGATTTGATTTCCTTGTGAAAATTTGCCATTTATTGTAACTGATATCCAAAATAATCAATATTGAATCGAATCGGAATCGAAATCGAATCGAATTGCAAGCTTGTGAATCGAAATCGAATAGTGAAATTTGTGTCAATACCCAGCCCTACTAAATATGACGTCTTTATGGACGTGCATTTTGCGGCGGAACTTATCGAATGCTGTGTGCTGAACGCATTTTACAATTGTTTAAAGCAGCTTCACATAAATAAACATGTCATTACCCATTACTCGTGTCAATCTGGTCTCTTGAAAACTGAAGTCGCACTGCTTATGCAATGGATCAACATGTCACGCACAAATAAAAAAAAAAAACATTTTTTGCAGTACAGCAATGCATAACAGAGCCAAGCCCAGAAATAAATGTTACACAGATATGTATTAACTTAACATGACAGTCTTTAGTGTAACACTCACCGTTACTAGGACATGTTGAAGGGTCTGTCATTCCCAGCGCTCCCTCAAACTCCTCCTGAAGCCGATAGGCTCTCTGTAGCAGAGACTCCAGCTTTTGGATGAAATCTGCACTGATGATGTCCTAATAAACAGTCAATATTATTAGTATATTATGTTTTATGAACAGAGTTTCAGCTAAGGAAAAATGACTGAGTAAACTGTACATTAACATTGTTTTCAAATTATTTGTGTTTTTAAATAAGCATTAGTAAAAATTTGAATCCTCTGTGAGACACCAATGTGTCCCTGAGCAAGACACCCCTGGTTGCTCCAGAGGCGTGCGACCTCTGACATATATAGTAATTGTAAGTCGATTTGGATAAAAGCGTCAGCTAAATGAATTAAAGTGTCCCTACTGAGGCCTACAGTGGTTGGGGAGTAATACCTCCATGCTTTCTTCTGCAATGGCATCTCCAGCTCCCAGCTTGACCGACGCACAGCTGTCCTCATCCTCCGCTTGCCTGCTGCGGAATGTCAGCGCTTGTTCCCAGCGCCGCAGGGCCTCCTCGAACAACTCCATTCCTGTGAGAGGACACACATATGTCTATTCAACCAGTATTCATCTGCAAAAACTACGTGTTCGCTAAAAGTATACCGCTGCAATAGCATTTTGAACTTTTAAAGAACTCTGCCGTGAGTATACATGGGCCTTCATGAGGCTGAGGGGAGAGGATGCATCAATTCTGAATGTGTGTTGGTTTTTACCCATCAGGTAGAGATTCTCTGGAGTGGCAACAGGGATGTTGAGCAGATTACAGACGTCACCCTCATCTCCTGCCCCGTCCCAGCAGCTGGAGTCATTAGCACAGGTGGAGTTACTGGAGGAGTGCCTGCTCCTCCCCTGTGAAAACATGTGACATCTCAACATCTCAATGGCGCACTAATGCCAAAAGGCACACATTTTACAAGACTACCTTTTTGTCAATGGCATTTTTGGTGTAGCATGTGCTGTTGAAGTCACAGGTATGTATCTATGTATCTATCTATCTATCTATCTAAAGAGGAGTATAAAAAAGTTGCTTACCGAGGCCAGGCTTTGCAGGGAGCCCGAAAGCTTGCCGTACAGGCCACCATTGGAAACCACATTCCATGAGTAGCAGCTCTTTGAGTTCAGAGGCAGATGTTGATAGTCAATCTCTGAAATAAAAGAGAGAACAACAATTACATAATATATTCTATTATATCTATAAGAATATTTTAGGGGTGTAACGGTACATGTATTCGTCCCGAACCAAACAAATTTGTAATTTTCATGTCAACTTTATAATTAGATTCAGAAGTTAATACCTGCCTTATGTGCAACATTACTTTTTTTTTTGAGCGTTGATTATTATTATTATTAAATAGCAACTGAATTTAATAATTTGGGCTCTAATTGTAATTGTACTATATGTGGAGTTCTTGATTACACATTACTATAATATTCAAGGTAATATTGATAGTAATGTGTAATTCAAGGGCTCCCCATATATTTTACAGCATTAGCTAAATTAGATTTTTTTATCCTTAAGATAATTTGAATTATAATTAAATTTATTTAAACACAGAGACACATTTGTCAACAAAAAAAAAATAAAGCAAATTTGTGTTTAGTTCTGTGTTTAGTTTTATAAATGTTTTATTTGTTCAAAGTTATAAATTTGTTATATAATATATATATATATATATATATCTATATATGTGTAATATATATATATATATACATATATACATACATATATATATATATATATATATTAATATAATATTGTATAATATTTTGTTAATATTATTGTTTATTAATATAAACAATATAATATTATATATAATTTGTTAATTAATATAATATTTTGAAATATTATTCAAATTGTATTATTAAATTTTATTATTAAATTTTTTTATATTCAAGGTAATATTATAGTAATGTGTAATTCAAGGGCTCCCCATATATTTTACAGCATTAGCTAAGTTAGATTTTTTTTTCCTTAAGATAATTTGAATTATAATTAAATTTATTTACACACAGACACATTTGTCAAAAAAAATGGTTGAAATAAAAAAAAAGCAAATTTGTGTTTAGAAAACAAATTATATTTTTTTTTCAAAGTTATACATTTGTTATAATATATATATATATGAAGAGTTCAGATGCAAAAGCCTCTAAGTGCCATTTGAAAATTTCTTCTAAAATGATCATTTTTATCAAGCTTGTATATTTAAGTTCAGTGATTTCACTTAAATGGCAATGATAATTACCTATTAATTGTCATTTAAGTGAAATTACTGAACTTAAATATACAAGCTTGATAAAAATGGTCATTTTAGAAGAAAATTTCAAATGGCATTTAGAGGCTTTTGCATCTGAACTCTTCATATATATATATATATATATATATATACACAGTATATATATATATATATATATATATATATATATATATGTATATATATTGTTCAAAAAGCGAAAAGATTAATATTTTGAAATATTATTCAAATTTTTAAAAAGCTTTTTTTATTATATGTTTTTACCTTTTTTCATAGGGACAGAAGTGAGGAATTGAAATGTTTCCTGCTCTGCAGGCGAACTGGCATTTTTCTTGCCCTTCCTCCTCCTGAAGCGGCGTGCGAGGAAGATGAGGGAGACTGCGCCGAAGGCAGTGGCGGCAAAGAGCTTCTTGGTGCCGGTGCTCAGACTCACCTGCTCAGAGAGGGAACAGAGAGACACAAGGCAACGTTTAACTTTGGATCAAGCCGCTCGGCTCGAGGCACAGAGAGATCAGACAGCGTGACAGTGAGGATTACATGACTGGAAATGACTGGCTGGCATTTGGCCTGAGAGATCTGATCCAATGATGAGCAATCTTATCTTAGAAATCACAGGCACAGACACATATTACTATCAAACAGTGTCTGTTTTCTGAAGGTATTACAGAGGACCCGATCACACAAGGTTTGAACTTTGAATACGTGCAAGCCTGAATGAGATTTGAATGCTATGGCAGTGATTTAAACTAAAATGTTTGTCTGTTTATCACACAAAGCTGTCATTTGGCTTTAGAAGACTTCAAATACAATGCTTGACTGAAATAGTGTCACTTTTATGTGCCTTTTTTTAGAGCTTGACAGCAGCTTATCCACGACAGTGAGCTCATTGCATGCAACTCACGTATCCAAGCACTCACAGACCTCAGCTGCAAAATCCGTTCAAGGACAGATACATGACTAATTTAATGTTTCGCTTTTTTAAAAAGGGGATCAAAACCATTGCAACCTTGTGAAAAGCCAAGTATTAAAGCTTATAAATGAAGCTGTGCATTTATTTCTAAAAAAAAGTAAATGCTTTAAGAAACCACTCCACCTCAATTTTATGGGCTGCAATTATTTAATAAAAAATACATTAAATACAGTAATGTAATATAGTGAAATGTTACAATTTTAAATAATGATTTTCTTTTCTATATACATTTTAAAATGTAATTTATTCCTGACGCATTATTCAGCATCATTACTCCAACCTTCAGTGTCACATGATGCTTCAGAGATCTAACATGATCATATGCAGCTCAAGAATTATGTCTTATTATTATTATCAATGTTAAAAACAGTTATGCTGCTTAACATTGTTGTAAAAAACAACACAGTGATGCCATTCAATCAAAAGAGTAAAAATAAAGAGTGAATTTAATACTTTTATTCATCTAGGATGTATTAACTTGTTCAAAAATGAATAATGTTCCAAAATAGTTATATTAAATAAATGCTTTAATAAATTAAAAAAATATAATAATTTGATAAATGATGTTCATTTAACTTTCTATTCATCTTAAAAAAGATTGTTGAGCAGCAAATCATCTGAAAATTCAGCTTTGACTTTTCACAGGAATAAATTATAGTCTAAAATGTTTCCAAATAGAAAAGAATTCTTTTAATTTGCAATAATATTTTGCAATAATTGACTGTATTTTTGATTAAATAAATGCAGGCTTGGTGAGACTTCTTTCTATATATACAATATGTATATATATATATATATATATATATATATATATACTAAGCCTTTACAGACACATGGATTAACCTTTCCCTAATATAAAATATGTCCTATATAAAAAGAGTAACTCTTTATAACTATCATTAATAGTAACATTGCAGCTAAATTGTGTAACTAGCTGCACCACGGAACTGCAAAAAACTAATGTTTTCACACAGGTTTCCCCAAACACTCCTGCTGTTAGGACAAACAGATTGCCACAAATTCACACAATGAAATGAATAAGCCGATGTTGAACAAAAGCACTTTGTTTACATTGTTTGTAGAAAGCAACCAATGCCTGGCTTACAGTCCTTGCACTTCGCCTTTAAAATCACCACAAAATCAATATGGACAATGCTTGGCAAAGAGCCAATAAATTCCCCATTGACAATCAAGTCCCACCCTATTTTTTTTTTGTTTGTGAAAATAAATAAATGTGTATTTCCAAAAAGCACAGTAAGTCTAAGTAGATTGTAGAACAGTTGCCATCAATGGACTCTACGATCAATGCTTTAGAGAAACGCAGCCCAGTTTGACATGCACAAGTCAATAAGCTTGTGAAACAGAAGTGTCTGGCTTTATTTATGTCCACTGTTGGTCAGTTTACCTGTGGAAGAGAGTAATAAACCGACAGTGGAAGGTCCACAAAGTGCAAAGCAGCCACCTTCATGGACATGCGAGAGCTCCTGAACAGGTCCTCCGTCATGATCCCATAATCCCTCGGGATGAGTCTCAACCGCAGCTCTTTCTCCACTTCAATACAACCTGAAGAAACACATCACTTGTGTTATATCTATATGTTTATATCAGCATCTACCAATGGAAAAAAGGAATGACCAAATGACCTGCCAAACCTCAACTGACACTTATCAAGTCTTATTAATTGTTCACTTGAGTCTGACACACACACACTGTTATTTTTAAAGAATTTCAAAACAGTTATTCTCTAATGGTCATTGACCATAAGAGAATAACTGCTTGAATATTATGAACTCTTTTTCCACGCAACAGCCCAAAACATGCAATATTGCTCATTGAGAATCAAGAAAACACGCTTGCATCAAGACCATAGAGGTTAAATTAAATATTGCACATGTTAACGGCGTGATTCAATGTTAGCACCACTGATCATGGCAATAAATAAAAAGCATGACCTTTATAAAAAATGACCCACATTTTATCATGGTTTATATTTCGATCGGCGCTTATGGTTAACTCTGTGTTAAACAAATTAATAACAAGCAGCAACATCATACATTCTGACAGTGATAGCCGTTAATGTGGGTTTTTAATATTAGTATAACATGACAAACATGGGGTAATGTTAATGCTTACATTTTTTGCCTTATCTCGGCGACACGCCGTCTGTCCTCTACCAGCCAATGCGATGCGATAACTGCGCGCATGTGAGCTCGTGTGGAGGAGGCAAACAGACGCTGCTAAAACTCACTTCCGGTGCCACTGTGAGGTTTCAGAATAGAAGTTTTCAAAATGTAAAAAAAAGAAAGAAAAAAAAGAAAAAACTTCATAACTAACTAAAAATAAATAAACAATTTTAATTAAGCAAAAATATTAAAATAAATAACATTTTGTTAAAAAATAATAAATTAATTCATTATATTTAGACATTAAAACCGTAAATACAGTAAATACATTTTAATAAAAAAAAAATAAATAAATAAAATTATTTGATTAAATAACCAGAAATTATTAAAATGAATAAATACAAGTTGATAAATAAATAATAAAATGAATAAAATGAACTACTGTACATAAATAAACATTTTAAAATAATAAAATGAATAAATAGGATTAAAATAAGTAAATAAATAAATGAAGCGTGATATAAATCTGTACAAATATTTTAACAATTAATAAATACAAACTGATATAAATGAATAAATAAATACATTTGATTAAAACAAATTACTAAATAAATAAAACTTAAATAACTACAATTATTAAAGTAAATAAATTAAATTTGATATAAATAATTAGTTTTTGACTAAAAATATTAAAATAAATAAATATGCACAATTGTATTTAAATTAAAATAAGAGACAAGAAACAAGATAAATAAACATTTTTTTAAAATAACAAATTAATACATTGGATTAAATAAGTAAATACAATCATATTTAAACGAATTATATAAATGTGATTGTTAAAAAAAATACAATTTAATTAAATTAAAACTAAATAAATGACTAAAACTTGCATTTAATAAAACTAATGCTGTGTAGAATAATATAATATACAAGATTATTAAACTAACTACATCAATTACAATAAATCGAATAAAATAAAGTAAACGTGATATAAATAAATGATATAAAACTAATAAATTTGATAAAAATAAATATATTAATAAAATACACCAAACTCTACAGTGTGATTAGAAAAAAAATGATGTAATAGTAACATAAACTGAATAGTTCACACATTTTAAATTATTATACAATTAAAATAATAACTTTTTAGGATAGGGGGTGCCTCCCTCGTACGGTATTGATGAGATGTGGGGGTCTGTGGCATCTAAAAAAATCCCTGTGGGTATTCCCTAAAACTCTTCTCAACTGACATAAATGGATGAACAAAGACTTTATTCACCCCTTATTATGTATGTTATATCATAATTCCTTACCATTTATTTTTTAAATGTTTATTTTCCTTACAAATATCCTTATTTTTGTACTTAGACTACATTTATTTTCTTGCTGTATTAAGAGCTGCTCCCTCTGGCTATATTTTCTTTGTATCCTATATAAGAAAAGGAAGTTATGCAGCCATGTTTGTTTGTAAATCTTGATATTAAAAAAAAAAAAAAAATCCCTGCAGGTGTAGTTCTCTCTGTGTACGCACGGGGGCGTCTGGGCTGGGACAGTCAGATCCCAGCTGAGTCGCTCCGCTCGTCCACACTAGGCGGCGTTCACTCTCTCAATCTGACCATCACTCCGCGAAACCGGAAGGGGCTGTTTGAATGTGTCATACCATGTAGCTCGGCTAGCTCCAGTCTGAAATTAAACAGTCCGATGATGCCAGGCATTTGAAAACCGCTTTCTGCTAACGGAAGAATACTACAGATAATGTAGCTGGAAACACGCCGAAAGATCGTCACCTTTTAACCGCCACTCTCTCCATCAGCAGATCAGAAGCGACAATCGATCCATATTTAAACCTTAGTTCGTCCATTTCCCTAGAGGTGAGCTAACTACTATTATATCAGCGGCTGCATGCGATCTGAAATATGGCGTATTTAAAGCTTTTCCCCCAGCTAAGTGAATATTAACCTGCGCATTGATTGTGTGCAGTGTCAACTCTGTGTTATGAGCTGTCAGATGATGTGACGTTAGCTTTAGCCCGTCGCATTCACACGCCTTCTACTGCCCTTCATTCACATTTAAACACCTCATTCAGTGACAGTCTGCAGGGACTTCAGCTGCTCGTGTGGTTGGAACTATTGAAAGATTTGTAATTGTTGGAAAAAGTGCGTTGAAGTATGTGCGTGACAGGCAGCAGGCAGCTAGTTGCTAACTAGCCTAGCGAATATTCTGGCTAATGCTGACGCGTTAATGCTGGTGTGACGTCACACACACAGCTGAGGCCCTTTACTGTACAGCACTGAACTGTACTTTACTACATTAAGCCCTCCTTGTGTGCAACTGTTTTTTTTTTTTTTTTTTTTTTTTTACATTTATTATATATTTTGTTGTATTTTTTAATATTTGGAACATTTAATTAATATAAAAAACTAAACTGTACATTAATGTATGTTACTTACATAAATGCACAATGCTATGTGAGTATTCTTGCATGTTTGCTGTTCTCTGGTGTGGGTTTATGGTCATGCAGGTAAATAATTTATTATTAATGAAAAGTTTTATTTTGATTTGTTTTTATTTAATGATTTATTCATTTAATTAGTAGTATTTATATTAACATTTTTTTATGATTTAATTCATCGAATGAAGGGGCCGCAAGGTAATGTTAAGGGATCTGTGGAAATTTTTAGAGTAAAAATATTCAAAATTAATAAATAAATAAGCAAGATTATAAAATAAATAAATAATCATAATAATGCCATTAAAATGAAGAGTTCATGAAAATTGACATTAAAATAAGATAGCGAGTAAATAATAAATACTTTATAACAGTGCTATAAAAAGTAGAAAAAACAAATATGCAACTTAATTGAAATTAAATATTTTCCAAATAATATTTAAGACACATTTTTTTATTATTAATTGTTCACTGAATGAAATATACTATTTTTTTCTTTCTTTTTATATTAACATTTTTTTATGATTTAATTCATCGAATGAAGGGGCCGCAAGGTAATGTTAAGGGATCTGTGGAAATTTTTAGAGTAAAAATATTCAAAATTAATAAATAAATAAGCAAGATTATAAAATAAATAAATAATCATAATAATGCCATTAAAATGAAGAGTTCATGAAAATTGACATTAAAATAAGATAGCGAGTAAATAATAAATACTTTATAACAGTGCTATAAAAAGTAGAAAAAACAAATATGCAACTTAATTGAAATTAAATATTTTCCAAATAATATTTAAGACACATTTTTTTATTATTAATTGTTCACTGAATGAAATATACTATTTTTTTCTTTCTTTTTTTTTTTTTGGAATAATCGGGTTTCCCTCATATGTTGATGATCATATTCGGGACGGGTCCGTGTCAGCTTAAAGATTGAAAACCCCTGATTTAATAAAGGTTTAGCTTTCTTTAAACTTACTAACCTCCTTCAGTTCCCGTGTGAACGCTCCTTTGGGAAATCCAGCCATATAAAATGGAGCAGAGCTAATTACACAATACATATGCACTTATTGTCTTATGCTTATGGTTTAATTTTCAGAGAATTAATATTATTTTCTAGGTATCAATCTCATCTGACAGTGTGGCCTTATTGAAACTCATCTGCTCTTTTAGCGTTCTTGTAAACAGCCTTTTCTGCTAAACTGGTTTGTCAGTAGATTTTTAAAGATACAATTTTATGATCTTATTTTTGCTTTCGGAGTTTCGGTATAGTATGTGCACAGTCCTACCGACTGTACATGCTCCCGTATGCATTAGGCTTCAGGTTATAGATTGAGTACTGAAGCCTCAGAATCAGATAACGTTTGTTTTTGTTTTTTTAGTGCCATTGTGTAGATTTATGGCAGAAGACATGGGAGTGTTTTATTACCCTTGTGAAACATGTATTTTGATGTGTTGACTTGCATACTAAAACACATCTAAGTACTAGATTGTAATTTCTGAACTGTAGTGTGTTGTTCAATATTACATTTAATTTTTTTTTAAAGTTTTTAAAAAAAAAATTGTATATACTACATCGCAGATTATTCATAATGTGGCTACATACTATATGTAAATACACTACAAATTCACAAATGTCAATAGAAATGACATTACATTTTAATTCCACACAATTTTTTGTCAGTACATTCAGCAGTACACTATAACCATATTTCAAAGACAATAGAATAATGAAATTACATAAAAATGTACTTAAGTCTTACTTGACTCAAAAATGTACTTTTAGAATAATGAAATTACATAAAAAATGTACTTAAGTCTTACTTGACTCAAAAATGTACTTAAGTCTTACTTGACTTAAAATGTACTTAAGTCTTAGCCTACTTGACTTAAAAATGTACTTAAGTCTTACTTGATTTAAAAATGTACTTAAGTCTTACTTGACTTAAAAATGTACTTAAGTCTCACTTGACTTAAAAATGTTCTTAAGTCTAAGCCTACCTGACTTAAAAATGAACTTAAGTCTTAGCCTACCTGACTTAAAAATGGACTTAAGTCTTAGCCTACTTGACTTAAAAATGTACTTAAGTCTTACTTGACTTGAGAATGTTCTTAAGTCTAAGCCTACCTGACTTAAAAATGTACTTAAGTCTTAGCCTACATGACTTACTTAAGTCTTAGCCTACTTGACTTAAAAATGGACTTAAGTCTTACTTGACTTAAGAATGTACTTAAGTCTCACTTGACTTAAAAATGTACTTAAGTCTTGCTTGAAATCACTCTTAAGAACTATTTGCATTTAATATAAATTTAAACTAGAGCACATTTCCTGTGAATTGCAAATCCCTTGCAAATGTTTCAGAAAACATTGCATTTGTTTTACACCAGCGTTTTTTTTTTAAAGTGCATTATTTCCATATATAAGTATACTCCTTTTGAAAGTGTAATTTTTCACAAAGGCACACTTCATAAACATGTTCTTGTTCCATGCTATGTACATTGGCAAGAGGTTATTCCATCATTCACGAAATGACGGATATATTTGGGCTATTGAAGTTCACTGGTCTAACTTGCTTCTGGCGTAATACTTTGGCTATATTACCCAAGTGTGTGTAGTGTGTTCATTTAGTCCGCTTGGCCAATATGGAATCTGTCCAGTGTGTTTAACCCTGATACAGATGTCTCTGTTGCGTAAAGAGATGCACAACACCTTCGATTGCTTTTTGCCTGTGGTTTTATTCTGTTACTTAGAACTAAACGTTTATTAAAGACATTGTTTAAAAAAATGGGGTTTGTGTTACAGTTGTGTTGGAAAATGAACAAAACAATTACTTTATTTATTTGTATTTTTAAGACTATGTAAAATATTTTAAATAGTATTCTTGCTAATTTCCTGACCTGTGATTAAAATTAAGAAGACCATTTAAAGACCACTTAATATTTTTCTAATTTTGGCTTGGCCCATTTTTCTATGCCATTGGTTTTTTGGTCTTGCCCATTTTTATTTTGTTTTTTCTATGGTTTCTTGACATTTCTTGGTGATGTTCACCCTGGTTGCTGTTTTCACAGGGTAATAACATGCGTCTCCTTTGACCACATGTGTTCATGTTTAAAGGGGATGGACTCAATTGTATCAATTTCATTTGATACACACTAAGATGACTTATTGTTTGCACTAAAAATTCACTGTGTTTGTCACTATTTCTGATGTGTTTTAATAATCAAATCCCAGCTGATATTGAAATAACAGTTTACTGATGTGTTCATCTTTCTCTCGTCTCGTTTCCCAAAGAGTGATGTCTGGAGCGTCGAACAATGACTGCCCTCACTTGGAGTGTGTGGGGGAGATCACCAAGGAAGAACTCATTCAGAAGTCTCACGTGAGTCAAACCAAGACCCAGTCGCAACCTTTATCGTATCATTGCTTCCGCCCATGTATTGTTCCTCAAATGTGTTGTGCATTATTGAGAAAGCAATGACCTCTCTTTTGGAGTTTGTAAAGTTGCACTAATAATGTGTGGCTTCCTGACAAATAAGAGCTTAGGGTTAGAATCAGTGTTTAGTTCTCCATTATAGTCTAAAGCACTAAACCACGACTAATTGCTTGCTGGCGAAAGCAGATTGTATCTTTTAAAGGCATACTCCACTTTTTTTAGAAATAGGCTCATTTTACCACTCCCCCAGAGTTAAACAGTTGAGTTTTACCATTTTCGAATCCATTCAGACGATTTTCTGATATTTAGAAGAATATCAGTAATGAGACAGTTTCTGGTCTCATTGACTTCCATAGTAGGAAAAAAATATACTATGAAAGTCAATGAGACCAGAAACGGTCTGGTTAGTGATATTCTTCTAAATATCAGAAAATCGGCTGAATACATCTTAAAACGGTAAAACCCAACTGTTTAACTCTGGGGGAGTGGTAAAATGAGCCTAAGTGGAGTATCCCTTTAATAGAAGTTGTTTTCCCATATATGTTAATGTTGCAGAGCTGTGAGCTGCTGTACGTACACATTTTCAAAAATTTTGACATTCAAAAGTTTTTCAAAATCAGTACGATTTTGAAAGAAGTCTCTTGTTCTCACCAAGGCTGGATGTTTTTGATCAAAATACAATAAAAACAGTTATATTTTGAAATAGTATTATCATTTTTTCAATAACTTTTCTATTTTAAAATGGAGTTTTAAAGTATTTTTATAGTAGTTTCCAGTATTGGCTGATTTTTTTATTTTATTTTTTTTATTTTTTGTTTTTTTTGCATCATTACTCAAGTCTTCAGTGTCACGTTACCCTTCTGAAATTATTCTAATATGCTGATTTGGTGCTCAAGTAAAAGGATATATTGTTGTTGTGCTTAATATTTTGTGGAAATGGTTATAGATGTTTGTCAGAATTCCTCGTTAAATAGATAGTTTGTAAGAACAGTATTTATTTGAAATAGAAATCTTGGTAACACTTTAGTAGTTTATGGTCCAATTCTCACTATTAACTAGTTGCTTATTAGCATGCATATTATTAGGATATTGGCTGTCCCTCATTTTGTTCCAAACCTGTATGAGTTTCTTCTGTTGAACACAAAAGAAGATATTTTAAAGAATGTTGGTAACTAGACATTCGATGGACCCCATTTACTTCCGTAGTAGGAACAAATAAAGAAATATTAAGAAAATCAATGCTTACTGGCTTTCTTCAACAGAAAGAAAGAAACTCATACAGGTTTGGAACAACTTTAGTGTGAACTGTCTCTTTAAAGTCACCCAATAGCTAAACAAATATGCTGTAATTATAACAAGTTTATTGAGGCAAAAGCTGTAGTTAATAGTGAGAACTGGACCCTAATCTTAAGTGTAACACTTACTCTCACTTTTCATCAATTTATTGCATTCCTATTGAATAAAGTATAAATGTGTTTGTTGACAGGGTCAGTGCCAAGACTGTAAAGTCGGAGGACCGAACCTTTGGGCCTGTCTAGAGGTAATTTTGTTTAATACGGATGCACCGATATTAAAATACTGCGTTTTAACATTATACCTTAAAAACTTCCCCAATAAATGGCTGATATTAAAATTTTTCTTTTCTTTTTCTTTTGATGTTTATCACTCATTCAGAACGGCTGTTCATATGTTGGCTGTGGAGAGTCACATGCGGATCACAGCACTGTCCACTCTCAGGTTAGTCATCGTATTCTCTGTTTCTACCATTTCTTAGCTCCTTTTCACGTCCGTTTTTATTTATAGTATTTTACAAATGTTTTATTTCGTTTAATACATGTACCTGCAGCTTGTGACGTTTCCACCCACAGTGAGTTGTCATTTTACATTTCAGACTTGATGTGTGACCCTCATAGCGATTACATTTGGATCTAGACCGGTGGATCTGATCCCTGATCACGCGTGTCACTCTGTGTTGATTTCACGCCTGTTATTCTGAATTTGACCGAGGCTTGAATGATGAGATGAATCACTGAAGTGTGTTTTGAATCCCAGCTTGGCCTGTGGCTGAACTCATCCATTATTAATAAGCGTTCCAGTGGGATCTCACTCCCTACTAAAGCCCACTCTGATTATTACCCATTACCAAAACCCCTGTGTGTCTGTGTGAAAACCTCTGAGAGAATACGGCCATCAGACATACTTCCCTCACAATAACCCGCATTTGTTGCAGTAAACAGAATGCAGGCCAGGTTTTTTATTCTTCCACCAAATGGTTTTCCTCTAGCAAGGATCTACTGCAGATGTATTTTTGTAGACATCACCCTGGTTCCCTCGACAAAAACCCAATAGGGTTCCATTGGCTATTGTAGAAAATAAGCAATGCAACAAACACACTTTTATGATTCTTTCACGTTTGGTTCATCATAAAAATCTTTGCAAATGAACACAACTTTTATGAATTTTAAAGTCTAAATGCAATCGGCAGAAGTCACATGACTTTTTCCACCTTTAAGGCCCTGTTTACACCTGGTATCAAGATGTGTTTTGGTCAATCAGGTCACAAGTGGACGTCGCTAAATCGTCCCGGTGTAAATGGGGTCTAAAACATTTTGAGCTTCCAGAGGTAGTCGAAAATGCATGCTTTTGTAGTGCAAGCGCTCATGTGACCCAGTGAGTTCTAACAGCCACAAAACACCATCTACTCTCCGCCTACTGAGTAAACTAGCGAGCTAGTCAGACGGTATTTGAGCTTTGTCGGCATTTAAGACCCAATCTTGGTTTGAAGATGAAAAACTTACCAAGCACAATGTTCTCTCACCATTCCTGATTTCTAACTCGCACTCAAAGCATTTGGCATGATCCGAGCGGCTCAGAGCAGAAACGAAAGCTGCTGCTCTCCGTATGTTTTTTCCGTTGTCTCATTAATATGTAAATTGCACAAGCTTATTTCGTAGTTTCCGTAGGAGAGACAGAAGTTGTGGAAAGTGGGAAAAAAGAGACAGTGAAAGCGGACTAGTGAGTAGATGAGTTTTCCTGTTTGGTTGGTGGTGTTTCTCTTGCTTGCAACCACCTTTTTTAAGAGTTTAAGCTTACATATAATCACAAAGGCTATTTATTTTCCCATTAGGGCAATGCAAGTGTCTTTGTAGACACAAAGATGATTATTATTTAATTATTTTTTTCAATCATGTAAATTCCCTGGGTCATGTGCGTATACCACAATGTATAATGTAGATGAGTTTTCTATTATGTTAGCCTTGCTGTGAGTTCAATTAGATATGGGCATGTATTACATCCTGTCAGTCGGTGTGGTCGGAGTGGCGGATGTTGGCAGGGCTTGTATTTTGGTGCAGCTCTCATAAATGTTTTATCTGCCCCTGTCTGTACCAGTTGTGGTGCCGCAGTGAAAGCCAATCCAGACACATGAATAATGCATAGACCCCTCAGCCACCGCTGTGTGTGCAAACCTTGACCTAACGTCTCGACTCGCCATTTCCACACTACGCTTTCATTTTTGTTGCAATACACTTTCGTTTCACCCTACATTTTTAAGAGTCTTTCTGTTGCATTATATGTGCAAGAAGGAGATCATTGTACTCAAGCTGCTTTTATTTGGGAAGCAGAAAGACACTGATGTTGAAGTTTCAATGTTGGCGTTTCAAACATTTATTTATTGTTGTTGGTACACTGTATTGCCCCACAGTAGTCAAAGTCACATGTTTTGGTGAACTTTGCCATTTTTGAGCTGAAATTTGATTTGATTTTATCCAGAACTTGTGATATTCTTAAAGTACCCCATTATGGATTTTTGAAAATGACCTTTCATGTGGTGTGTAACATTGAATGAAAATATTCTGCGCAGTGGCCCTCCAGGACTGAGTTTGAGGCCATGTTTACACAAAGCCGGGTATTCAGCAAAACAAATATTTTCCCCCTCTCCGTTTTCAAAAATAACATCGTTTACACGTCTGCATAAATACGCTGTCGAGCGCCATCGTAACTATGCCAAACCTATTGGCGGCAATGTAGGGGTTAAGGATAAAGCCATTCAAGCCAATCAGAATCCTCAGAAACGACAAGAGAGAACCTAAAACGCCGTTTCTCCCAGTTCACACGACAACACATAACCGGCGATTTCAGAAATCTCCACTTTGGCCGGAGTTTTTAGAATAGTGATAAAAACGGCGTTTTCGTGTGAATTCGTGTAAACGGGGCCTGAGATACCCTGTTTCAAAGGTAAGTAAATTTGGACATCATCTGCGAAGCAATGAAAAGAGATGGTGTATTTTTGGAAGATTGATCCCAAAGGCAGCATATAAAGCGAGAATAAGACTGGGCCCAAAACTGATCCCTGAGGCACCCCACTAGTAATCAGGGTTTTCATTGAGTGAAAGGGCCCGAGGTTGAAAGAAAAAGATCTGACTGAAACCACTTCAGAGCAGTGTCTGTGATGCCAGCACAGGACTCGAGTCTAGACGAGAATTTTATGGTCAACCGTATCAATCGCTGCAGTCAAATCTAGTACTAGCACAGCAGAGCTTTCAGAATCACAAATTAAAAGAATATTATGAAAAATTCTTAAAAGAGCAGTTTCTGTACTGTGACAGGATATAAAACCAGACTGGAATTTTTCACTGATATTATTAGAATTAAGGTGGAATTGAAGTTGGGCATATACCACTTTTTCTAAGACTTTTGATAGAAAAGGCAGCTTAGAAACTGGCCTTTAGTGAGACAAATCAGAGGGGTCCAAATTGTGTTTTTTCAAGAGAGGTTGTAAAATAGCCTTTTTAAACATGTACCCAGCTGAAAGAGACATATTTATCAAGTTTAAAATAAAAGGTCCAACCGTGTCTAACAAATCTTTGAACACCTTGGCGGGTAGGCTGTCCAAGGAGCAGACCGAATGTCGAGCACATCGAACCGTCTTTGACAAATCAGTAAAAGATATTGGGATAAAATCTTCAAAGATGGCTGTACATAAAGGTATAATGCTTGGATCATCATCAGGCACAGCACAATGGGTTAATGCCCGGATACTGAGACACTTTTTCAGTGAAAAATGTACTAAATCTGTCACGCAGAAGGGCACTAAAAATAATTCCAGTGTGTTCAGGAGGATTAATTATTCTATTTTAAACATTAAAGTTTTAAATCTGAAAGTGCACTGTATATAAAGTTATTGTCTTTCAGAAGTAAGAGTCGACTCTGAGGCGATGAAATGAATCGTTTTTCAAAAGAGTCATAAGCCGTTTCGTTGTGACGCCAAGAAGAAACGTTGGCATATTGCGCGCACAGACACCAGGGAAAACTCTTTAGCTGATTCCTGTGGAGACTGGACAGCATCATGTCAGGGAGACCCTGTGCTCTGCAATGTGACAGTAAAGACGGTTTTTATGCACTGCCCAAGGACGAGCATGTGAAGAATCGGTGGTTAAAATCCATCTTTACCACAATACCACAGCAGTGTAATCCTAAACTTTTGCTGTGTTCCCTTTATTATACTGACAACTGCTTCTCAAATCTCAGAGTTCAATGCAGGATTCGCCAACTGCTTGCTTGAGATTGAGAATCATTGAAAATGTGGTGATGTGCAAATGTATATTATGAGGAAATTAAACTGTTCTTCCTTCTCCTCATTCTCATTCTTCTTCTATTCCTCTTTCCACTCGTCGTCCTCCTCTTTCTGATAGATGGTTTGATGGTATTGTCATGGTCTCTAACATACTGTGCATCTCTAGAATAGCTATCCAGGAAATCCAGAGTTCTCGCTAGAGCACAATTTGAATTTGCTTAGCGAGTCACTCTGGCATCGAGTAATGATGCTCATTGACTATGCCCTTGTAGTCGAGCTACACCAATCACATCGGTGTATCTGAAATAGGTGGGCCAGAGGCGAGAGTACGGTTACGGATACGGCAAGAGTCTAATCTAACAGTTAGCTCCGCTGGTAGCTAAGGATGTAGGGTGTGTTGTGATTGTGATTGGATTGGAAGATTTTCAAATGCATGCTTGGTGCCGCCCCTCGAGTTGGGCAATTTTCATTACTCATTGCCAGACCCTTAATCTTTCAGATTTGGACTGGATTTACAGGCTAAGTTGTAGTATTTTTTTCTAGGGCTGTACTCAAGCAAAAAAAAAAAAAATCTTGGTCAACTAAAGTTCTAAAATTTTCATCTAAAAATCGGCTAAAAATTATGTTAGAAAAAAAAAAACCTTTATTAAATTAATTAGCTCCACAGTACTTGGTAGCCTTGCTGTCTGTCTAAATTAAATATAAATAAACATAAAAAACTAGTAGGTTATTTGCAGTATATTAAAATTGTTTTTGTCTTAATTATTTTGCACTGAAATGAGTCTGACACACGAGTCTGTCAGCTCTGACAGCGTTACATCACGTGCGCCTACGCAATATAATAGCCTATGATTTCTGAAAATAGAAAATAGTATGTTTTCAACTAGTGATATCACAAGAACTGTTGAGGAATATGCAACATAATTTAGAAAACTATTTTTGACATAAGTTATAACTGTCAGACACTATCATTTCAGCCGCACTGTGCATGTCCTCACACAGAGGGAGGCTTAGTTAGTTAGTTAGTTAGTTAGTTAGTTAAGCTTTATTTGCCATTTGTACCGGTACAGCTATACAGGTGCATAGGAATTTTTGTAGCAGAGCTCGTTGAATCAAACATAAAAGATAAACATTAAAACAGCTAACAAACTACACAGCACACACAATGGACTTTAAGAAATCAAGACTTAAAAAATACGTTCAACGTCAACGACGAGCATCTTAATCCCATGTTAAGCAACCCCCCACCCCTACAATTGTTACTTGAAGATTACATTTAAGATTGCTCCACGCTAAACAAAAAGAATATTGCACTGTCCCAAGATACTACATAATATAAATATTTAAAAACAAACTTACTATAATAAGTCTTATCTATAATAAATATACTCTTACCCTTATCTATACTCTTACTATAATAAATAACACCTGTCATTTTACAAAAAATGAGGCAGACACATTCGTTCCTTCTGCCATGTCCTTCGCCATCAGTCTCACAGTAGCTGGAAAGAAGCTGTTATAGAACCGCACCCTGTGTAAATTAATACTGTCCGGTCTATTATATCTCAAGTTGTATATTGAGTGTTTAGGTTTAAACATAGAGTGTGCAGGGTGGTGTGTGTCCTTTAGAATGTTCTTAGCTCTCTTCCTGCAGCGTTGTGTGAATAAAGTGTCCATAGAAGGAAGGTCCGATCCAATGATCTTCTCCGCTGTCGTTATTACCCTCTGGAGAGCTCTCCTTTCTGCTTGGGTGGTGCTTCCAAACCAGACAATGATACCATTTGTTAGGATGCTTTCCACAAGTCCTCTATAGGCCTGGATAAGTGGGTTACGGCTGAGTCCTGCCTTCCTTAGCAGCCTGATAAAATAAAGCCTCTGTTGGGCCTTCTTCACTGTGACAGCAGTGTTTATGGTCCAACTCAAATTTGAAGACACTTGCAGGCCTAGGAACTTATGACTCTCAACTCTTTCCACCTCAGTCCCTTGATTATCAATGGCTGTAGGATAGATTTCTTCCTAAAGTCCATGATCAATTCTTTTGTTTTATCTATATTCAGAATGAGATCATTGTCCTCCCCATATGCCAGAATATTATCAATCAGCTCCCTGTAACCAGTCTCATCCCCACCTTTAATCAGGCCCACGACAGTTGTGTCATCAGCATATTTAATTATAGCAGTGTTGTTCCGGTCAGTACCGCAATCATGTGTGTATAGAGTAAAAAGCTTTGGGCTAAGACAACAGCCCTGTGGTGTTCCTGTGCTTAAAGTGAGCTCAGTTGAGACTGAGCTCTATAGGAGACTATAGACTATTAACTTAAAGCTTTTACTCTAAATAAACACAAAAGGCACATCCACTTTAATAAAAAAAATGTATTAAACCAGATCAAGAGCAGAAACGAAATAAAGTGCATTACTGAAAAATAAAGCATTTTAGGCTTAAAACTAACACACAGTCGGCACAGCGCGATTGCGCATTAGGCTTCAAATAACAAATAAAAAAGTAAGGTTATCACACTAAAACATTGAAATATGCAAATTCTGATATGTTAATATAGCCTACTGAAAACAGACAGGGCAAGCTAACGCAGACAAGTTAGCTTACCACTTTTAAACTGTTGAATTCATTGACTGAATGGAGTCCACAGACTAAATGAGATTAATGCTTCCTACAGTCGCTGTGATGGCCCATTCATGTCAACGCTAATTCTCCAAATGGCCTTCCTCTCCAGCCAGGTGTGATGATGGATTTAGGTCACAGTTTGGAGGTGATAAAACATATATAGAGACTCTGAATCAGTTTGTACTCTGCAACTGTTGCTTGAAAACTTTGCATTTGACCTTTTTCCCCGTTATCAATTTTAACAAAATGCTGCCACACTGTCGATTTCTTTGTTGTTGACATGTTAGAAGAGGACTGACTATTAAACGCTCTCACAATTAATACATAATATTCAGCATCAAACCTTCTATGGCCTACTTATCTGTCTCGCTTCTCCAGTGGGCAGTGGGTTGGGCTAATCCAAAGAATGGTGAAAACAAAGGAGTGTTTTGAAGACAGACTGTTACCTGTAAAAACACCCATTACAAGTTAGTGCTTTTCCACTTGTTGAAATGAGCGCGTCAAAACTGATGAAATGAGTGCGCCTCAGCACGGCAAAACTGATGAAATGAACACGGCAAAAAATAGACCAATAAGAATTTTGGTCGAGCTAGAACGTATCGACAAATTCATCGGCTGGGACAGTACAGCTCTAATTTTTTTGTTAATTATTTTATTTATTTTTTATGTGGTTTAAATTTGTGATTTATATATATTTTTTTTTGCATTTGAATGTTAAACTTGTAGGTACATTTTTTTTTGTCATTCACATGTCCACCTAAGCACGGTTCCTTTTTTCTTCCAGGCGACGCGGCACAACCTGACAGTGAATCTGACCACTTTGAGAGTGTGGTGCTACGCCTGCACAAAGGAGGTGTTCCTGGAAAGAAAACTGGGTCCACACACACACTCACCCAGCTCTGCCAAACCCATCTCTCCAGTACAGGTCAGAGCTCTGACGCGGCTTTCCTTTGAATGTAAAGCAGCAAAACATAGTGTGAAAGTTTGGTTCTGCGTAGGTAAAATCCTCCCATTATTTATATATATATATATATATATAAATATATATATGCAACGGCGTCTTTGCAGTGCAAACTTATACGTCCCGTATGAAATCCGTTTTATTTTTTCCCAAGTTCCGTTTTATTTTATTTTTTCCTCCCAAATTCCGTTTTTTTCCATTTTATTTTTGGGGAATTTTTTTTTACCCTTGACTGTTATTTTAGTCATAAAAGAGTGTGCTTTTAAAGTTAATGATTAAAATGTATACAAATAAAATAGGAATTACCTTAAATTTATTGAAGTAACAGACATTTACTCAGTAGCCTTTTCATGACAAACACTGCATGATGCAAAATAACACTGCACTCTTCAAGTAACAACAAAATATGGTTATGAGCTTTAAACTGTCCAGATTTTACAATGACATAATATTTCTCAGTTATGTTTTGAATGCTGAACATTATCAGTGTTCAGCTGATTGTTTTAATTTAATTTAAAGAAAGACAGCACACCTGTTAATTTTGAGGCCACAGATTTTGTGAACATCGTTTATGGGCAAGCAACTACTCTTGTTTGCTGTTTTGCATAAGGTGTGCTGTTGTTGATCATCTCTGTTCTCTCAGGACTCCAAAGCTCCCGGGAGCCCCACCTCCTTGAGAATCCCTCCCACGGGAAACTGTGATGACTTGGACATGGAAACTGAGGAGGAGGACGAACTGAGGACCAGAGGTCCTTCACCTCTCATGTCTTGAGTTCTGTGCTTTTGCTCTGCATTGCAAACACTGTTAGTCTGAACCTGGTCACCTGTTTCTCCTCACAGGTCTGACTGGACTGAAGAACATCGGCAATACCTGCTACATGAATGCAGCGCTCCAGGCGCTCTCTAACTGGTAAGAACCACAGAAATCGCTCATGTGCTGTAATTGTTCTCTTCCAGTCTCTTCCACTCTCTCTTTTTGGTTTCTCTTCTAGTCCTCCACTGACTCAGTTTTTCTTGGACTGTGGCGGTCTGGTGAAGACAGACAAGAAGCCAGCGCTATGCAAGAGCTATCAGAAACTCATCACAGACCTGTGGCACAAAAACAGGTACACTCGTCTTGTGCCATTTCCTATTTTATTCTCATTGTTTCCTCAAGAAACTAGTTTTCATTAAAGTTTTATTGTGCATGTGTGTGTGTGTGTTTGCAGGAACTCCTATGTTGTTCCCACAAATCTATTCCAGGGCATTAAGGCTGTAAACCCAATGTTTCGTGGTTATTCCCAACAGGTATTCACCATTATTACTATTCTGCCCTATATTATGGCCTATATTATTGTTCAAAAGTTTGAGTTTTATTTAGCAAGGATACATTAAATTGATCAAACGTGTCAGTAAAGACATTTTATGTTTCATAAAAATTATATTTTATATTAATGTTGTTTTTTTCCCCTGTGAATCAAAGAATCCTGAAAAAATGAGACAATTGTTTTCAACTTTGATAATAAGAAGAATTGTTCAAATCAGCACATTAGATTGATTTCTGAAGGATCATGAGACACTAAAGACTGGAGTAATGATTCTGAAAATTCAGCTTTGACATCACAGGAATAAATTATATTTTGAAAATACTAAAATCGAATACAGTTATTTAAAATTGTAATTATTTCTCAATTTTTCTATCTAATAAATACCGCTTTGTTTAGCATAAGAAATGTCTTTCAAAAACATATAAAGTCTTACAGACTCCAAGTTTTTGAAAATTGGTGTATTTTAAAATATTCATTCTATTTGGTCAATTTATGCACAATAAAAAACTACAATCATTTGTTGATGACAGTTGCTTTTGTGAATTTAAGCATCACAACATTAAAATGTACAGAATGAAAAACATTAATTTTAAGATTTGCTAAAGATACGTGTTATTAAATTATTAGTGTTTAAGGGTAAACTAAATATAAAAATAGGAGGGATTATTATCCACTATGAAATATCCAGTACCATCCAATACACTAAAACTAATTTATTAATTGTAGGCAAATTCTCTAAAATTGTCTGTTAACGATATGAAAAACAACATTTTGTGAACTGTAAGGCCCTATGACTTCCACAATGTGGAAACCCTGTTATTAAACTCTGTCGTGCAGCACATTGACAAAAAGCCTGTTTTATTGTATTTTCATTGTTCATTTGATTAGATTTATTCAATTATTCATGTTTTATAGGCCCGTAAATTCCTATAAAAATACATTTTCGGAGAGAACTAGCTTCACCCCGACCAGCCAAAATTAGTCAACCAATGGCATGAGTTTGTGGCGGCACTATCCTTTCATTTCAACCAATGACAGATGAGGTCAAGCTCGAATGATCCTGCTAGCAGAGGGAATTTCATCTGTTATAGCCTTTGTTCTTTTTTTTCATCCTTTTTCTTGCCATACTTTGTCCTCCATCTGCATTTAAAAAGTAAAGACCATGTTTTAGTCTTGAATATGAGAGATGTTGTTCTCTTATATGGAGCACAAACTGATTCAAACTGTGGCCCACATCTATTGTCACGCCTGGCTGGAGAGGAAGGCCGTTTGGAGAATTAGCGTTGACATGAATGGGCCATCACAGGCTTTTCAGAGACTGTAGGAAGCATTAATCTCATTTTCAGACTCAGTCTGTGGACTCCAGTAGAGGGGGCATTCAGTCAATGAAGTCCTTGTTTTAAAGTCAACCCCTCTACTAAGTATGAAGGGAAATGGGCGTTGGTTGACATCATCATACAGCCAGGAAACCCTTTGTTCTTGTGTTGCATTGACTTTATACAGCGATGGCCTTCTGGTCTAATTTGCTGTGTTCTGTTGTAGGATTTTTAATATCAGGATGTTAGAATGCCAGTTGGCCTTGTTGCCATGTGGATGAGCCAGTAATGACTAATGTTCTCATAAGCTTCAGCTGTTCCTATGGTGATGGGGTCTCTGGCTAATCTCTGATTTATAAAAGGGATGCTTCATGAATGTTGCATTCTTTTTATAATACCAGTAAACTGTGTGCGTGACTGTCATTGTCAGAGCACACGTCAGGATTTGACCGTCAAATGTAATGGACAGGTCTACAAGACAAATGTAATTGAAGAGATAGTTTACCCAAAAATGTAAATTTTGTCATTTGCTGGCCGAGATATCAATACTGGCAGATATATCTGCTAATTTTTTCTCTATCACCTCCTGCTATTGGACAGACTTGCAGAATAATTAATGGTTGACTATGAATACAGGCTTTCGCATTAGAGGAACGTTTTCTTTGTAACTATAACTAATGACAGAGGTACCCACTTTTTGGCGCACTGCAGGAACTGGGAAAAAATGTCGTTCTAGGAAGGAACGCCTTTTGGTGGTCTAAATTAAAGTAGGGTTTAACCCACACAATTGGAACGATCAGTGATGTAATTGTACGTTGATTGGCCGAACACATGCAAAACACGCCATTTTTAAAAAGTTGTGTAAACACGGCTTACTCCACAAACATGGAAAACAGCGACAGATGGACTGATGCCACATTCCAGGCACTTTCCAGGGATATTAAGACGAATTAAGTAAATTCGGCCACAATTTAACTAAATTTAAACATGGATTTAACTGAAACAAGGGAGCATGTGAATAAAAAATGCCACCACAATTTAATAAACGGGGAGTTCTTAATTTGTGGTCACGATAACTAGTTTTCTTCCACATATCGTGCAGGACTGCTTAAAATAATGTCTTTCAGGCGCTGGAAATGTTTGATTTATTCATCCACTCCACTAGATGGCAGTGCAAGTCCAAGATATTGCTATATTGGGCAGCGCAACATAAACAAATTACTGAGTGCATCTTTAAAGGCCGGTTAACACCAAGAACAATATCTATAAATATAACGATAATTTTTGAAGCGTCCATTTATTTTAAGCGAAGTTGTCAATATTTTTATCATTCATCAGCTGAAAAAAGGCTTGCTGAAAGTGAATTTAATGATAATGTTCCTCTGTAGAGTGAACTTCCTTATTCTTATTGAATAAGAACGATTATTACAACTTTGTAGTCGAGTTGTTAGCATTATAGTTCCATTTCTTGGCGTGAACGGCCCTTAGCATAGAGTTTAAACATTCTTTTATTGTTCTTATTTTGTAAAACACTAAAATCTCTCTCCATCCTAAGGACTCTCAGGAGTTCCTGCGTTGTCTGATGGACCAACTCCACGAGGAGCTCAAAGAGCTCATTCCTGAACCCGAGGACCCAAACCAAGCTGTGGTCATGGATGAGAGTCCTGACGAGGACAACCACAGCCAATCAGACGACTTCCAGTCCTGTGAGTCGTGCGGCAGCAGCGATCATGCCGAAAGCGAAGGCCCCAGAGTCCCAGAAGACATCAACGAAGCTGAGATGCTGATGCCTGAGCAGAACCAAAACAACCGGGATTGGCAGAAAGAGAAAAATCTCATCAACAACCTGTACCGTGCCGGTTCCCATTGTGACCTGGATAAAGACGTGGACACGACCACCGAGTCTAGGCCAATTATCAGCAGCCAAGGAGCCATTAAAGCTCAGGGCCGAACTTCAGGTGAACATATTAAGACGTTAATGAAATGAAGTTAATTATATTATAGGGCTGGGTAATAAATATCGATTTCTCGATATTAATCGATTCTCATTTTTACGAACCGATATCCATTCTTAAATCTCAAGAATCGATTAGTCATCCTGTTTCATTTGAATGAATGGAACGTTGTATCTTGGCAGCGCACATCAAAAAAATCGCAATAATCTTTGTCTTTGGTTACTTGATATGAAACAAAGTCTCAATTTTCAAATTACGTCCATTTTCTTTAGAAATTCAAAAACATAAATAGCGTTTTGCCGTTTTGGCGCTGTGGCGTGAGATCGCTCTGGCGCAGCTCAAGAGAAGCAGCAGTGCTGATCTCTCTTCTGGCTTAATAATACCAGTTACAGCACGAAATAATAAACATGAATGAGCATCTGAAAGTGTGTTGAAGATAGAGTACAACTTATCAAAATCCATATCATTTCACATCGATTCGCTCAATCAGCGTTTCAACCGTGGAAAGACGGCAGTTAAACAGCTTGTAATCAATGTATCGCCATATTTACCTCAGAAAACCCACATAAACTCGTTAGTCAGCTAGAAAAAAATAACTCTAGAGAGGAGCATTTTGCTAAATATATACACCATATTACATATGCATTATAATCTTAATGTTCTTCAATATGTAATGCATATTTGAATAAATCTGGCACCAGACAGACACCATTTAAATATTTATATTTCATATATTTTTTTTTATTATAAAAATAAATCAAAGTGTAATTTAAGTTTTTGTATAGCTACAAAACAGTTCATTATTACCTTTATATTAGGCTATAATGAAGCCTATAGGCTACAACTACAACTCCCATAGTTTACAGCATTAGTTTAGAGATTTGATTTCCTTGAGAAAGTTTGCCATTTATTGTAACTGATATCCAAAATAATCAATATTGAATCGAATCGGAATCGAATCGAATTGCAAGCTTTTGAATCGAAATCGAATTGTGAAATTTGTGTCAATACCCAGCCCTGTTATATTAACATGTCAGTCTGATATCCTTAAAGGCCCTGATATACTCACTGAAAATCTTTTTTAGTTTTTTGTTCTTTGCTCAGAGGTAAAAAAAAAAGTTTAGAATGAGGAATTTTGGAATTTGGTTCTTTAATTTGTCTGCAAATGTTTTGCTTGCTTTTCTTGACCAAATTCTGTGTTTCCTCTTTGTTCAGATTCAAACCCTGAAAGCCATGTCAGCAGTAGCGTCAGACCGCAGAGTCCCTGTGGAAATGACGGAATCACATCTAGACTGTCCTGCAGTCCCCCCAAATCCATGTGGACAAACCTGAGCTCAACTCACAAGAAAGGTACCAGAATTCCGGCTAAATCAATTCGGAAATAAACTAGTTTTAGATATTAGTTTAGTTAAATGTATTACTTTTTTTATTTATTGTTGTTTGCTTATTTCCATAACCTGAACTAAAACAGATTAGACAGATTGATCCTAAATGGTTGTGGTATGTCGTGTTGACAGTACCCTCGTTCAACCCACCTAAGAGCAAGCGGCAGAGGAAATACCGCAGCATCATCTCTGAAGTGTTCGACGGCACCATTGTCAGCTCAGTTCAGTGTCTGACCTGCGACCGGGTGAGTGACTTGTGTGTTATTCACCCAAACAACCTCGCTTTGACGAGCATTTGATTCTTCAGTTAGTAGAGAAAAGCATTTTAAAAATAACAGAAGACAACGTACTTGTGATAGACTGATATATGAAGTTCCTGCAGATTAGCTGCTAGACTTGAATTTAGTATGACGTTATTATTAGTGTAACACTAGAAAAACCGAGGTCAAATGTTGATGGATCAATAAACACATATAAGCTACAGGTTGTACTGTATGTTGTCAGAAAACCCTAAAAATGTGGTGTGACATGAAAGCAATTTATTCTTATTTAAACAACAGGTCCTAAAATTTTCCATTTGTAATTATTCTGAAAAGTGGTGCATGTTTTTTTTTTCTTTACTGCATACTCTTCTAATTTAAAGAAACAATACAATACTTTCATTATTTGCAATTATAAACTTAAATTTGAGCCTTTTAGACCTGGGTAAGAACATGAAACACTGTCAAATTTATTTTGGTGCAGTGTTTAGAACATATTGTGTCTAGTTTTGTTCATTTGTGACATCATCTGTGTTTATTCAGGCTAGGGCCAGTGTGTCCGCATCAGAGGTGAGACGGCATGAGGCAGGAGAGGAATGTGAAGATGAGAGTAGACAGGAGAGAGAAGAGTGGAAAAAAGACAGAGGAAAAGAAAGAACACATGATGGAGTAGAGGATAGAGTACATGGAAGAATAGGAGAGAGCGGAGAAGTAAGAACACACACAGTAGAGGAAAGTGAAAACACTAAAGGAACAAATTGATTACTACATTCGTCCCCACCATGAAAGCTTAAAGACTTTTTTTGAGTATCATCCTCAACAAACATCAAGTAATCCAGTAGTGCAAAGTGTTCTTTTGCAAGGATGGCACTAATAGAAGGTGGCTTACTTACCGCTAAGAACGTCATGCATTACATTTGTCTGTCTGCTTAGCATTTGCCAAGTCAACTGACAAATCTCCCTAACTGGTATGACAGACTGGAAACATGTGCATCAGCGCTTAGAGATGAAAAGTGACAAAACTTGTGCTGATGCATACTTTTTAAATGCCTCTAAATCTGATGTGAAAGATCAGTTGTCCTCACACAGGAGACAAATCCGAAATAAACGACAAGTACTGGAGTTGATGTAAAGATGATTGGCAAAAGAGGCCTTAGCTATAGGTCAGAGAATGAGGCTGCGTACATGCTTGATGACTTCAATATTGATCATGGTAACTTCTTGGAAATTATAGTCCTGTTAAGCAAGTATGACATCTGTCTAAAAGAACATTTAAAGGAATGCATTGAAAAATCCAAGAAGATTCATCAAACTGGGGCAAAAGGCAGAGGTTCCCTGGTTTCTTTACTCTCTGCAAGAACCATTAATTCTGTCATTAACACCATTGCAGCTTATCCAGGAGACCATCGTGAGAGACATAAAGAATCACTTCAGATTGACACCACACAAGACATCACCTCACAAGACCAGTGTTCTGTTGTCGTACGATATGTTACAGACAATATTCCCGAAAGGATTATCGGCAATGTCAAGTGTAAGGAATCGACTGGACAATATTTTGTCAGTCTTGTTTCAGAGCTTGCTGAAAAGCTCAATTTGAATCTGAGCAAGTGCATCGGACATGCTGCAGATGGTGCGTCTAATATGCAAGGCCAATACAAAGGCTTTTCCACTCAGATGTCCAAAGTGGCACCAAATCAAGTGCATGTTTGGGGCCATGCACATGTACTAAACCTCGTTCTGGCTGACACAACCCAAACAGTAATAGAAAGTGGTTCACTGTTTGCAGTTCTCAATGATGTCGCTGTGTTCTTTCGCGAGAATGAATTTGTGGGAAAGTGAGAGCCAGGGCAAGCACTTGAACCGAATCTCACCAATTGGCGAGACAAGGTGGGGGGCCAAAGATAATGCTCTCAGGAAAATGTTTGCATCATTTGCAAATCCAGATAATTGTCTTTGTCCTTGCAATGCAAGAGGATATGACCATGAAAACAACTGCTCGCGTTCAAGCACGAGGATTTGTTGAGGCTCTGCTTAAGTATGAGATGATACTGACAGCACAAACCTTCCTTGGGATATTTGAGCAGACATCACCACTGTTCAAATACCTGCAAACACAAGGAATGGATATTTTGTCTGCCCACAGAATGGTAATGGCAACATATGAAAGCCTGAAAAGCATTTCAAGAGACTTTTCCTCAGTCAAAGCAGCTGCAGGGAAATTTGTTGAAAAAATTGAAAATGTATCCACTCGATGAGTACAAGGTCAAAACATTGGAAGACAAGACCGAAGATGAGGGGGTTGAAATCCGATGCAAGGAGTGTTCCTCGTGTAATGAATGTCCACTGTGTTGCTACAAGATTCTCGGGAGGTTCAATCTGATGTCAAATGCCTACCACCTCCTAGGTCTGGCATACAAGTTCCTGCTCACCCTGTCAATCACTCAGGTTGCCTGTGAACGCACATTTCCAACACTTAAATTCATTAAAACCGGACTCTGAAGCAAGCTGTCACAAGAGCACTTGGAAGCTTTTATGTTGATGGCAACATAGAGGGACATCCTTTTCTCTCTTGACTCTGATGTGATCATTGACAAAGTTGCAGAGAACAGTGAACTGTTTTCTAGGCTTCTGTAGGTCCTGGGACACCTCGCAGTGATGTTGTACCTCATGAAATATAATTTATATAGTTTATATAGTATACCCTAAGCATTAATATTTCTATTCGAATAATAAGTGGCACATAAATTAAGACCTTTAGTTATTTACAATAAAGCCTGATAAATATAATTTGCATTTTCTTTGCTTATTATTTTTAAAGTTTTTCTGGGTTTTGATAGTAAATAAATTCGAATCAGTAATTTACATGCAGATTAATGCACGTAGAAGTGTTCAGGGCTGATTTTTTTTTTTTTTTGTCCCAGTCCAGCCCTGCTTGCATATGAAAAATAATCAGTGATAATACAGTAAATTGTACAAAGCTTGACCATCATGATGATATTTTTGTTTCAATAGAGCTATTTTCATCACTGTTATCATTCCTGGCAGTAGTTGGAGTTAGCATTTTAAATCAGGCTCCTCTGTTACTCGTCCTTCCTTTCTCAGGTATCGGTGACTTTGGAGAACTTCCAGGACATCTCTCTGCCCATCCCAGGGAAAGAGGACCTTGCCAAGCTGCACTCGTCCTCCCACCAGACGGCTCTTGTCAAGGCAGGTTCCTGTGGAGAAGCCTACGCCCCTCAAGGCTGGATTTCTTTCGTCATGGAATATATCAAGAGGTATGTTTGAACCAAAAACTTGGAAGAACTTGGATTCAGAGGAAGAGAAAGCCTGGTTCTACGGGGGTGCTTGAGTACAGGATGTAAATAAGAGATTCATTGTTCAATGTAGGCTACTTCATTGATTAAAATTGTGAACTGTGATTAGGGAAAGCTTTTAGTGATTTTAAAGGGAGCCATTTTTGCGTGTTTTTTTAGGCTATATACAATCCATTCAGAATTTCAACGGTAATTGATATGATTAGCTTTTGGTTTGACTAGGTTATCAAACAAGTAATATTGTGTTGCTAATGTTACACAAACCATATTCTCATTCGCCATCTCAGAGTTAGATGGCTGCCTTCTAAAAATCAGCATCCTTAGAAAAAATGATAGGAAAAGCCCCGTCCCGCAGGTTGACGGGATTGGTTACATGCTTATGATGTAGAAAACGGGTGGTTTCAACCCACGTTTTTGAGACTGTCTTTGGTAAACTGCCATTTTAAGGCAAAAATACTCACATTTACACATGGTTTGTCTTAAAGGTGCATAGCACAAGTCTCTGAGTTTTTGCAGAACTATGCCCCCTCTGGCGACAAGCAAAACTGCAAACTTATCTAGCTTACGCTAAAGCATTACACATAGATTGGCCGTATTAGACATTAGAGACTGGGCTACATCTTACCATTTTATAAAAAAAAAAGGCTGAGGACCCCGCTTGAGCCCTAGAGCAGATCGGAGTCGTCCATTTGTTGAAAGCCTTCCCAATGTTGACTCTCGTCTTATTCCGACGCCTGTCTGACTCCAATTTGGCCCTTTTGGTGGCTCTAGACAAAAGTTTTATTTTCTTTGTCTTAAGTGGAGTTTGTGTTGGGGTTTGGAATGAACTACAAGCCGGTCTCTTTGAATCCATCTTCTACTTTTATCGCTCGAATGGTCATCGCTGATACGGGGAATGGCGGTGAATACACAAACCTGCCAGACATAGCCAGGTGAGCGTGAACGCGCATGACGTCACGCCCAGTCTCAAACTCCATCCCGAATCCCTCTTATTTATTTCACTGTACAGGATTATAGAGGCAATCGCTGTGATCAGAGAAGGGCTCATTCAGCCCATCAGACAATTGTTTAAGCATGTATGGGTTCGAAAAACGGCTATTTTTAACATGTTACGCAATGCACCTTTAAAGCAATTTACACTCGACAGGGGGTTTTTACGTTATTTTTTTGACGCATTTATGTAGAACTTGCCACGGTGGGCATTTTGACATAGTTTTGTTTGAATATGAGTGTTCAAGCTCAAGAAGACATAAAAGACCGCTTAGTTGAGTATTGAAGTACCACACATCGCTCGAATTGACAAATTGAGTTCCCTTTCGGGTCGTCTTGAGTTTGAATATTTCAATTGGCACGGCTTAAATGGTTCGTGTTCTCCCAATTTTGCATCGTTATATTTGAGGGATGTGACGGTGAGGAAATTTTCTTACCAGTTAATGTGTGACAACAGCTGTAATACTAGTATCACCTTAAGTGGGACGTTGGAGTTTTTCCTTTGTTTTCACCTTGCTTTTAAATCACGTGATGGAACAGTTTTGTGGCTGAACACCAACTAGTAGCAGCCAGCAAGCCTATTAGGCCATGTGTCCACCAAAGCGTTTTTAGCCGGCTGAAAACGCTAGATGCTCTGCTGAAGACGCCGTGCTTTGGGCGCTTGAGAGCGTTTTTCAGCGCAGCGTTTTTTCTGTTGAGACGTTTCGTTGCTATGATACAGAATATCCGCAGCAGTTGAATGTTGTGACAGTTGGTTGTTGTGGTATTAGTCCCGCCCCTCCTCAACTGTGGTTGGACGGCTGGGTAAAAAGTGACAGTGATGAGTGCTGCGTTTTAACCAAAGTTGAACATTTTTCAACTCCCAGCGACCAGTAAAAAACGCTGGGCGCTCGGCGCTTCAGCGTAAAAAAAACGCTCAGCGCCTCGGTATGCTCATGGCGTTTAAAAAACGTGGCACTCCCATTGAATAGAATTGAAAACATACGCCAGGCACGTGAAAAAAACGCTTTGGTGGACACACGGCACGGCCTTAGAATTCATAAAAATGTTGACAGCCAACTGGTGATTGACACGTTTCATCGACTCACCAACACTGAAATTAGCGTGTTCATTTTAGTTCCCTGTATATAAGCATGTATTACATTGTAGACCAAGGAAAATTATTTAATTTTATTTTTGAATAATTGTTCACGATTGTTTATTTCTGCTCATTGATTTTAGTTGGTTCTGGGGGCCTGTGGTCACGCTGCAGGACTGTCTGGCTGCCTTTTTTGCCAGGGATGAACTAAAAGGTTTGACGTTTCTCAAAGCTTTGTATCACCCAAACTAACCAATAGCTGATAGTACTGATGATAGCTGATAGTAGTTTTGAGTAGTTTTGTCATCTAAACAAAAAAAAAAAAAGAAGATAAATATGGAAATCTTTTACTTTATAGAACTGTGTTTATGTTTATATTTAATTCTCACTGGCTAGGTGTCTGTTTTTTTGTTGTTGTTTTTTTCAGGAGACAACATGTACAGCTGTGAAAAATGCAAGAAGTGAGTATGAACTTTTTGTTGATCAAATTGAATGAGGTGGTTGCAGAAATAAGTGTTAATGTTGATTCTTTTGGTTGTTTCAGGTTACGGAATGGGGTCAAATTCTGCAAAGTTCAGAGTTTGCCAGAGGTAAGCGATCATATAAGCTATTTTGGTTATTATACCAGTTCAGGCATCACATTATTTAAAGGGATAGTTCACCCAAAAATGAAATTTCTGTCATGAATTAGTCACCCTAATGTCATTCATTTTCAGAACACAAATTAAGATATATTTTGATGAAATCCGTGAGGTTTCTGAACCAGCCATAGGCAGCAACTTTCAAGGCCCAGAAAGGTGGTAAAGACATCGTTAAAATAGTCCATGTGACTACAGTGGTTCAACTTTAATGTTATGAAGCGACTAGAATACTTTGTGCGCAGAAAACAAACAAAAATAGATTTTAAAAAGAAGATTTTATTTAACAATTATTTTCCACGTAGTAAGCACAGTGCAGTGCTTCCAGGTTCATTACCTTTCTGGGCCTTGAAATTTGCAACGACCTTGCTGCCTGTGGCTGATTCAGATACCTTGGATTTCATCAAACATTTCTTAATTTGTGTTCTGAAGATGAACGAAGGTCTTACGGGTTTGGAATGAAAAGAGGGTGAGTAATTAATGACAGAAATTAAATTTTTGGGTGAACTAACCCTTTAATTCCAGAGTTTGAAAAAAAAAAACACAAAATAGGTCCACTGTGTTTTGGCCTTGTACCAAGGCTGCCTGAAATGAGCACAAAACATGGACCCTTGAGAAATAATAGTAATATAATGAGTAATAAGGTCTGGTTTCCTACATCCGGTGGATTTATATTTAGAGAGAGTCTAAGGATGCCTTTAACCCACAATATCTGCAGCCATCTGGTAAATATGCTCAGCGATCTATAATGGCAAGTGCAGACATCATATGGGAGTCATTAGATCTGAGGATTGTTCAGTGCATCTGTTAAATGGCCAAAGCTGTTTACTGATGGAAACCCTCAACTTTTCAAAAAGAACTAAACAGTCTTGCTGTACAATAGTGTTGTAGTACTCGAGACCATTTTTTTAAGGTCTTGTCTCGACCTTGACCTCATTTGTACTCGGTCTTGTCTCTGTCTCAGAATTTGAGGACTTGGGATATTATTTCAAGACCGATCAAGACCACAACTGCGAGGATATCACAAATTGGCGTTACGTTATCTGATTTATTTGTTACCATCATTTACATGGATGTAACACATCCGGCTTTAAATGCAATCAACAACTTTTTTCTGATTTGATTTCTTACTGTTGTGCCGGGTCAGAAATTAACGGGGGATTGTCAAAAATGTCACCAAAATTAATACGAATGCCCTCAAAAATCCAAGATACGATTGCAAAAAAGTACCTGAACGAGTGCTTGTTTTTTTTTTTTTTTTGTTATAACATGTTAATTAAGCAATATCAGCTAAAGTGCTTCTACATTTCTCAGGCAGTAGATATGGCATCTTTCAGATGATTTGAGGAGTGCTGGTCCGGTCTTGGTCTTGACCTAGTCTATCCTTGCCTTGGTCTGGGTCTTGTCTTGGTCTCAACACACAATGGTCTTGGTCTTGACTCGGTCTCGGTTTAGTTGGTCTTGACTACAACACTACTGTAAAAAATTGCCCAGGTTGTTATATTTTTATATGAACAGGCATGGGACATTCTTGCTGTTTTGGTTTTATTGTAGGAAACTGACTGCAGACTTCCCTGCTTTGTTCAAATTCTCTTTACCGTCTCCTCCTCAACAGATTTTGTGCATTCACCTCAAGCGCTTCAGACATGAACTTATGTTCTCCACCAAAATCGGCACCCACGTGTCCTTCCCTTTGGAAGGCCTCGAGATGCAGCCCTTCCTGGCCAAGGACAGCTCCGACCAGACCACCACCTACGACCTGCTGTCAGTCATCTGTCACCACGGCACTGCCAGCAGTAAGTCCAAGCTTTTCAATGAGGGAGATGGTCATGAAGTATTATTGTCATTTACAGCAGTTTATAAATGTATTCATATTTTTATTATTATTTAAAAATTATGGAAGCTTGTTTCCACCATGGAAGAAAAAAAATAAATGTATTAATAAAGGTAATTGCGACAATTCTTAGAAAATAAAACTGAATTTTTGGACACCAATTCAGAGTTTATAACTTGCAATTCTGACTTTTTTTTTCTTGCGATAAAGAGTTTAGATTGAGTTTAAAATTTTGAGGATAATGTCTTGTGGGATTCGTAATTGCAAAAATGTTTCCCGTGGTGGAAATAAGCACTCAACTTTACTAGAATAGATGTGTAAAACCCCTTTCACACAGCGCGTTGATCCCGGAAAATTGCCGGGAAATTGCCAGAAGCCTTCTGTGTGAACGCAAACACGACCCGGCATTGATCCCGGCATCGATCCCGGGTTGGGGACCTAGTAACATTGCCGGAATCAGTCCCGGAACGCGCGCTGTGTGAACAAAAGCCAGGACCAATGCCGTAAGGGGTGTGTCATAGTGATGACGCTCGTGCCATCGCGCGACTCTGTTGCTCTTAGAAGAAAGTTTGTGTTCGTCATCAACAAAGAAAGGACGGACAAATGTCTGCAAATTGGGACGAAGCACAGACCAGGAGCTCCTCTCTTTCCGTGCTGAAGCTGAGATCGTTCACCAGCTTTGAGGAACGGTATGCACGTGCACATGTTTTCGACGGGTACGTTATACGTCTCATCCTGACGTCATGTTTCTCTCCGGGATATTTACGGGTTGTGTGTGAACGCACTCACATATCCCAGCAAATCACTGGCAGTGTGAATGAACCAAAATCAAACAATCCCGGGACAAATGCCAGGTCACATTATCCGTGTATTTCCCGGAATCTCTGTGTGAAAGGGGCTTAAGTGATGTCAGGTGGTGAAAGTAGAGTCTCTTTTTGATCACTGGTGTCATTTAAACCTGGAAGACAATACAATATTTGTGCCTAGATTTTGAGTTGCCGTCGGGATGAGTCAACGCTAGTTGCCAAAAGACTGAGCCAGGCTTCAGATTTTGGGGAAATTTGACAGATTTCACAGAAACTATACATCCAATCTTAACAATCTTCAAGAATCAAGTTTATTAATGACCAACTTCTAAAAAGAGATCGTTTCTTTGTAAAGAAATGCGCGCACACACGCACACACTACTTGTTTAAATACATTTATGTTGTTAATAAATAACAATAAATTGTTGTTGTAGCAGCAATATTTCCAAGTTTGTTTTTCACTGTAGAATTTCAAATGTCATGATTTGCCATGATTCGGTAGCTAATATGATTTGAGAGTACCTGCACCTTTTTTCCCCCACCTCAAGCACTGAGCAAATCTAAATTTGCTGGAAGATGTCTGGGTTTTCCCAGGCTAGGCACAAATACCAGTAAATTGACTAGTGCAAACCTTAGTAAATCACCTTGCATAGTTCATTTAAATACTCTCCTCCCATAAATTTAGCATCTGAAAGGGAAACTCCCACCAATGCATATGGAACAAGGTCAGCAGCAAAAAATAACCCTGTCCGCGCCTTTACAATGCTAATTTGTCACTTTAGTAAATTCTGACAGTAGTTTTTTTTAATGCCAAAATAAGGTTTGATCTGGCGCAAGCTGATAAATCTGGCCCTAAGTAAAATCTTTTCAGATTATAAGAGTTGTGTAGTTTATTCCAGTTGATTCAATAATAGAGAAAACATATAGCTGTAAGCAGTGATAAGGGTAGCAAAAGCAGTGCATAGCTAGAAGAGCAAAAATAGCAGAAATAGAATATACAGTACATGAAGGACAGATAGGTTCAGAAGTACAGGTGAGAATGAACTCCAGATGAACAGAAATTTAGATTAGAATGAACACAGATAAAAAAAAAAAAACATTTCTAATCCAGGATGAAAAAAGATTAGTACAATACTTTCCCAGATGATAAAGGAATCGAAGTCATTTAACACTACACACTCAAATATTTTAAAGTTGTTCTAGGCAGGAATCAAACCCAAAATCTTAAGATCACATGCTTATTGCTTATCGCTGCGCACCACTCGGAAGACACGCTTTCACCCAAAAAGGAGGAAACCGTGAGACAAAGCAGGGACAATGGGATCAGGAAATGTCACCAATATAGCATTGCATACACGAGCGCTACAACTCAGTGTGTGTCAGATCATGTGATCTAATCTGCAGGCTACGCCTCTCCTGACAGGACTGATGCTTTTTAATGTGCTTTTTGTTTTGTTTAAGGTGGCCACTATATTGCCTATTGTCGAAATGAACTGAACCAGCAGTGGTACGAGTTTGATGACCAGAGTGTTACTGAGGTGTCTGAGTCCTGTGTTCAAAACGCAGAGGCATATGTGCTCTTTTACAAGTAAGAACATATTAGCACACACATGATTTTTTTTTTCTCTTCAAAAGGTTAAAAATCACATTTTCTCACCTCAGACTACCAGTATTTAAATTAATAAACAAGGGTGAGTGAGTGGTTGGGTGGTAAGAGGATGAGGGGGTGGTTGGGTGAGTTGTTGGGTAAGTGAGTGAGTGGTTTAGGGGGTGGTTGGGTGAGTGGATGGGTAAGTGAGTGAGTGGTTGGGTGAGTGGATGAGGGGGTGGTTGGGTGAGTGGATGAGGCGTTGGTTGGGTGAGTGGATGAGGCGTTGGTTGGGTGAGTGGATGAGGGGGTAGGTGAGTGAGTGGTTGAGGGGGTGGTTGGGTGTATGAGTGTTTTGGTGAGGTGACTGGATGTGGGAGTGGTTGGTTGAGTGGTTGGTTGAGTGAGTGGATAAGGAGGTGGTTGGGTGAGTGAGTGGATGAGGGAGTGGTTGGGTGAGTGGATAAGGGGGTGGTTGGGTGAGTGAGTGGATGAGGGAGTGGTTGGGCGAGTGGTTGTGGGAGTGAGTGGTTGGGTGAGTGAGTGAGTGGATGAGGAAGTGGTTGGGTGAGTGGATGAGGAGGTGGTTGGGTGAGTGGATGAGGAGGTGGTTGGGTAAGTGGTTGAGTGAGTTAGTGGTTGAGGGAGTGGTTGGGTGAGTGGATGAGTGTGTGGTTGGGTGAGTGGATGGTTAGGTGAGTGGTTGGGTGAGTGAGTGGTTGAGGGAGTGAGTGAGTGGTTGGGTGGGTGAGTGAGTGGTTGGGGGAGTGGATGAGGGAGTGGTTGGGTGAGTGAGTGGTTGGGTGAGGTGAGTGGATGAGGGGGTGGTTGGGTGAGTGGATGGTTGGGTGAGTGGATGAGGGAGTGGTTGGATGAGGGGGTGGTTGGTTGGGTGAGTGGATGAGGGGGTGGTTGGGTGAGTGAGTGGATGAGGGGGTGGTTGGGTGAGTGAGTGAGTGGATGAGGGGGTGGTTGGGTGAGTGAGTGGATAAGGAGGTGGTTGGGTGAGTGGATGAGGGAGTGGTTGGTTGGGTGTGTGGTTGGTGAGTGGATGAGGGGGTGGTTGGGTGAGTGGATGAGGGAGTGGTTGGTTGGGTGAGTGGTTGGGTGAGTGGATGAGGAGGTGGTTGGGTAAGTGGTTGAGTGAGTTAGTGGTTGAGGGAGTGGTTGGGTGAGTGGATGAGGGTGTGGTTGGGTGAGTGGATGAGGGTGTGGTTAGGTGAGTGAGTGGATGGTTTGGTGAGTGAGTGGTTGGGGGAGTGGATGAGGGAGTGGTTGGGTGAGTGAGTGGTTGGGGGAGTGGATAAGGGAGTGGTTGGGTGAGTGAGTGGTTGGGTGAGGTGAGTGGATGAGGGGGTGGTTGGGTGAGTGGATGGTTGGGTGAGTGGATGAGGGAGTGGTTGGATGAGGGGGTGGTTGGTTGGGTGGTTGGATGAGGGGGTGGTTGGGTGAGTGAGTGGATAAGGAGGTGGTTGGGTGAGTGAGTGGATAAGGGGGTGGTTGGGTGAGTGGATGAGGGAGTGGTTGGTTGGGTGTGTGGTTGAGGGAGTGGGAGTGAGTGTTTTAGGGAGTGGTTGGGTGAGTGGATGAGGGAGTGGTTGGTTGGTTGGTTGAGTGGTTGAGTGAGTTAGTGCTTGAGGGAGTGGTTGAGGGATTGGTTGGTTGGGTGAGTGAGTGAGTGGATGGTTGGGTGAGTGGTTGAGGGAGTGGTTGGGTGAGTTGGTGGTCAGGTGAGTGAGTGGATGAGGGGGTGAGAGGGTGGGTGGCTGAGTGAGTGGGTGAATACAGGCAAAGTAGCTGAGAATCTTTTTTTATTTGATGTTTTTTTCATTACATACTAAATGGTGTTAAAACTATGAACAAATTTGATTCTGCTTAGTATCCTGTTTAAAATCAGATTATTGATTATTTTACATGAGCAAACAATATTTTAAGATTCAGCTATCTTTTAGGCAAAAAACCTCAAGGTTGTGTTACGCAGGAAAAACGGCCTTGAGTTTGACTGTAAATCTCTGTGCTGTGGTAAAGCGTGTGTTGTCAGTCGCTAAATGGTGCTGATGTCCTTTGTGTGTGTGTGTGACAGGAAGAGTAACGAAGAGTCTCAGAAAGAGAGGCGGAAGGTGACCAGTCTGCTCAACATAATGGAGCCAAGCCTCCTGCAGTTCTACATCTCCCGCCAGTGGCTGAACAAGTTCAAAACCTTCGCTGAGCCAGGACCCATCTCCAACCATGACTTCCTGTGTGCCCACGGAGGTGAGGATCACTCTTGTTAATGAGTCTCATAATTATAATCGGGCTCGTTTTTATATTGTAGGATCTGTGACGTCACACGGGCGAATACATTTGCATATGCCTGCCTCCAGAACAAGACATTGATAAATAGTTATTCATCATTGTCGGCTAATATTTGACAACTCTGATTGTGATTTACAAGTAAGAACATATGACACTCACACATATTTTGTGAGTTAAAAAAAAACTTTATAACTTTGAACCTCAAGGAGCATATTAATGTAATAAAAAAAAAATCAATGTCTTTACCCCGTAAAGATCAGGGCCTTTCCTACTTTTCCCATTGTAAAGTATTTATATACCACAGATATGACTCCACACCACCACACATAACTGCAGATTCCGCCAACATTTTCAAGGTCAACTGCCGCCACATCCTTTTCACTGATTATGTTTGTTTATCCACTTTTCCTGTCCTTTTTACTCTACTAAACTTGAGAGTGCAGTATGAGCTCAGATGTGAATCTCATCAGAAAGCACTTCAAAGCTCCTTTCCTCCCCTTGATCTGATTCGTTTGAACTAATTCAAATTAATTTAAAGGAAAAGATCTAATAGAGGATATTAATTATTCAGAAATCTTCATGAATACAGTTTCATATTGACTTTTAGAAGAGAGGTTTTTTTGGTCGTTTGAGTAGAAAAACTAATTATTTGGTGGTTAAAAATTTTTTTTCTTCTTCTCCAACAGGTATTCCGCCAAATAAAGCCACATCCATTGATGATCTTGTTATGATGCTTCCCCAAAGTGTATGGGATCATCTGTATAGCAGGTACGCATTTATCACTGTTCTTTTCCTGACTTCATGTGGAAGTATTAAATGCTAATTGTCGGCATGCTGTTGTTTAGGTATGGAGGCGGCCCCGCTGTCAATCACTTGTATGTCTGCCACACCTGCCAGACCGAGATCGAGAAGCTGGAGAAACGGCGCAAGAATGAGCTGGACATGTTTGTTCGGGTAGGAGCCTCAGTGTCAAAGTAGATTTAAAGGGATAGTACACCCTCAATTTTTTACTCTCTCATCAGAGTGGTCTAGAGTACCGACTTCTATACCAAGTTGGCACTGAAATTTAAAAAAAAATGTGATGATACACATTTGATACCAGCATTTCCATCTTGCATTTTGAGCGATGTTGAACGGATTCTTAAACACCTCTGATTGGCCACTGTGTTCACGCGCTTAACATATATGTCTGTGATTGGCAATTGTGTTCACACATTCTACATATATGTCTCTGATTGGCCATTGTGTTGACGACCTCAAAATATATCTGTGATTGGCTACAATGATCGACACTTTAAAAAGGATGTTGTCTTTGAAAACTCTTCATCGAGCGCTTGAAAGCGGTGTCTATCAGCAGATATATTAGGGATCTGATGATAGACGCCAGCTTTTAAATGCTCCCCTGTGTATCCCTGCAAGCGTTTGGTGAAGTGTCAAAGATGTCTTTGTTGGTCATTGTAGCCAATCACAGACATATTATGAGGTTGTCAACACAATGGCCAATGAGAGACGTATATGTGGAGCGCGTCAACACACTGGCCAATCAGACTTCAACAGTGCTCAAAGTGCAAGAAGGGAAATGCTGATATTATCACATTTTTAAATTTCAGTACCGAAGTTGGTACTTTTAGAGAACTCTAGTCATTTTCTCACCCTCAAGTTGTTCCAAACCTGCATACAAAGAACACAAAATAATATATTTGAAAGAATATGGGTAACCAAACAGTTGTGGGGCACCATTGACTGCTTACATACATTCTGCCTTTGTGTTTAGCACAACAACGAAATTCATACAGGTTTGGAACAACTCGAGAGTGAGTAAATTATTACAGAATTTTCATTTTTGGGTGAACTGTCCCTTTAAGGGACATCCAGAGTGAAGAGTGTCTGGTCTTTTCAGCTAATCTAACGTCTGAACTGTTATCTGTGCACCATTCACAACCTCCACACCACTCTCTCAGACTGAGATCGGCAAGTCGACGCCCACCCTTCTCCAAAATTGTAGTCATTATTTATGCATGAGCACAAAAGTACTTGATTTCAGCCAGAGACACTCAGGTTGGCTCAAATTAAGGGCAAACAAAGGAGGCCAAAGGAACGATAATGTGGAATTTTATGCAGGGATGCACCAATATTAAAGAAACGATAAGCTGATTAGGGCTAATCATTTGTCATACACATCGGCAGGATTTATAAAAATGCATCGAGAAAACATTTGAATCATTACACTCTTTGAACCTCTTAGAAAGAAAGGGTTCTCAACTCTGACCCACTTTCCTGAATAGTTTAGCTCCAACCCTTCTCAAATTCATCTGAACAAAATCAAAAAATCAAAAGGTTTGATCAAGGTTAGAACGTAACTGCAGGAAAGTGGACTTTGATGGTCAGAGTCGAGAACCCATGGTAAAGGACATAGAAAAGCAGTGGAGTGGAATGCAAACATGCTTTGTCTGTGAGGGGCGCTATAGAAAGCAGTTGCTTATCTAACCCTATAGACCACGAGGTAGCTTACTAGGATTTGGAACAGAGCTTCTGTCTCAGTTTATCCTGTAAACATTGGGGTGGGAAGATATTCCATGAAGAAACGCTCAGGTAATGGATTCTTTCTTCCTACATCTCATGGTCTCATGTGCTTTCTTCTCTTTCCTCCTCTCTTCTGTCCTTGTAGCTCAATAAGGCGTTTCAGGAGGAGGAGTCTCCTGTGGTGATATACTGTATCAGCATGCAGTGGTTCCGGGAATGGGAAGGCTTTGTCAAAGGCAAGGACATTGGTAAGTCATTTCTCATCCCTGCTGCTGAGACTACTAAAGTATCTGAAAGTTTGAAATTGAATATTAGCATCATGTTTTGTGGTTATTGATCAATAAGGAGTTCTTTATTAGAGCTTTTGGTTGGGATAGTCGGTGTGCTTTCGATGACGAATGGTCTTGTGTCTTTCAGATCCGCCGGGGCCAATTGATAACTCCAAGATTGCTGTAAATAAAAATGGACACATCACGTTAAAGCCAGGTAATTTTTACCATCTGAATCTTTTACAGTCATCATGAAATGGCGTCCGTATTCCATTTGACTTCCTCAATGTGATCATTTTCTAAGCAAAACTGGATAATCAATTCTGTCATTTACTCACGCTCATGTCATTCCAAACCTGTATGACTTTCTTGTGCAAAACGCGCAACGCTGTCCAATGTTGTGTGGGTCTCAACGTTCTTCAGGATTTAGAAAATGGGTAAACTGATAATCAGGATTATTTTGATGAAATTTTGTTTGGATCAATTATTAATCACAATTGTTCTCATTTAACACATTTCTTTTGACATTTTTAGAGAATGTGAATTCATGCGCTTGGTTTAGTATATTTATCATAAACCTAGGGATGCACCGATATGAAATTTTTTGGCCGATACCGATAATTCTTTATATTTGAAAGCCGATAACCGATATATCGGCCGATAAACTTAAATCCAAATTTTTATCTAATTTTGAGAGCCTGATTACAAATACAAAAGTCTCACAATTAAATCCATGTCCCAAACGCACAATTATAATGATGTTCTCATTGTTGGGTTGTATAGCCGATATGACGATTTGCGCGGCACATGTTGTACCGAACCGTATTTAAATTTTTTTGAAGAGATTTCAATCATATTTCAAGAAATACAAAAACATAAACAGTGTCTCAGCTGAAGGGAATAATACATTATTTATCTGCTTTAATATATCGGCCATATTTTCTTACCAGGCCGATAACGATAACATTAAAAATAAACATATATCGGCCGATACGATATGCTAACACTACAAAGACAGTTCACCTATCAAAATAAACCACATAACAGAATAAAGTCCAGTCCTGGGTGAAATACAACAGCCCGCAAGTTTTTATTTATTTATTTTTATCCAGCGTTATTGTGTGGTGTAATGCGGAGCACAAGAGAACAGCAGAGTTTGAAGCTGCTCGTTTAAAAGACCTTGCTCGCCTCTCAATCGTCCAATTTCAAAATGGTTTTCACAGGTTGAATTTTGAGTTCGTAAGCTTTCGAATGATACCTAATCTATAATGATTACTAAAAATCACAGTGATCAGCCGACTTCAGATAACTATAACTTTTGTTGCAGACAAACGATAAAATAAATAAAAGCAGATTTGGAAAGGGCTTGAACACAGCTTTAATATGGTCTCAAAACCTGTAATATGTCAAATTTCACCATGTGGTGGGTTTTCCAAGATCGCATCACATATGAGCTCTCTGTGTGCAGAAAACAGTGCGGAGGTGTTGAATTCTGTTCTGCTTTGTGTCTTCTTGCACTTGAATGGTTTAACCTCTTAACTGTCACCCCCCTTTTTTGAATAGACATGGAAATGCTTATTTCAAACTTAAATGGTTGTAATTCAAGAATGCTTTGGAATATAGACGTAAGATTGGTCTCGTTTTAAAGAAGACATTTGGCAGATTTTTCTCGAAGTTCAATAAATTAAGAAAGTGAAACAGAAGAAAGTTATAGAAGTTTGAGTTTATAGAAATGTACAATGTAAAAAAATTAATTATTCATATTTTATCTAAAATATATATTTTCAAAACCTGGACTACTCTAAAACTGCAGAAAAATCAAAGCCAAAAATCTGAACAAGTTGTGTTTAAAATTTTAGGTTGATATCTCAAAAAATGAACTTTCAGTGAGATTTTGTTTGGGCGCAGTACCAAACTTTTTCACTAGGCTCGGTCCCTCCAGAAAAACGCGTTAATGCGATCGCTGAATTCAATGCAAAATCAGCCAAAGTCCGCATATTTATGCGGGGGCCGCATTTTTTCAAATACGCCGCACTTTCGCCGCATAAATTGCCGATTTCCTTGCAAAATATGCGGGGTTTGCATAATTTCATAATCCTCGCATTTTCGTTGCAAAAAAAAGTCACGTGTATTTTAGTAGAAAGTTGAAAAATGTTCCGTTTGCTTCACACAAGAGCAGCCATTTCCCCCTGTTTCCATGGGAACGTTATGAAGTGACGCAATTACGCGACGCCGGACAGACTCACGGAGGCGATTGACATCTCACAAATCGAACTCGTATAACTGTCTCACACGTTCTACCGTCACATCGTTACTTAATAAACAACATAAGATAAAAGAAGTAGCATCAAACAGAAATTACCCACACACATGGGGTGTTTGAGGCGCACATATAACACTGCAGAGAGTTCAACAGGGAGCGCGCAGCTCTTAAAGGGGCCACACCTTATTTACACTCGTTATAGTCTGAAATAAAACAAGATGAGAAATTAAATATTCCCAGCACTTTCTATGATGTAGTATGCTTGCTTATCAAAGGAAGTAATAAGAAATGACTCTTACATTAGCCTAGTGAGAACAGGATGTTGGGGGAATCACTGAAAAAGAGAAATCTTTTTCATCAAACCGCAATTTTTGCAAGTTCTCTCAATTTTTGCAAATTCCTGCAATTTCATCGCATAAAATTGCATAAATATCCCGCATATTCCATCGCATTTTTAAAGAAAACGGGCCGAGTAGGCTAATCAATCAATTTTTGCCCGCAACAATCACAAAAAAACTCCGCGTTTTTCTGGAAGGACTGAATACTATTATGGTAAATGTTATATATAAATCGCAAATTTTTTCACAAATTTTTGGAAATTACCACCACAAAATCAGTCATTTTGATCGCAAAAATCACAAAAAAAAATCGTGAAATCCTGGAGGGACTGACTAGGGCACAACCAGACTCCATTACAGCCCATATAAGGGCGCCTCCATTTCCATATGTGTTTTGAGTGATATGAACCATTATTTTCACAAATTTCACACAATTTATGAAGTAGACATCCTATGCAGAAGTAGTATGGGAAGTTTGGCAGATTTTGATATGAATTCAACCTCTAGGAATCACATACAAAGAACACGCATGCGCGTTATAGCTTATTGCCATAACACAAATGGTGAATCAATTTTTTTTTCTTAATATTTTAAACATTTTAACATTCTAAAATAATTGAATGGATGCTATCTTTTGGCATGAAATCAAACCAGGTTTCAAACTTTTTTTTCATGATTTTTCGTGTTCATTGCTATTTCAAAATAAAGGTCTGAACACGCTTTATGAGTATGAAAATATTCTTGTTGCAAATTGATAAATTACGGCTCCTGTGTAAATTATTTTGAAAATCAGTCACCAAAAATGGAAACTAGAGATTGTAAGCTTTTAAATGATATATAGTTTGTCAATATTACTTAAGGTCTTTTCTAAGATATTATTGTTTTAAAAATATAATGGCAAGCGTCCCACCTGTGGGACGGTGACAGTGGTTTTATAACACAGGAATCGATAAACGGAATTATAATTTTTATTTTATAACAAATATACGATTCCTGACTTTAAGTGTCTGATTTTCGATTTTGACCCTACTAAACTCAAATGTTTGTCAGTGTTTTCTTAGTTTTCTTCTGTTTTCTTAGTGATCATTAGCACTTTTTTTTAGTGGAGAGTGCGTAGACATGGTTGCCAGGTTGGGAAGATTATATATCTTCATATATATATATATATATATATATATATATATATATATATATATATATATATATATATATATATATATATTATGTATATATATATATATATATATATTATATATATATTATGTATATATATGATATGTATATACAAAGTTCTTTACATTTTGTACAATATAAGAGAGAAACAAATTAAATTATCAGTCCTTTACACTTTGTTTTTCATTTAACATCAAATTAACAGCCTTGAGTGTATTCATTATGGTAACACTTTAGTTTAAGGTCCAAAATTCTCACTATTAACTAGTTGTTTATCAGCATGCATATTGCTAGGATTCTCCCAAATGTTCACTCAAGGCATAATTGACTATGAATAATGGAGGGACAAAAATCTCTCGTACATGTTTCGACGATGAATAAAAGAAAGGTTTTTGAAACATGAGGGCGAGTAATTAGTAGAATTTTCATTTTTGGGTGAACCATCCCTTTAATTAATCAAGAGAAGCAGGAATTATGATCACGATTAAAATATGATTCATCATGCAGCCCTACAATAGTGTGCTTGCTTTACTTGTGCCAAGTAACAAACACCTTTTGGCATTTTTTTTATGGTTTAACAGGTGCCGATTCAGGTCAGATATCAGAAGAGACCTGGAACTTCCTCCACTCCATCCACGGAGGAGGGCCGGTGGTGACCGTGCGGCCCAGTGTCAGCCATCAGGAGTCGGAGAGTTCTCAAGCAGAGGAGAAGATCGAAGTGGAGACGCGCTCGGTGTAGTTGCGCCGAGATGCTGCTGGGCCGCAAGGGGACCGACACACTTATTATTTTGCACTTCACTTTTGTTTTTCAAGCATTCTAGCAAAGGACCTGACAGCTTCACCTCAACACACACTCTCTCTATGACTGTTCTTTATAGCAGACGGATGGATTAATCATCCTCCAGTGTGCTTCACATGTGTATATATCGTGCATATCCACTTCCTTTTGACACTAGAAACCAATTTTCACAGTTCGATTTCAGTGTGCAACTGCATTCATGACAGAATTTGCTTCGCCTGAACCAAATACACCATGATTTGCGTACACCGAAAAAGTCCACTGCATCTGTACATATTTTTTAGGCACCGCCTCGCTTAAGAAAATGAAAGAATATGTTGTCTTAGTGGATGAAAGCTTCATGTTTTGGGTATGAAGGGATACTAAAAGCTACGTAGTCTCAGGAAAGAAGATATTTTTTTCTGTTTTGCACTGTACTGTAGATTCAAAAGGTGCATGCTTCAGCTCTGATGTTCGATATGTATTTGAATGTACTAGTACTTAAAGAACACGTTCCTGCACTAAATGTTATTTATTCCAGAAGGGTGTGATTATTCCGGCATTCTTTGGATTCATCAAATGATTTGATATGCTAAAGCAGACAAAGCAGAATGCACGCTAATAGGAATGATGTGGCACATTATGCTGGCAAGAAAATCGATTTCTTCATTTTTATTTGTTGCATAGCTGGGTTGCATGGAGATGCAAACAATAAGGTGCACATTTGAACACATCAATGGCTGTCTTGTTTAAAATTGCTATGTAAAAGGAAAAAAAAATCAGAGCGATTAAATCCTGCTGCCGCACATGTGTACATTTCAAGGCATTATTTAATGTATAGAAGGATGTGATGTTTTTCGATATTAATTGTCCGCAGAGACGAAAGCTGTATCTGAGTGGCTACTATTTAACCCCAAAACTTGTGCTGTCGATATCTGTCATCATTCGTATGAGCTGAAATTAATATGCTTATGTGAATGGATAAATTTCACAAACATGCGTCCGGAAATCGAAGAAAGAATGCATACGCATAAAGAAAATAAAGCCTGTTTAGGACATTTTTCTTGACTTTGTGACATTATTTTCGTGAAAGTTAAGCGCATTTGTGGCAGAGTTCATAATGAGTCCAGATTTTTTATTTTTTGTGTTTTTCTGAATTCCATTACAGTAAAACAGTACAATTTTTACTGAATTATGTAAAAAAAATTGCCGTTATAGTACCGTTTCTTGATTTTTTTATTTCATTACATTGAGGATAATTAGATTTTCACGCTTAATGTCGTGAAAATGTTTGTTTATATTTTCTTTTTTGGGTTTTGGGGAGAAAAATAAGTAGAACTTATTTTGGCAGGTTTTGCATGATTCACACAATATTGTAGAACAGGTGATTTCAATCTTTCAGATGCCACAGATCCCAAAATATGATTGAAGAAAAAAAAATGTAGGTACTGTGGAGCCCCTAAAGGGATATGAGATGCAATTAAGCATTACAATATTTGTCATATCCATGTCCCTTTTAGGGTTTCTATTAAGTTACATTATTTCATTTTATATTCTTATTGCTGTACTGTTAGATGTAGAATTTGTTTACTCATATGAGTTGAAAGATTCATTTAAATATATGGTTTTATTTATGATTTTCTCTCCTGGACCTCCTAGCACACCCTGAGGGTCCCTAGACCCCAGTTTGAAAGTCCCTTTATAGAAATTGCTTGAAATAATATCACTGATGTCAAGCAATTATTTTGACTGTGAACTTAATTCCTTGATATCAGTCAAAACATACTATTAAGGTAGTTTACTGAGCCCTAAAGAGCATTGGTGCATCACTAGCCATTATTACCTCTCGCGGCCATATCAATAGTTTATAATATTGCATTCTTCAGAACAATATGCTGTTCATCATCAGGCTGAAAGTGTCGGTGAGATCGGTGCTGACAGCAGAGCTCTTGAGAGCCGGTCATTATGAAAGCAGCGAGCGTGTGGGCCGCGGCTGCTGTCCTGTACAGTATCGCAGTGAGAGCGGGATTGTGGGATTCACATTCACAGCAGCACCGACAGAGAAAAAAAAAACATGGCGGCTGCCGAATGTGCAGCAAACGATTTGCGGAAGTGAGGTAAGTGTAATTCTGTAGCTTCATAAACCCTTTTACATTGAATTATCCGTCACTCAAGTCCAATTCCCCGAGTTTATCTTGAAGTTAAAGCAGAGTCCGGTGCAGAAGCCGCTCCAATTGTAGCAGTTCGAGCGGATTTTGATAGGCAAAGTTGTTGCGGCTTATCAGTTGTGTATGTGCACGCTGCCACTGTTACACGCTAGCCTGTTAGCTTCAGCATTTAGGCCTTTCATCTTCGAAAGTCATTTAATCACCTGCTCAGCTAGTTGCGTTTATTTTACACGGGGAAAACACATATTCCGTGCATTAACAAGTGTCCTGAATGTGCGTTAAAAAGGGTGCGCCAAATTCGTTAGCATTAGCATGCTAAAGTGAGCCTCTATCATCTTTATTAGCGCTCTTAGCCAGAATGCTAATTAGTGGCTGAGTTGTGAGGGGAAAACAAGATTTGTTTGTTTGTCGTCGAATTGTTTGTTGTTTGTTCCTTGCCCGTTTACACGACAAGTGTGTTTTATTGTGTATGGCGCAAAATGAAAGTGCAGTCGCGCTTCCTGTGAATGCAGTCGTTAGCATGGGAGCTAAAACCCTGCGGACACATTTGTTTTGTTCAGTTAAGCGGTTTGTTATTTCTATAAACATGAAATATTTTCTTGAGTGCATGAAGCAAACGTGTTGCATTAAAGACTAATGTAAGAGTTGAGGAATCGGGAATCGTCAGAGCTGAAGAAAGTTGCACGGGTGTTTTTGGGAGGCGCAGCCGGGCTGCACATCATCATGCCGAGCCGCAGATGCGGTCTGTGTTGCCGGAGAGGCCCGGTAAAAGCTATTGAATAAGATAATGTTTCTAGATAAACAACGGTAAGTTAATGTGTTGTAGTGCTTAAGTCGCTGTTTGTTTGTTAGTGTATCAGGTTTATAAAGGCAGCCCCGTTTCTGGAGAAATCTAATTCTGAGAACAGGCTTTAAATGTGGGTTTGTCATTTTTTTTTTCAATCACTGAGCCAAACTGGGTTCTCTGAAACCACTGCGACGAGCAATTTGGAAAACATGCTGAGCTGCACCGAGCGCTTTTCTCTGCTTTGCCATATTTTTGGACTGGGCTGTTTTGTGAGAGTTCATTGGCGAACACGTGTCAATTTAAAGTTCTTCGCCAAGCGCGCGAGCTGAGAGATTATTCAGGAAGTTTCGAATTCTCGACGCGTACGCGCAGAGCGCGAGCAGAATGACAACCGCGTAAATTAATGTCTGTAAAACAATTTGAGTGAGTTTTGATGGCCGTTGGCGCACCTTTCACTCCTCTGGGATGTCCCAGCTCCTTTGAGTTTCTGTTGGCACCTGCCAGTGACCGAGGCTGTAGTGTCTGTTAACACTAATATGGTTTCATTAGCCAACTTAATCAAGTTAACATCAACATAACATGACTTCTGCAGGATTTATTCGTCTAAATTTATGTTAATTTTAACATTTACTAATACATGATTAAAATCTTAGGGCTGTCAACTAACGATTATTTTGAGAATTGGTTGGTTTTTGACGATTAATCGAGTAATCTGATATTTATGGGCGGTTACTACTACTTGTGGAAGTACAAAGAGACATGAGCCTTCCTTAATATACATATAATAATAAAGGGGAATGTTTGGTTTAAATAAATTATCAAAAGCATGTATCAATTATAATCTGTCGATTTATTTCTTCATTTAATCGGATACTTGTAATAAAATAAAATTGAATTCATTCTTCCCAAGATTATTTCACATCGTGCCCAATGTTGAATCTTTTTTTGTTGTTGATTATTTTCTTTATCCATTTTATCGATTAGTTGTTGTAGCCCTAGAAATGCACATTTTGAATAATTCGTGAATTGAATTGCAATGCATTTACATGTACAGTTTCTCATGTCAAGGCATCATACAAGCATGTGTCTTTTTTACTTAGAACAGTACAATATTAGCTAATGTCCATGTGCTGACTTACTTCTCATATTAAAATAATAAAAAAAAGTTCATCCAAAAATACAAATCCTGTCATTGTTTACTTGCCCTCATTTAGTTCCAAACCTGTATGTTGTTATTCAGCTAAACACAAAATGTAAATTTTGCAAATAATCTTTTGTAGCATGGACAGGAAAGCTCGAAAATATAATGAGCATGCTGAAGTTTAAAGGTGTGTTCAACCTTGGCAGGTTTGGGTCAGCGGACATGGGTTTCGTTTAAGTTCATATTCAAAAATGGAGCATTGCCACGCCAGTGCATTTCCAGCATTGAACTCAATGATGTATTGTAAACGGCAGGTAGAGCCATTAAATAAATATTTAAATTTAAGTCAAAATTAGTAGAATTAGTCAAACTTTGATGGTGCTTTAATGGTGTCCTACTAAAAAGATGAACAGCTGGTTTGGAACAATATGTGGATGAATACATAATGTGTGACCTACTCTTTCTGCTTTTAACTGTTCAGTTTTGTGTCTGGACAATGCTGATGACATGAAGCATCTTCATTGGCTGTTATAAGAACAATAAGAGCCGCTGCACAGATGGGCTCCTGGGGTCTGAGTGATGTCCCTAGTGTGTCTTAAGTGTTAACTAATGCTTCCTGTAATCCAGAGACTCAGAGGATCTGTTATTTGTGAATAAAAAAAAAACAAAAAAAACATTTTACATTTATTAGCTAATTTTTTTCAGAAAAGATGTATAAGTTTAGTCTGAACATGCCGTTTTAATGGACTCAATAAATGATTTAGTCCTCCTCATGTTCCAAACACACAAACATGTAGTGAGTGACCAGTGAGTGTTATACTTACAAAGAAGCATGACTTTTATTTTTTTTATTTTTTTACCTGAAATTTTGCATTCAGCTGTAGCTGCTAAATTGCACCTCTGCTTTTTTAAAGGGATACTCTACTTTTTTTTTTTTTTTTTTTTTTTGGAAATGGGCTCTACAGAGAACTCCCTCCACCATTTTCAAATTCTTTCAGCTGATTTTCTGATATTTAGAAGAATTTTAGTAACTTGAAAGTTTCTGTTCCCATTGACTTCCATAGTATATCAGAAGTCAATGAGATCAGAAACTGTCTGGTTACTGATATAGAAATATCGAAAACGGTAAAACCCAACTGTTTAACTCTGGGGGAGTTGTATTTCCAAAAAAAAGTGGAGTATCCCTTTAAACCTGGCACATTGAAATTGGTGGAATGGCATTTGCCAGTTTTGGTGTAAGAACCGTTGTGACATCGTTAACTTTCCCTTTAATACAGTGGTTCGTCCTTTTTAACTTGACGATACCCCATTGCCCAAAACAATATTCAAAGCCCCCCCATGTAGATTTCTGCAGCGATGACTTATTTTTGTAGGTCAACCTGGAAGTTAGCTTCGCCCTGGTTCCCTACAAAATCCCCAAAGGAATTTTCTGTTGATTTTTGCAGAAAATAGACTAACTCAGGTTGTTGATTCTCACACATTTTGTTTATCATGATGATCTTCACAACTTTTATGAATTTTGAAGCACCATCAGCAAAAATATAAAGCTAAACGTTGGCTATAAACGAACTACACCACGGTTATAATATTTCACCACCACTGTTTTTAGTCTTTATTTTAAAAAAATTTCCATGAAAGTTTGGTTTGATGGCTTTTAATGTCCCTGACAACCTCTGTAGTCCCATTTAGCCACTTACCATCCACTTTTTTTCAATACAAGTAAATGAATAGTTAATTAAAATAGAAAAATAGCTCAGTTTTTGCTACAGTACTGAAATTGGTACAGAGAACTGTGAAATTTTACTGGTACCGTGACAACACTACAAAGGGGTATTACTGATGTATTTTATGTTATAGAATAAAAGTATCTTGAGCTTGTATTGACCACAGACCTTATTTTAGGCATTTAACCAAAAACCCCATTCAAAAATCTTGGCCTACAAAAATACATCATCCCTGCAGCGC